TCATCACCTGTGTTTGTCTCTGCTGCAACTTTTGCCACTTGTTATTTCTTAAACATTCCGTTGAGAGCAAGTAACGTTTTCACGTTTGTGGCAACGCTGCGTCTTGTTCAAGATCCAGTAAGAATGATCCCTGATGTGATTGGAGTGACAATTCAGGCTAAAGTTGCCTTCAGTCGTATAGCAACATTTCTAGAAGCTCCTGAGCTTCAAGGTGGGGAGAGACGGAGAAAGAAGAGATCAGAAGGCGATCATAATGCCGTTGTGATTAAATCTGCGAGCTTTTCTTGGGAGGAGAAAAGTTCAACAAAGCCAAACTTGAGAAACGTGAGTCTTGAGGTTAAGTTTGGGGAGAAAGTGGCTGTTTGTGGTGAAGTTGGCTCAGGAAAGTCGACACTTTTAGCAGCCATTCTCGGTGAAACTCCATGTGTTTCAGGAACGGTAAGTCATTGTTCCATCCCCTTTTAGCTCTAGATTCTAATAACTTTATATATCTATCCAAATTGTGTTTCTGATACTTGAATCATTCTACAGATTGATTTTTATGGTACGATCGCCTATGTTTCTCAAACCGCCTGGATCCAAACGGGGACAATAAGAGACAACATACTATTTGGAGGTGTGATGGATGAGCAACGTTATCGTGAGACAGTTCAAAAGTCTTGCTTAGACAAAGATCTAGAGCTCTTACCTGATGGAGACCAGACTGAGATTGGTGAGAGAGGTGTTAATCTAAGCGGAGGACAGAAACAGAGGATTCAACTTGCACGTGCCCTTTATCAAGACGCAGACATCTATCTCCTTGATGATCCATTTAGTGCCGTTGATGCGCACACTGCTACGAGTTTGTTCAAAGTAAATACACCGAACTTTAAAAATTTCTCATTTTTTTTTGCGGAAATGTGGAAGCTAATGAGTGTGATTGCAGGAATATGTAATGGATGCTCTTGCAGGAAAAGCTGTGTTACTGGTCACTCATCAAGTGGATTTCTTGCCTGCTTTTGATTCTGTCTTGGTAATTTTATAACTTTTTGTAACTTCAGAATTGTATTACCCGATTTTGTTGGCCTTGGTTGCTGATTGTACAGTTCTTTCTCTAGTTAATGTCAGATGGAGAAATCACTGAAGCTGATACTTACCAAGAACTCCTAGCTAGAAGCAGAGAGTTTCAAGATCTCGTTAACGCTCACAGAGAAACCGCTGGTTCCGAACGAGTGTTTGCGGTAGACAACCCCAGCAAACCGGTGAAGGAAATCAACAAAGTTCCTTCGTTGTATGCTCAGTCCAAGGTCTTGAAACCGAGTCGTTTAATCAAACAGGAAGTGCGAGAGAAGGGAGACACAGGGTTGAGACCGTACATACAGTACTTGAACCAGAACAAAGGTTACATATTCTTCTTCATAGCGAGTCTAGCTCAGGTCATGTTTGCAATTGGACAGATTCTACAGAACTCTTGGATGGCTGCAAACGTAGAGAACCCCAAAGTTAGCACTTTGAAGTTGATCTTGGTCTACTTGTTGATTGGGCTGAGCTCGGTTCTCTGCTTGTTGGTTAGATCTATCTGTGTTGTGATTATGTGCATGAAGTCATCCACTTCGTTGTTCTCTCATCTTCTAAACTCTCTTTTTAGAGCGCCTATGTCGTTTTACGACTCTACGCCTCTTGGACGGATTCTTAGCAGGGTAAATGCTGATGAACTTAATGAATATTAATGCTTGTTGTCTGGTACTAAACCTCTATTAACTGTTAATTTCATTGCAGGTCTCATCTGACTTGAGCATAGTAGATCTTGACGTTCCATTCGGTCTGATCTTTGTGGTTGCGTCTACAGTAAACACGGGTTTTAGTCTTGGAGTGTTAGCTATTGTTACTTGGCAAGTTTTGTTCGTATCTGTTCCCATGATTTATCTAGCACTTCGTTTACAGGTTAGGTCATTTTTCTTGTTGCGTGCTTCTTGATAAATCAGGTGTTCTCTTGAAAAAATCCCGGTAAGAGTTTCTGTTTCGTTTCCGTTTTATCGGTTTGCAGAAGTACTACTTCCAAACAGCAAAGGAGTTAATGAGGATCAATGGCACAACAAAATCTTTGGTGGCGAATCATTTAGCAGAATCAGTAGCAGGAGCAATAACAATAAGAGCATTCGATGAAGAAGAGAGGTTTTTCAAGAAAAGTCTCAAACTCATCGACACAAACGCGAGTCCTTTCCTTCATAGCTTTGCAGCTAACGAATGGCTGATCCAGCGTCTTGAAACAGTCAGTGCCATTGTTCTAGCCTCCACTGCTTTTTGCATGGTTTTGCTTCCCACAGGAACATTTAGCTCCGGTGAGTTCATTACCAAAAAAAAAAAGGAATTTCGTTGAGATCGTAATTCATTGTTTGCTTTTATTAATGGTGTTTGTTTCTTGTGTTGCGCAGGGTTCATCGGTATGGCGCTATCTTACGGTTTATCTTTGAATCTTGGACTTGTTTACTCTGTACAGAACCAATGCTACTTAGCTAACTGGATCATTTCGGTTGAGAGGCTTAATCAGTACACACATTTACCACCTGAGGCTCCTGAAACTATAGAAGAGACCCGACCACCGGTTAATTGGCCAGTCACAGGCCGAGTCGAAATCTCTGATTTGCAGGCAAGTTTTGACTAACACATTTTCACCCCCCTAATTGAGAGAATGAGAGTTTATTGATTAATCTTATAATGTTTTTGATGATGTATAGATAAGATACAGACGAGAGTCTCCATTGGTTTTAAAAGGAATCAGCTGCACATTCGAAGGAGGGCACAAGATTGGTGTTGTTGGCCGGACTGGTAGCGGAAAGACGACTCTGATCAGTGCTCTGTTCAGACTTGTTGAGCCAGTCGGAGGAAAGATTGTAGTTGACGGCGTTGACATCTCCAAGATTGGAGTTCATGATCTGAGATCACGGTTTGGGATTATACCTCAGGATCCAACTCTGTTCAATGGAACAGTGAGGTATAATTTGGATCCTTTGTGTCAGCATTCCGATGCTGAGATTTGGGAGGTAAGTCATAATTAGAAGAAACTAGCTACACATCTTATGAAGAAGTTGCTATAAAAACAAATTATTAATTGCAGGTTCTTGGAAAATGTCAGCTGAAAGAGGTGGTTCAAGAAAAAGAGAGCGGCTTAGATTCATTAGGTAACAAATAGATCAGATGTTTTTTTTTGGTTTGCATAAAGGTCAAAAAATTTTCTTTATTTGGTCGTAAAGATGATAAACTTTTGGTTTGGTTGGTTATTTCTGTTTTCAGTTGTGGAAGATGGATCGAACTGGAGCATGGGACAGAGACAGCTGTTCTGTTTAGGCAGAGCAGTGTTGAGAAGAAGCAGAGTATTGGTCCTTGACGAAGCAACAGCGTCGATAGATAACGCCACAGATTTGATACTTCAGAAAACAATCCGGCGAGAATTCGCCGATTGCACCGTCATAACCGTCGCTCACCGTATCCCCACCGTTATGGATTGTACAATGGTTCTCTCCATCAGCGACGGTGAGTGTTATTGCATCATTTTAATTAGTTCTTCTTTTTTTTTGTAGAAAGTTTGTTTTCTCTGAGTCTTGAAATTTTGTTTTGATTGAACTTTAGGACGAATTGTGGAGTATGATGAGCCGATGAAACTGATGGAGAATGAAAACTCTTTGTTCGGAAAGCTTGTGAAAGAGTATTGGTCTCATTACCAATCGGCTGACTCGTGTTGATGATGATGACACAAAATCTCGAAAAATGTAATTTTTAGAACATGTTCTTGAATAAAACACAACGAATTCATACATCAAATTCTAGTTACACAAAACTTTTGACCATAACTAAACCAACCCGACCTTTTTTCTAGGGGTGATGTGATCTATTAAACACCAACAAAAGTCATATAACTAATAACTAATAAGCAAAGATAGTTCATCACGTTGATAACGTCACGCATTCTGTTTAACTAAGAGAACTAATCAAGGGCATACATTAAACAAAGTGAACTTAATAAAACAGAGTCCGCAAACATGTACATAGATATGAAGAAGAAGAGTATTTGGTTATTTGGAAAGACTTGTTAGAGTTATTCCCTCCCTTGGACTAGTGAATACCAATGCTCATGGTAGATTGGTAGACTACCATCAGCTAGGTTTCTATTTTTCTAATTAGGGTCAGAATTAAAATCTAATATCTAATCTATAATGTATTGCTTGTAACGTGGATCGTATGGACCAATTAGCACAACAACAAATCTGCTCTGCCTGTGGCTAGTGTTTGACATCCTAAAAGCCAAGACTCATAGTTTTTGGAAGAACCAAGAATCACAAAGATCATGAGAGACACTCAGCAACAAAAAAAGAAGCAAAAAACAAAGATCATGAGAGTCAAAAAATACTGGCTCGTAAGATTATATCTCTTTATTTTGAAGAATTATATAAGATTTAGGAGAGTCATCCTCTCACGATGATTTACTTTTGGGAGCATGAGCTGGGTTTCTATTAAGTCTGATTAGTATCCATAATGTAATTCTAGTACTAATTAATATAACCTATAAATTTATTATATATTGCTTGTAACGTGGACAGTCTTTGAGACACATAGTGCGAGGAAAATCTATAGCAAGATTATATCTCCCCTCACGACTGTTGACTTTTGGGGAGCATTGGCTGGGTGTCTATATGTCTAATTCGGATCCATAATCTCAATCCAACATATAATATATTGTAGGTAACGTGGACAGTCTGGCGACAGATCTTTGGGAAGAAAACTTAATGTAAATTTTGTTACAAGTTGGAGAAAGTAATGTATTAAGAGAAATAAATCTTTGGTTGGTTCAATGCATAATCGCGTATAATTTTGTAAGTTGGTCAATCTTTTAATTAAGAAAATATGAACCTGCTTGATAATTAAATATATGCGAGCTGTCGACTGAAGATACAAATATATAGGGGACACAAGACTTGGAAGCACATGCATCAAAAAATTCAAAAACCAAAGCGGTAAGGAAAATGAGTGAATACCAAAGCAGTGATGAGGAAAATGCTGAAAACCAAAGGAGTGATGATGAAGAAGAAATTGGTCAAAGCAGTGAGGACGAATGGCCTAATTCAGATGGGAGCCGGAGATGCATTGTCTCTGACCCATCTCACCCTCACGAACTCTCCCGTCAAGCCGGTGTTAAGACTAAGCAAAAGTGCTTTTCTTGCGGAAAAAGAAGCATTACTTGGGAGCTAGCACACGATAAGAACTTCCATTACTCCTGCACCATCTGCCAAGTAGAGTTCCACCGTGAATGTCGCAAGGTTCCAAGTAAGATGATTCACCCTTATCACCCTCAACACCCTCTCACTTTTACCTTTCTACACAAAAAATCCGGGACGATACTTGACACCAATTACGGTGAACACTACAACTTTCTTTTCAGTTACATGTCTATAGGATTCCAAAACACTTATGAGACATTAGCCAGCTCCAATATCATGTTTGATAAATGCACTTGGTGTGGCGATGCTATTGATCATGAGTTTTTCTATCGCTGTCTAATATGTAACTTTTCCTTGGATCTCCAATGTGCTAGAATGCTTAATTTACCTCTTACAATTCAAAATCCAAAAAGCCATCACCATTCACTCTCTTTGTTCCCTCGTCCACTTTCATTTCCTTGTAATGCTTGTGGACTGATCAAAGTGTTGGAGGCAGGCTATGCTTGTTACCAGTGCAACTACGTTGTTCATAAATATTGTATTGATTTACCACGCGTCATAAAGATCACGCGTCATCCTCATCGACTCTCTTACACTCCTTACCTTCCAACCAAAGTTTCATCATGCCGGGTCTGCTACAAGAATGTTGACATCAAGTATGGTCAATATTCTTGCAATCATAGGGATTGCTCTTATGTAGCTCATTCAAAATGTGCAACGCATTATCAAGTATGGGATGAGCAAGAACTCGAGTGGGAACCCGAAGAAGCTGACGAAACTGAAGCTGTTGCGCCATACAAGAAAGTAGGTGGTGGTTTGATACAACATTTTGGTCATCATGAAGATCATTATCTAAAGCTCGAGAAATACGATGGTTCAAGAGACTCGGGAAAGCAATGCCAGGCGTGTATGCGTTATATCACCTCTCATGATGATTTCTACAGCTGCATCGAATGTGCTTACTTTCTCCATGAAGTATGTGCCAATCTTCCTAGAAAACTGGATCATTTGTTGCATATCCACTCTCTTTACTTGTACCCGTCGTATACTCAATTCTACTGCGATTACGGTGACTTATGGTGCTGCCATTGTACACGAGAGTCAAGTGGTTGGATGTACATATGCATAAGAGACGAATGTATCAAAAACAGTTCAGTATTTCACCTAGATGTTAACTGCATTTCAGTTCCCGAGTGCTTCACCCATGCAAGTCATGCAGAACATCCTTTATTCGTTGCAACCGGAACCCGTAGTGGAATTCTCTGCCAAGGTTGCAAGAAAGAAACTTTTCGGTATCATCTACATTGTACTATATGCGAATTTGCCATATGCTACGAATGCTCCACAATTCCAAATGAGATATACTACAAATATGATGAGCATCCTCTCTCCCTTTGTTATGAAGAAAGTGGCGTGGATCACACGTACTGGTGCGAAGTATGTGAGAAAAGTTTAGATCCAACGGAATGGTTCTACACAAGTAGCCAAGGTTGCACCACAATCCACCGTAAATGTTTATTCGGAGATATTGGTTACATGAAGTCTGGTCACACATTTGATTACAAGGATTATAAGGTGGAAGTGGTTGGCAATGGTCGTAGCTCTCGTCCCAAATGTCAGGTATGTCGCCAACGTTGCCTACTTCCCTTATACTTGAAATTGTATAAGCCGGATGGGACTGAAGTTGCTATTTGTTCTTTTCGTCACCTCTACGGAGGAATCAAGTGAGATGTTTTTTTTTTTCTTCTTTGTATTTTCATTTCGTTTTGTATTAAGATCACACCTCTAGTAAAAAAAAATGCTCTTTTTCAATTTCTAGATTTTCTCTTTTCTTCCTCGTTTGAATCTGGTTTGCCAAACTCTATATATTGAGGTATATTGTTTGTAATCTCTACTTTTTTTTCTGTTAAGGTATTGTTTGTAATACATCTGAACTATTTTTTTCCTTCGTAAATATTTTCTCCGATATGACTGTTCTTATTTGAGATAAGTCGCAACTTCATTAATCAATAGAGGATGACAATTCAATTCAGTTCATAGTACAACAACAAATCTGCCTCTGGCTAGGTTTGACATCCTAAAAGCCAAGACTCAAAAGATTTTCTATGACGAACCAATCACTGAGAACAAGAGAGAAAACGCTTCTCAATCATCAAAAAATACTGGCTCCTATAAGATTGCATCATTGAGTGTATATGAGAAACAACTGGAATGACTCTTTTGATCTAAATCATAATGCGATTCTTCTTTACATGGATTTGTTTTGTTTCTCGGGAAGCACCAGAAACTCATGCGTCATCGATTAGTAGAGCATTTGGGACGTGAAGTTACTGACCTGAGTTTCACCGGGTTTCTTTACATCTATTCAAGAGTCTTCTCAGGTTTTGTAGTGTGGTTCTCTAAGTTATCAGGCCGCTTGCTTGTGTCAGCTGATTCCTCTGTGGTCTCGACAATCTCCATACTCGCTGTTCTACTCCTCCTATTCCTCCGCTCCTGCAAAGAAGAAAACACTCCTTTGTTGATATAGATTGCTGTAGATTTAGACCATCCCTAGTTACAACTTACTGACTTACAGTATTAAAGTTTTAAAAAATCCCAGAGAACTCATTAATACCTCACGGAAAGGATGGTCATCGGATTCAAGCATCCGCACAACCTGGCTCATTTTGGGTCGTTTTTCTGACTCGGGATCTACACATCTCAGGGCAACAAGAAGTGCACGTTTCAGAGCACGTGTAGCGGGTTTGGGTTCAATCTTTGGATCAATTACTTCTTCAGCTCTTCTTGTTCCAACCATCATCTTTAACCACTCGACCAGATTCACCTTCCAATGAGAACACATGTTTCAGCACCAAATTAGCATATTCATAACTCTTGGATACATTGACAAAGCATACAAATATAGCTACCTCATTAGCTGGACGTTCATAATCAACTGGATCTCTTCCAGTAATAGCTTCTAGAAGCAGGACACCAAAGCTATAGATGTCACTCTTCTCGTTTAATAGACCAGTGTTTGCATATTCGGGTGCTACATAGCTGACGCACATAAACAGACCTTTCATAAGAATGAAGACTTTTCCCATCAACGCCAAAAAGGTACAGATTTTAGACTTACCCAAAAGTGCCCATGACTCTGGTCGTGATATGGCTCTCACCCGAGTCTAAGAGCTTGGCTAACCCAAAATCGGAAAGCTTTGCATTGAAGTCATCATCAATCAGGATATTGCTTGCTTTTATGTCTCTGTGGACTACTTTTGGTTCTATTGCTTCATGCAGATACGCAAGCCTGTAAAATGTAGATGCAGAGCATGTTACTATCCCCTTCAACGAGTTATATGTAAAATTTCAAGTCAAAGGTCCCACAACAGTCATATTTTGACCAACTTACGCTTGTGCAGTACCAATAAGGATCTTCATGCGTGCCTCCCAAGTGAGAGTGCTGTGTTTCCCCATGGCTCCATGTAGCCATTGTTCTAAGTTACCACTATTCACATACTCATAAACAAGCATCCTGCATCACATCGACAAAGAAACAAATTCATTAGACTAGTTTCTACTCATTGCATTAACAATAATTGAATATTATTTTGGCGGTACTACAACAAATCACCCATTAGACTAAATTAGTAGCATTCAGACTGATAAGAGGCAAGTGAGACTCACCGATGAACACCCTCTATGCAATATCCTAGAAGCCTTACAAGATTCTTGTGCCGTACATGACCAATAGCCTCAACTTCAACCCGGAATTCCTTCTCAGCCTGTCCCCTAGAGACAAAATTATGATTGGATTAGTATGCGAGTAAAAACAAAGCAAACACAAGGTGAACAGACATTTGATTATACCAACTTACAGATTGTTGAGAAGCTTCTTTACAGCAACATCGTTACCGTTGATGAGTCTACCCTTATAAACTACTCCATAACCACCCTCACCAATTACATTTTCTGCAGCAAAACGATTGGTGGCTAGCTGAAGATCCCTAAGAGTAAACCAGTGTCCCCAACCAAGATGAGATATTTCTGGCAAACCAACCAAAGGAGATGCAGTTACAAGCCCACCCTGCGATAGGGATGATTGTCTCCATGCGGTTCCAAAGCTTCCTTCTTCACCGGAGTGAGAGCTGCAAGCTCTCTCATGATGATGCACAGAGCTACAACGACTTATACTATCATTGTCACTAGACTTGGTTCTTCCCAAGTAAGACATCATCTTTCCTGAGTTTCTCTCACTCGATTTATCAGCAACTGTGATACACAAGTTTTCATTGTGATTTTGGATCCCAGGTCTATCATCAACTCTGATATCTTTCGCCACGCGTGGTATTTGGTTGAAGGGTAACAACTTGTGAGATGATTTGCGGGATTTTCGGCGGAATGCAATCCACAGAGATACGATGCAGAGAACCAAAACTACGAATGCGCCAACTACTAGACAAATCAATACCCAAAGTTTCACATCCGCTAAACCTAAAAATGAGATCTTCTTCGACATTTCAGCACTCAAAGGGCTCTCAGATGACATCCTTGGTCCTGTATCCAGTGACAAAGTGTCTTCCTTTTGCTCACAACTTCACAATTCCCAACGACGCAACAAGAAAACGTTTCAAATTAACGTCTTTTCATACATCAAGAGGACTAAGATATGTCTGACTTTCAAAAACCATACAAGCAAACGAAAGGTCTATGTTTTTATTCATCCCAATGTAATCAAATCTGAAAACTGGGATTCTTGGACAAATGGAAGAATCTAATAATGGCAAGTAAAGCTGCCGACTCAGAAGTCTCTATAACTACTTCGACCAGAAACGCTGACACATACATAAACAGACACAGGACTCAAAAAAAGCACGCGCAATTTCAGCAATTTATTGCGGCATATCAACAAACAAGTTATGTGCATTAAGTGTTTCCTCCATTCGTCACCAAATTGAAATCGAGGATTAAAAGATAAAAAGGAAACCCGTCTCTCAAACAATTACAGAAGAATCACTTACGCTTGAAGCAAGAGACATTATACAGAAGAATCAAATCATAATGCTACCGAAAGAAAACATTTCAGAATCTTTTTTTACCTTAGAATGTAGCGACTAAGCTCTTGCTCTTTCGATTCACATCCGCTTAGAGCAGAAGAAAACAAATAGGATAAAGGTTCCGCTTTTCTTTGATTTTGAAGCAAACCAAAGAGAAATTGAAGTAAAGAAGATGACGCAATTAGCAATAGATATATATACTAATGGTGATTTGCAATTGAAGTTTCTCTCAAAGCTTACGCTTTTGAACCCAGAAAATACACCCAGGAAAAAAAACCCTCGATTTAGGTAATTACAATAAGGGTTCAGAAGAATGAAAGATAGCTCAACTATTGAAAAATGGAGGAGTATACAGATACACAGAAGGATGAATGTAAGTAAGGAGGATTAAAGAGAGATAGGGTTTGTAGATTAGGATTTAATGAGGGGTTAAAGGGAGGGAAAAAAGTTGGGTGAGATTGTTGGTGAGTCTGTTCTAAAGCTGGAAAGAAAGCTTGATTTGCAATTTGAGGAAACAAAACAATAAAAGAGATAGAAAAAAGAAAGAGAGAGCAGTGAAGGGAAAGCAAAGAAGGTGATCTTTGACAACTGTGGCATTTATAGCTGGATGAATAAAATTGATTATATTCCATTATTTTTCAATTGAAAATATTTATTTTTGTAAGGTAGAAAGTAAATAAAATTTGGATAAAAAACCGAAGTGGATAAGAGATTGATTAACAAGGCAACGTACAAAAGAAGGTGTTCACTGTTTCTCACTTATGCAGCCTTTGGATTTTATCTTCTCAGATATGCCAAGTTGAATAAATTCTTGTTTGACTTCAAAATTGAATCTAAGTTTGATTTTCTGTACTTAGAACTCCAGTAAACATGTTTGAAAATGAAGAAACATAATGTAAGACCTCATCTTATGCTTTACGATTTTGTTCTTAATAATAGAACTGCTTTCCTTGATATCCCCCATTTTTTTGCGGCTATGTATGAATTATGATTGTATGACATTAGTATTATTGTTTTATTTTGTTTTTATCCATTATACAATACAGCATTTGTCACATTCAAGAAAAAAAGCCAAATAAAAAAAGGTATTTATTATATAAAGAGTGGGTTGTGTCTCACAAACTTGACACATCATCATTTTCTTTTTTGACACATCAGCTCTCTAAAATTTAATTTAGAATTTTTTTTTAAAAAAAAGAATATGAAAAATCAGAGTACGTCACAGCCTCCTCTATTTAAATCACATAGTTCAAGATGAATTTAATTAACAATAAAAATTCCAAAGCTTTTTTTCATACAAATTTCTCTTCTTATTAATGGTTGTTTCGGAAAACCATTAGTTCCCTCCTCACCTTTCATAATTGTATCTCATCAGATACTCTTATAATTTCATTGCTTCCACTTGGATTGTGGTGATTCTCGACACTTAAAGATATATGCTCGTTCGTTCAACTGATTGATCGGATGTGATGGTCATATCATATATAACTCATTTACTCAAATTTGAACCGTCTGAAGGGAAAGTTAACAAATGAAAATGGCTCGGATCTGAGTGGAAATACTCAGATTATTTTGCTTGGTGTTCCTTTCTTGACGAAAAGAGATTTGCGTGAGGTTATTCCGTGCATCTAGATTAAGTTATACAGTATAAAGAGATGAACACGGCTCGATTTCAATTGTTTGATGAAGTTCCTTAGAGAGCTTTCTATTGTAGTATTGCGAGTAATGAGTAGTAAATAAAATTGTCTTGGTTTATTTATTTAGTTATATATAAATATGTATATATTTCCATGAAACTCTTCTGGTATCAGTCACCAAAGTTTACATCGCTTCTGGTATTTTACAACTCAGAGTTCTTTTGTTCATCAATTATTATAAGTAAGGAAAATATTTACATATATATTGTAAGCATATGACTGTGCTTAATTTTGCAGGGAAATGATCGCTTATATTGTAAACATATTAGTTTTTATACTTGAGTACAAACAGAAATTAGTTACTCGAAAATTTTGCTAAGAAAAAACAATTATATTTTCCTTTTTCTATTTGTTCACCAGCACAACTTTTGCTATATTGGATTTGTTTCTCTTGTAAATTGCAGTGGTGTTATTATCGTTGAAGGCATTCTTAGCGCCAGAAAGTCTCTTACGAAGGTGTTCTTTCACGTTTGATTTTTAGAATTTTATTTTTTATCTGTTTTTAGACTATATAAACAAAGGTTTTCCCCTAAAGTTTGGTATTTTTTATTTCTAATTGTCAAGGTTATTTTTGATTTTTCCGGTTGTATGTCCAACTTTTCCATTGTGGCTGTGTTGGAGTTTTGTACTCATTGCTACATCGCTTTGGCTATTGCCTGGATTAGAAAGAATCCATCATACTCACGTGATCTAGAAAATATAATCGTTTTACATAAATGAAGTTTACATTGTGAGAATGCGAAACTTGGTTTGGTAAATGCATTATGTATGAAAATTTCCAAAATAAAAAAATGGTAATAAAGAAGGGAAGTTAGTTCATGAGAATATTTCTATAGTAATGTTGGTGAACTAAGGGATCTAGAGTTTGTAACAAGTTTGAAATAATGTGCCATTCTTAAGGATTAAAAATTTAAAATCAACAAAGATTTTATTAGATTCTTGCTCATTCTTAAGGATGACTTGATTCTTTGTCCTAGAGACTTACCGAAGCAGTTTCAAAGGAGTTAGAGATTCTCACAATTCTTTGCTCATCAGTTCGTGTCATAGGGTGTACTGATCATCCATATGATTTATAATTCAAAGTTAAGTCCAAATAATTAAACCACTTATCATTTCACATTACATACAGAGCACTTCATCATCTACAAAATAAAAATTATAATTCATGATTCAATAAATATTTTGTGAAAATCTCTTTAGGAGAAAAAACGTTTGGGTTTCATAAAAAAATTGTTAGAATCTCTTCTAAAATTTACATAATTTTAGTTTGAGTACAAAATTTTATTTTTTTACCATGGAATTTCTAATATAAAATTAAAAATACCAAAATGAACAAAGCTAAACAATAAAACTTCATTACCAACAAAAATATATATAAAGACTCCGCGCATATGCACGGGTATACTCCTAGTATAAACAAAATTTAAGTTTCATCATCCATCATATATCATTATATCCCACGACCCTCGGACATTTAATTGGTGTGTGTATCGAGCAATAACTATAAGATATTAATATTATAACCATCCACAATCAAGTCAAAAAGAATAATCGAGTTTCCATGATAACATACAAGAATTTACGGTCAGTTCATTAATTTTTTTTTTTTTTGGCTCATCGACTTCTCACCAAAAATAATTATTAGGATATAATTCAAGATTTAAAGAAATCAACTTTCCTATTATTAAAGACCATATGTCAAAATCATTGTGATAACTACAACACATGAGTGATGATGAGGGTGAGGTGTCCCAGTCCAAAGAAACAACTAGTATAATTTAGATCCTATAAAATTATAGACAACTATTGAACTATATTAAACGACAACGTTTTGAAGACAACGGCTGTAGCTTAAGACCCAAGAAACCAACTAACAGAGTAAGTGTGTTATTGGTTTACTTGTACGAAGAAGCTTCTTTATCTTTCCGGCCAGCGAGGATCATAGAGATCTGAAGGCCTCTGCTAAACGCTTGGTTGAAAAGAAGACGAGCTTGGAACTCAGAAACAATGGGGAACCAAGACAGAACAGCGATTGGTGCGAAGATTACAAGTCCCATTATCTTCTCATACGCTCTTCCCAATTCCTTCAACGAGTCCCAAATCCCTAAAGCTTTGATCGGTGACCTCAGTACTTGCCCAATCTGACAAAAAGGAAAAAATCCAACAGTTATTCTAATCAAGAACATGATGCAAGTATTATGACTTGTGAAGAGGGTTTTGATGAATGTTATTACCAAAAGAATGGCCCAACCGGTTGGAAGAAAAGCAAGAATGGAAGCAGAGAGATCGGTGAGTGTGAGTTGGCACACCACAAATAGCACAGTCATGACTGACAAGAAGCCGAGGAAGAGGAGTGCCTTAAGAATCCTGAACATTAGCTGAAAATCCGTTCCAAATCTTCGTCTGCCCATAGATACCATCTGATACTCAGAAATGAATCACAGTAAAGTGAGTTAAGCAATAAACATTGATTAATGACTACACCATATAATATATAAAACGAGGAAGGATTTGTGAAACCTTTAGAACAAGTAATGATGTGAGCAAAACCACCCAAGAGAGTCCATAAACCTACAAAAAGGAGGTAAATAGAGATTGAGGCTATTGGATCATAATAGACCAGAAACTAAAAGTTGCAAGAAAAATGATGAACTACATTTTTTTTTTTTACCAAAAAGCTTTTGCTGTTCTGAGAGATATTGAGCTGGTAAACAATGCCATACTGATAAATGAAAAACCGAAGAGCAAGTGTGATTTCCAAAATCCTCCCTCTTATATTCGTGTGTCTGAGATGTTCTTGCTCTACGTTCCACCAAGATTCCCAGCTTTTATCAACTGGGATACCTATACCACCTCGATCATTAAGCCACCGTTTCCAATCAGTCCAATCGTCAACCGTCTTTTGCCACTCAAATCCCGAAGGATTGAATATGAATGGTGCAAACAACCAAGAGCCAACCATGAACCACATCGAGACCGTGATATACAGATAAAGGTTTGAACTACGGTATGAATGCCCATAGACTTGATAAACGACCAGCAATACAAGCAGCTCTAGTCCCTTAACAAAGTGACTTCTCGAGTATAACCTGTAGTTTTCCGCAAACTTAGCATGAAAAACAACAAACCCACGCCCCGTTGGTCTATATTTGGAACCGCCGTGTAAAATTGTTCTCCCGTAATAATGTGACTTTGTACCAAGCTGGAACGTGAAGAACACGGAAGCTAGCTGCAGCTGCATTATGAAAAAATCGACAATAGCAGAGCGAAACCCTTTTTCCAAGCCGATTTCCATCACCATCGGCAACACCATCAAGAAACCAAGCTGAAATATTGACTGTGTAGCCAGAGCCTGCTCAAGTGCCTCGAGCTGATTAGGGCTTGCGAGCCGTAGGATCTCTTTCTCCAGTCCACTCATAACCATGTACATACGTCCATACAAGAATGCATAAACCGTGATCACGGTGAGCTGAAACATAGCCATTTTGATTAATATGCAACCATGCAAAAACTAAGAGAAGACGTAAGATACTAACTGTGGGGGCATACCATGCTACTGAAATAGAAGCCAATAGTCGTAAAATAGAATGAGAGCATCCTGTAAAAGTCAAACCGATGGCCCAAACGGTAAGCATCACGGCTTAGCGTTTGCTCTCCATTTCCATTTGCTACTTTGGCTTCAAAAATCGAGATAGGGTTCAACCCCACGTCACGTCCTTTTCCAACTTGGATATACTCATGATGTGTAACGTATCCCCCACGGAGAGTTGAATTGAAGCCTGCATACATTGATAAACAAAATCAAATCGCTGCTATAGCTTAACTATGAAACATTTAGAGAGAAAAGATGACGTTACCTCCGAAGATATCCTCACTCAAATTTATTACTTTCGAAGCCTTGCTCACACCACCCCTTGTTATGTGGAAGATTCTGTCAAATATGTCAGGATGGCCGTAATGGAAACGAACCCTGCATCGATAAGAGGAACAATGAGAATGTGAACATAATTGTTGAATCCTGAAGTCTGAAGAACATACCTCAGAGGATTTGCCAATATTCTTTGGCCAATTGTCACAAAACTACTCTCCTGATTGGACATGAACCAAGCTAATGACGAAACGCTATACCAAGAAAGGGAGAAAAGTAAGAATACGTACGCCAACGCATAGTCACTTCCATGATTTAAGACTGATATCTTGCAAGTGCGAGTGTACCTTCCTGTAAATATATGTTCTCGGAGACCCAAAATGGTTGGCTTGCGTCTGCCAACACGCTCCTTTTTAAATTCTTCCAACACATTTCTTAATTTGAAAGCTTCTTCAAAGTAATTATCCTGCACAGATACTAACCATGAGGATAAGGTACTCAATCTACGAGTTATGAGAATGAAGAAGAATACATACTTGATTCATATCTATAGTTTGTAGCGCTTCACCACGTGTAAATATGATAGCGTGATTTTGATTTTCAGGCTTTCCTTCACCAATCTCAGCTGGAGGACCAGGAAGCTTGATGCGGTAGATTTCCTAATGATGGAAGACATATTCACGTTAAGACGAATGATATGTAAAAATGGAAAACAATATATACAATGAGTATGACAGATCAAAAAAAAGAGAAGCAAAGTTATATGATTTTCATGTAAACTCAATAGCTTTTTATATGATTTCTTTGTACCTCATCAAACTTGTTGCCTCCTTTGAGAAGTACAGAGTAAAAGACCTTTGGAGATTTTGCATTTGCTGTCTCCTCCCTTTCATCTACATAAGCCACCCGTAATGATGGATATCTAGAGAATTGACACGGTTAGAGCAAAAGAACCAAGATAAGTCTCATCAAAATGTATCAAAACTAATCATACTTCAGCATGAGCTGCAGAATATTCGTGTAGCAACTTCGGTTGATGATATCACCGGACTTTTTCTGATTTCCGTAAACCTGACAAGAAACAACATAAGTGAACTTGAGATCTGCAAGAGCTTTAGCACGTTCCAGGAAAGCCTTCTGATTGTCATCATTGGATGCCATGGCCTGATAGACACTAAACTTGGCTGCAAAGAAGTAACAAAATAGTAAATAAAGAATCTCAGGTTTTGGTTCCAGAGGCAACTGGCTCAGAAAGCACAAACCGTTTTCCCCTGAAACTTCCTGGTAGCATTGAAGCTCCAGAGCCTGCCTATAGTACATCATACCCCTAACTGGCAGAAGTAACCAAACAAAGATTAACTATAGATAGACAAGGTATACTTAATTAAGAACAATATGATTTACGTTTTAAGCAGTTTTACCTGTTCTAGCTAGCGTCTGACCTCTGTATGATACCCACTCTCGAAGGAACTCTGACTTGTCTTTCTCAGGAAGCTTAGGATTATTTACACGATCCAAAAAATTGGTCCACTCGTCTAGTTCACGTATGATCAACTCAGTAAACTTGAATATGTAAGAAAATAAAATGTGCTGGTTTTGTCAAGAATCAAGAACGTACCAGGATAAATCTTTTGTAGGTAAAACAATATTGAGATCCCATCTTCATTTTCCTTGTTAAGCTCCTCCTCTGAATATAGAACATCTTCTTTGTAATAAGGAGTTAAAACACTGAAATGAACAAAATCAATGTGTATAATTCAGATACATAAACCGACGGATTATTAAGAAATGACATTCCATAACAGATTGGTATTCACCTGAACGAGAGCATATCTCGTATTCTTGGAGCATTAGGCATATTCATAAACAGAGAATTAGCAAAGAATGTGATACGGCGGCGAGCTTCCAAGTTTTGAGGAACGTTTATGGCAGATTCTTTGACCGACAAGAGCAAGTGAAGCCGAACAACCTACAACAAAGAAGATTCAGATATCATACAATAGGTTCAAATAAAGTATACTAATTTGCTGGAAAAACTACCTTCTCTCGCCAGCATTTATCTTCTATGAGGTGAATATTAATTTTCTCAAACCTCTGTTCCTTTTTTTCATTTTTGATGTCAGGAGAATGAACACGAGCCCTTTCAAGAATTCTACAACAAGAATCAATTAGTGGACGTCATGAACTGCTTCTGATGCTATATTTTTATAGGAATAAAATGCATCTCCAGTACTTACTCATGGCCATTAACCAAGAGATCTTGAGTGATAATTTCGATAACATCCTGAAAGACATTAATTAACTGAGACTTGTATGTCCCCTGGTCTTCGTAGTCACTCAACTGTTTGTATATTTAGAACATAAGCACAAGAAACGGTTTCAAGCATTAGTTCCTGTGTAAGGCCTTGTGTAGTGAATGAGTGGAGTTACATATTTTAATATTACCAATATACTTAGAAACTTCTCCAGCTTATCACTAAGGAGCGGTAATCCACTCATTCGGAAATCATAAATAAACGTCTGCTGCTGTATGCTCATGTCCACTTCTAAAAACACCTGATTCATGACCCTAATCACAATTTTCAAAGAGAGAAAAATGTGAATTCATGAAGCATGGCTCAAGATGCATATATGATAGGAAAATCTGACCATTGGAAGAATAACATGATGAAGCTGGTATACCTTCTATCCGCTTCATCTTCCAGTAGAGCGGAGATTATTTTCTTCAGTGTCTCATAACTCTCAATAACAGCAAAATGCATGTAGCTATCACTCTTAATCTTTCTAAATAGTTCAGCATCCTCTTTTCCCCTGAAATCTTTTGCCATGTCCACAGCAATGGGAATCTACAATGTTGAAAAAATTAAGAAACTTTTAACGAATCTGGTTGAGTTCAAAATTTCTAAGAATTGGCATTGAGAGGATGTTTGAAAATTATGAACCTTTCTCATTGAAATAATAACAAGGGACAGCTATATTCCAATGATAGAACTTTTTAGACCTTTATGGTGATTAAGCATCTTAACAAAAGAATTGAGAACTCAGGCATTTTGATCAATCGAATCATTATTTGCTACTAGAATGGAAGGAAGTCCTCCAAAAAAAAAAAAAAAAAACCAAATATTTATTACCTTACTAGCAAGCAAGAAAGGTGGCCACTGGATGACAGATACATCACCCGAAGAAGATGGTACGAGCAGCAAATCCCTATCTCTGAGGTACAGCACATAATAGGAAACGTTACATGACATACATGCTTGCTGTACTAAGAAACAGGACAAGGATGACAAGTGTGTTTTCTACAAGAATAGAGTCCAACCTGTCACTGATCTTATCCTCGCTTCTCATAGAGATAATGAACTCGTTCCACACTTGGGAGAAATTTGTGATGTTTTTCTGGTCCACATAATCATCCTATACTTCACATAAAGAATCGATCAATGACATGACAAGGGAAAGAAAGGTGCATTCATGTATTAAAGTACTTAGCCGTAAACTTCTGAAATATGAAAAACGCAGTACCGCATGTTTTCTTTTTGCATCTTCTGATGGCATGAGGGTGCGGCTGAAGGCAATTGGTATTGACTCAAATCTAGACCGCAACATCCCAAGAGTTCGTATCTACGAAAACCCAAACGTGTCAAGAAGTAAACATTACTGAAACCAAAACAGTTAACTAATAACTAGCAATGTTTATTCTTGTGCGGTATTTCTGAGGGTAAAAATATCACTTACTTCTCCCAAATGACTGAAGGCCCCATGTATGCCTCCAAACAGAGTGGAAAAAATGGCGTACCATATTTGAGTATCCATCAGGTAAACCTACTCAAAATATCAAACACGTAAGCCATACATAACATCATTTGTTTCTTTCTTGGAAGCTCTTTCAGTCTCTAGTTTCTTACCAGTACAATTGGAGCCCATACAGCAACAACCACTCCAATATTGTTAGTTGCTATATAGAATCATAAATTGGTTAAGGCAAGCATGATTAAATGTACATTGCAACAAGAAAGGAGGGTAAACTGAAAACTTACCATGTGGAAAAAACTCATGCCACTGGTAATTATCAATGTGCAAATTCATTATCATCTTTGTTGGCGTAATAAGGGGTAGTATCTGTTTGCAAGATATAATGATAGTCATCAAATGCATAAAGAAAAATATATGTATCTAGACAGCCTACTCTGGAGTGTAACTATAAGTCAAAGAAAGTAAGATGAAAGCAAAATCCAGACCTCCACATAATAGTTGAAAGCAAGCTTGCTGATTAGTAGCATAATCCAGAAGGAGGTATACCTGAGCATTATAAGTTGTGCTATATGAGAACAGGCTAAGAGTTAAAGAAAAATCTTTATGAAGTTAGATGATGCTAACAGGAAATGTAATAATCACTCACTTGAAGAGAGAGAGCATGTCCTCATGCATACCTCGTCCAACATATAGTTTTGGCTACAAGATGGAGAAGCATAAAGAAACAAAGATGACAAAAAGAAAAACAAAAGTGAAAACCAGTATATTTAAGAAATCACAAGAATAAAAATTTAAGACTTGCCTGAGCCCACCACATGATAAGCTTGATAACTCGCATGTCTGAACACTCCATGATTCTCCGGAATGGTGGAATAAGGAACAAGAAAGCAGCCAGTATGTTTGGTAACACGTAAAATGAAACTGTGTATGTATAAAAAGACTTATCCTTCCAGTCACCAGTCCAAGTGCTGAAGAACTTCACAACTCCAGTAGGTCGTTGCACAGACTTTGAGTAAGCAATAGGAAGCAGCACCGCCCACATAGCTGCTACTGCGAATTTCAGAATGTACCGCAATATCTGGGAAAACTTGAAATTCTTCCAGGCATTGAAATTAAGGATAATATCCAGTGCAGCTATATATAAAGAATTTTGAGGAGGGAGAAAAACAGGACAAGGAAACTCCATTAGAACATCAAAAATAAGATCAAATTCCTCCTTGTGGAAACAAGAAAATACTATGGAGATCACAACCTTGTAAAAGAGTCAGATACGCTGAGGTAATAAAAATGGTTAACACTTTTTTGAAGACATCCTTGTCAAAAATATCACCCAGAGATCCAGAACCATTCCATCCAACTATTACCATAGCCTACAAAAAGATAAGGACAAATCCAATCATTTCAAAATTTCCAGACCAATCAACTCTTTTGATAATACTAACTTTACCTGAAAAGCCATGACAAAGAATATCCACATTCGATCAAAATCTCTGAAGAGGTTCCAGAATGTGCGGACTTCAACAAAGTTGGTTTTAGGCCTGCACTTCCCGTAAGTGACTTGATTCAGCCTCTGCAATACATTAGACCTCATGTTTCTGTAGTATCTCAGATTCTCAAAATATAAATTGATTAACATTCAGTGCTTAAGAAGAAAATGAAATATTACCTCGTTCTGTGCGGTTATCTCGTCAGAGCTTAGGAAAAAGTCTGCACTAGGGTCCAGAGGCCATCCTATCTTGAAGCATTTCTTAGACCTTCAAATAATTAAGGATGTTGGCAACCAGAAATAAGATCAAATAGGTATGTCTAAACAATAGTTAAGCAAGTATGTCGAGAAACTCACCAAAAGTATTCATTCAAATCATCGTAATTTCTCCATTGTGAATGGCTTGCTGTGCCTCCCTTGTTCCTTTTGGCTTCCTTCAAGGTAAGCACAATCATTTTCAGCCAAGATAAATTGTTCAGTTGCTAGCAAGAGTATACGACATGAGTGACCTTGATATACTTACCTTGCGTATGACCTGATAGATCGGAGTTATAACATTTCTCAGAAACGATTCTTCATCAATAATTTCCTCTGTTTCATATGTCTCACCACTTACAGCTTCAACATTGCTAAACAGAATTCCATAGACGTCATTTGCCATCTTATGAAACAATAACAAAAAACAGAGAAGAAAAGTATTTCAAACCATCCAGAACCTGAAGAAAGCTATGGAAAGTATGCATTACAGCTGAGAAAACTTACATTGTGAAAAATATAACAGATACATTCGGGCATAAATCTAACATTTGAGGCTTCACCCCATATTAAAAGGTACAAGGAAATATATATAAGCTGCAGCTGCTGTTTATCACAATCTGCTGGAAACCTTTTAAGAAACAAGTTTAAGCATCCAACATCAGATATGTGACCAAAAGACAGAATATAATGTACAAAAATCATACAAAACCATGGGATCACTTATCACATAATCTACATATAGAATATAACATACCTGAGATTAGACTTACAGTGCAAATATTTACACCATGAGCAATAATTTTTAAAAGTCTTGTCCATCAACTCGGTGACTGTGCTAGGTTTCAACTGCAAGAAACTTAACAGCATTACTAACGATAAGGGGTAAGAGGATGATGTGTAAGACAGCAATGCTTACCTCATCATATTCTTCATTATTTCTGTTTCTGATATCAGCATTAGCAAGAAGCAGTATTATATGCTCCCTCTGATTTGCCACGCTCCCTCTCTTCAATTACCATATGAATTGTAACAACAATGAATATGCAACACATAGAGTCAGAAAATGCAAGAACATATAAGTAGAACATATTACGAAATTTACACAATATACAAGGGTCAGAAAATGCACACACTACATGAGCCTGGAAAATCATCATAACCACAATAGGAGTTATTCAGAATAAAATTAGATAAAGAAAGATAAGTAGCAAATTACCTGAAAACCGAACTCAGAAGCAAGCCATTCAAGTATGTCATTGAAACGCCTAGTTCTAGCCTTGCGCATTTCATCAGGGGCATTAGATGGCAAGTGAACTCTTCTTCGAGGAAGATTACGCACATTGCGAACAGCACTGAATGCAGCCTTGACCTATTCGTCACATTACATAACATGACAAGAAAAATGAAATGGTGTAAATATATCGCTAGCATACTAATTTCGGTCACCATGTGTTCAAACGCACCTCAGGAAGTTCCACAATTGCTGGTTTAGTCCCTACGGCATATAAAGGAAGAATGTTGTAGTGCTCATATCTATCCCTTTTCCTCTCAACTTCTTCCGCATATCTACGGGTCTAATTATTAACAGAAGAAGGAAACAAAGCATATGGAAATGAGGCTTAATCTAATCGAGTTAACGTTAGAGATATATACAAGGTAGTTAAATCGAACCTCGTAATCCACTTTTGGAGAGGGTACAACAGTCTTCAATACATCATACAATACAGAGGCAATTTGGTAAAGCCTGGCCATCTCTTCCCTTTAGCCGAGGAAAAAAAAAGGCAGAAACCATAAGAGTAGGGCTTAATATCGAATCTGTGGCATGAGCTAGGAAAGAGCACTCACGGTTTTCTTGATGTTTCTCCTTCTTTGATATACTTCTCATAGAAGTTCTGGTAATATGCCTGAATCTCTCTAGGGTCGTTTTTAGCCAGCTGAGGCTTGGTTTCCTCTTCTTCCTGAAACAAATAGAACGAGTCAGCTCAAAATGATCAAGTAAGGTGGAGATATTAGTACCAGTCAACAAGAAAGTATAAACCTTTTCAAGTCTATGTAACAGATAGGTCTTAAACTGACGAACACCTCGTCCACTAGATGTAGCATCCATCCTATGAGCCTTCTCAAAAGCATGAAAGCGACCTGAAATTACATAGGCATGCAGATGATTCAGTGTTACACAAATTATCTTGACTACGTCTCAGATGACATTTCAAAAACTAAATACTCGTTATAGAACCATGACAATAAAACAAGAACATCCTTAAATAGAAGAAACTGGTTAAAGCAAACAAGACTATTGTCAATTCTTCGTGTTAGAGCTCTGAAATTTCAATTCTTGCAACCTTAAACATAAGCAAGAGTTGTCTTTTCCTACTATTTTAGAAGAAATAATACAAAAAAATAAAGAAAGCAAACTCACAGAGGTAAGCAACTCGAGGATTAGCCTTCTCGATTTCATTAGCAACGCGAAGAATCGGAGCAATAGAAGCAAGAGACGAAGGAACAAGCTCGCTATCCATGGCGCTAGCATCTTCATTTGGCCTATCAATCATCATGGTGGTCGCACGCGACGGAGCCACCCTCCGTGAGAGAGTCCGCGGCAACTCCGCCGTTCCACTCGAACTAGGTTCCATGCTATTTTCTCCGTCAAATCAACGTCTTCACTGAATACAGAGTAACAGATTATCATATTTGATAAATTGGTCTCCTTTTGTACTCACTTTATAGGAAACACAAAAGAAAAGAAGATCGATAAAGAAATAAAAGGGTTTTCTTCGAGCGATTGGTTAATTTTATATCTTATATCTCTCTGCTTTCTGGCTTTTTCCTACTTAGCTTTTTCATATATTTTCTTTTGCTTTGATCTTTCTTTCTTTTTTTTTCCCTCGCTTTTTGCCTTTTTTTCTTATGTGCATAGTACGAAGCTCTCTAAATTCTCTTGCTTAGCGAGGAAGGTGAAAGTGGAGGAAGACGCAAACAGGAAACTATGACCACAAATATCCAAAAAGGTCACAAAGCCTATTTTAAGGATAGTTTTCTTTGCTTTTTAGTTTTCACATACTCTGTCAATTTCCCGCCCAACATCAACACTACAATTCTGATACGGCGACGTTTTGACGTCCAAAAGTTAGTAAGTTGTCGTTTTTCAAAATGATCCGACGCCGTATTTATGAATAACAAAGCAGGCATCAAACGACACTGTTTAGAAAGGAAGGAAGATATTAGGAAGAAGATATGTATATAAATTTATCCACAAGGGCCCAACACATGATGCAAGTGCAACTAAAACTAAAAGAACTGCTATATCATAGAAAATATTTACAGAGAATCCTCGGATTCAACCTCCATTCTATCTTATAAACAAATTTTTGTCTTCCAAGGCGGCGCAGAGAGAAGAAAACGAGCTTGTTTCCACTTTCATTTCACTCCAGCACAGACACACCAGGTTGGGCCTAGAGCCACTACGCTACTCCACCAGGCTTTTCCACGGTAACAAGAGAAGAACATTGGGCGGATTCTTGCTTCAGGCTATCGCTATGATATTTCTTTGAGTCATATTGGACTTGCCTTAGAAACCTGCACCACCGAATCCAAACCAAAAAAAAACATGTTTTTTTTTATGTTGGTATTATTCAGCTTATTACAACACTTCTTTTGTGGATCTGCTGAAATGGCTTCCTAATTTGAATGTTAATCAAGAGAACTGTGTACCTGGTTTTTGGAGACAGTTGTGGAAGTCCACTGCTGAGGAGGCTCCCTTGCAACAGTTTCATAGTTGACATAAGTGATTCTTCTTGGTTCTTCTTGTCTACTCACAACGCTTTGAGGGGGCAACTCCCGCAAAACCCATAACACGAACGCCAATGGTACGGTGGAACCTGTCAAAAAGCGTTCTTATCAATAATGCTACATTCAAGGTCTTAAAAACTAGCAAAGGAAAGAAACAAAAAAATTCAATCTTTCACCTATGAAGTAGTATATGATCAGAAGAACCAATGCCTTGACGCCGTGTAATTTGCTTGGGTTCCAATGATAGAAGAGCTGAGATCAGAATATTTTGTTTTTGCTTGGTTAAGCATGTCGACAAATGTTACCTTTCGGTTTTCTATGGTAATAATGTCTTACCGGAATGTGTGTGAGAAGAGCGATTAAAGAGCTCACGGTAAAGCATACAACTGAGACGCCTGCTAAACCCGATACCTACAAATTATTAAAATATACTCTCCGTGTAAGGATGGGATTGATATGTGCAAGGAATGAAAGAAATCGTAAGCCAATAAGAATCATTAGTTTACCTTTCGCATTTCTGAAGAAACTTGTTCAGACCGGACCTTCCTTAGATTAAAGAGCAGACGTATGCCTAAACAATGAGAAAGAACATAAACGAGTTTGTGAAAATTCTTCTACTAGATCAAGTCTAATGGTCTCATTGTAGCAAGATAAAAAAGATCACAGCCTATTAATCACTGACATATTCGAAAAGCTAAATGAAAAAAATTCAATCGCTTAAACCAGAATAGAACTGAAGCAATCACTCACCATAGAAGCATATTCCTCCTCCCGTGATTAGGATTATTGAAGCAAAAATATCAACATACACCTACATAAGAAGTGAACTTATAAGAAGACCAGAAAAAAAGAACACTGCAAAAATATCGAGCGCAAGAACTTTCATGACAGAAAAAGAGGAACTTTTATCGTGTAGAAATAGCTTATCATGTGGTGGATTAAGAACTACACATACCTGAGCCAATAATGAAGGATCGGTAGAATTCTTTCCGGAAGCAATCCAAATAAGGATTGCAAATGATATCATCAAAATGAACACAAGAAGAGCCGCCTAGCAAAAAAAGGAAACATTTGTAAATATCACAGGAATGACTTGGCTAATGGTTAATGCACAAAACCGACATACCGCAACAACAAACTTCTGACGGGTGCCAACATGAATCCCATGGAAAGAGCAACACTTTCTGCGATCACTTGTACTCGATGAACCTGCCTTGCTCTTGCTTTTTTCGAGCAATACTTGCTGGATGCTGTTTTCTTCATCATCATCATCCTCCTCCTCTCCATTTCCCTGATGGCAAACATCTACCCTATAACATTAAGAAGCATCATTGTCTTGTCTCAGAAAATTCAGATAAAATAATCAGGTACAACACAATATGATCATAGAGTATGGAGAAAAGAAGTACCAGAAAGAGAGAAGCAGGAGAAAAGTTGCCAGAAACAGAATCTTGGGAAAGGCTGCAAGCACAATTCGATTCATCAGGGAATAAGCTACGGAGGAAATAATTAAAAACATACACAAACAAGGGGATAGACGCTTTACCCATAAGTAGAAAACCGAATGCGTTGGACCAATGATGCCACCTTGTGCAAGTCGCTATAATCGCAGCCACGAAATAAACGAAAGAACCTGCCAATAGATAAGAATAGAGACATTACTCACAGGCTGCACATTTTGTCCCAGCTATCTTTGTTGCCTATATAACGAATGTCAGGGAGGGTTTACCAGTGGTTGAAGAGCCAATCATGAGATGAAGTACCTGCGGTTTACATTAATGGATGTGTCAGATACACACCATGACAAGTAACAAGAAGTATATAAAACCTAAAATTGGGATTGATAAGAAAACAGGAAAGAAGAGAAGAATTTTACTTTTTGGCGCGTCCATCCAACTCGTTTATCCCGCCTGTGAAATCGAGTTAACTGAAAGCAGTAGGCAGCCAAGATAAATCTTATAAGCCCAAGTGCCCAACGCAACCAAAAAAAAAAAGAGATGAGAATAAGACTTTTTTTTAGTACTCCAATGTCTAAAACTACATAGGAACCATGAAGAATCTTATTCTACACTCATAAGCACTTTTGAAAGAAATAAAGGTTTCTACTTTCTACTGAAGATTCTCGTATCGGAATCAAATCTCTCTTCTCACACAAATATATTCCAGAGCCGTGACTTACTCAAAGAGTTGACCTGAAACTTAAAAGGTCAACCACATCAACAACAACAGGCACAGCTCTAGAGACTAGAATCACCAAACTCACAAAATTCAACACCAAAATTCAATAATCTCACATCTCATCGCGTTTCATAAATACGAAATTCAGCACAATGCTTCACTTTCCCAACAGACCTAAACGGTCTCACAAAATCCAACATTCAGAAATCAAATCGGATTTTTTTTCAGGAAAAACAAACAAAACCGAAACCTAATGAAATCAAAAGGGCCTAGAATCAGAGTTCTCAGAAGAAGAGAGAACCTGAAGGAAAGTGATGAAAGCGAGAGCGCCATCGATTAAAGCCAGACAGAGATTGACGGCGACGAAGCTTGGAGCATAGCATTTTCCCGTCTTCGAATCGAAAAGCGTCGCTACGATCGTCATCACGAATCCTCTCTTTCTCGATCCTCCCGGAGATCCAATGCCGAGATTTTAGGTTTGTGGAGAGAGGATCAATGAACACCGAGACAGATGGTTGTAGAGGATCGGGTTGGGTCTGGTCTGAAAAAAGAAATAATGAATCACATATTTTTTGGGAAAATACATAAAATTATAAAATTTTGTTAAAAAATGCTACGACGCATAAAGAGACTCTAGAATATACATACATACCGCCCAAAACAAATCAATTTATATTCGACTTTCTCCTTTTTCTTTTTTCGGACATACAAGGCATGTTCAAATATTCAGACTCTTCATTAACAATTGTACATCCAATTCAAAATTGTTATTACGTTAAAAACATGAAAGGATAAATTAAAAATATTCGTTTTTTTTTTAATGCTTGTCATGTTTTCGTTATTGTCGAAAAATTTAAACTAGAGGAATTCATTTTCTGATTTATCGTAATTTTGTAATATTTTCATACATTTTTGCTAAATCACATTAATATTAAAAATAGTTAAAACCCAGTTCCAAACCCCTTCTTCTTCGCCTCAGTGTATAACCGACGCGAGTATGGCGTCACGGAGAGTAATCTTTCTCCGACCTTTCTCAGGTAACTGCATTATCCGATTTCTGTTGTGTGATTTGTGTGCTGCGATATCCTGAAGCTTCTTCTGCTTTTCAATTTGGTCTCATCGTTGTTTTTAGACTGTTGGATTTCTTTCAATAACTTGTGTATGCAGAGAGAGAGGAGACACACAACTTCATCTCCTTTCTCGATTTCTGCTATTATTCACTTAATTCCTTATATGGCTCTTTGAAAAAAGTTTCATTTGAGCTTTCTCAATTACTTGGTGTGTTTTTGAATTAGAACTAGAAATTAGAAAAGCATGGATTATGCTAACACAATCGCTTGCATACAGTCGCCGTCAGGTTACTTCAGTTGACTGTAATGAGGCTCACAATCCGCAATCAATTGGATCAACAAAGACGATGACTTTACAGTTCCCTCCTTAAATTCACTAACCATTTAAGGATTAATATAAGTCTTTGGTGATTGTAGAGATTGGTAGACTATGGAATTGAAAAAGCATATAGCAAGCAAGATTAACACACTTGTATTCAGAAATGAAGTTGAATAGCTACACATTAGTTTGATATAATCTTTGTTCTACAGCAATACATTGTTGAAGGAATCTCCTAAAGAATGATAAAATAAATCAAGGGAATAAGAATCTGTTCTTGTTGTTGTTACCTTTTTGTGTACAGTTTGCTTTGATGTGTGACATATCTGTATAAATCGACAAGAAGGCTATATATCTGCACACTTTGTGGGTGCATACCCGAGCCTGGACCTCTTTGTATCATAGAGTATATGAAAATTCTGCTGCTGGTAGTTTCCAATGATGGAAAAGGCTGATTTTGGAGTTCCAAGAATCGCCAAGCAAACCAAATCATCACTCAACCAAATGAAAGAGTTCTCCGTTGGGAAATTCCAAACTGCTCCATCTTCGAAAGCAATCCCAAGCTCAGGAAGCTGGACGTTTTCGATGCCTGACACGTTGAAGCAAGGATCTAGTATTGGGAAGTCTCTGTAAACCGGGTACTTCCCTTTCACTTTCTCAGCAATCTTGTTCTTGATGATCTCATAAGCTGGTTCCGCAAAATAACTTAAGGTTGTACCTGAATCAATGATGCTCCCTCCAGCACCATCAGATGAGATATTCCATGTTTCTTCAGGTATCTTTAGAACTTGTCCTGCCACTAGGATTGATTTGATCTGCACGTAGTAAAATGTGTCGACGAGGTTTTCTTTCCCGGCAACAAAAGAAGTGAAATTCAGGTTCGGGTGTCTCAGCAAATCCTTGTCTTCACCGAAAATCAACTTGCTACTAACGTTTGTATCGCTGTTTCTATCGACAAGGCAATAAGAAAAGGAGTGGCCATAAAGAGACTGAAGCTGAGAGGAAAACGAAAGTGGTCCTCTTCCTAACCCAAGCAACCCTGCAGCACCATGGAAGAGACCTCTGTTCCAATGACCACAACCGAACATCATGTTCTCGACGTTATACAGTTCAGAGTTCCCTCCACTTGTCGTGAGATTAACCGTGAAAGTCTCGACAGCGAAATCTCCGGTAGTGTTTGAGCTATCCCCGTACCAGTAGTAATAAGGGCATGATTGGCTATCTGATTTGCAGGGCTTTGGAGGGTCAGGTGATGAGACTAGGTTGCATCTTGGGTCGTTGCAAGTTATGTTCTTGAAGGAAGCAGAGGCTGTAGGATCGTAAAACGCACCGTTTTGCTGGAAACAGTCGTAGCAAGGCAGGCATTGGATCCAGTTTAGATCACTCCCTGTGTCAAGAATCAAGGAGAAGTGTTTTGGTGGTGAACCAACCAAAACGTCCATGAAGTACTCGCCTGAACCGAGAGTCATACCGGATTCAAGTGTAGCCACCAATTGACCAGGCTGCTCCTCCACCGGAGAGGTAACCACTTCCTTCTTCTTCTGTTTCTGGAGACTGGAAACAGTGTTTTTGTTCTTCTTCTCCAAGACCCTTTTGTGAAGCGTCTGGATTCTAGTGAGATCTCGGATTTGGAGCTCAAGAACAGAATTTTTTGTTGTTGTCTTGTCTGTTTCTTGCTTCTTCGTCGTCTCCCGACGCTTTAAATGAAACCTCACGGTCTTGTTTTCTCCAGTCATTTCTTTGGTGGGTTCGTTCTCCGGCGAAGAGAAACCGCAATCGTTGGTTGTGGAAGAAGAAACAGAACCGAAGCGCATCGGATTCGGAAAGTCAAACCCAGAAAAGCCCGAGATGTTCTTCTGCTCATTGTTTCCGTCGAGAGCTCTGGAATCGCCGGACAATGCTGTGACGAAGAAGAGTATAAGACAAAGAGTGAAACTTTGTTTGGTCAACATCAGGAGATAAGCCTGAGGGACAAAAAAAAAAAAATAGAAATCGCCGACAATGATCAAGCTCGGATTCACCGGTAAAGGAAAGTAAGATGAAAATGAAAAAAAAATTGTAGAAGCAGAAGTTGTATTCTATTGAATAAAAAAAAATTAAGAAAAAGAAATTTGAGCAATTGATTAGTTTCAGATTGCAAAGATTTGATTTTGAAGGATACAGGAAAAAATGAGCTGAGAGGAGAGAAAGGAAGAACAAAGATGGTGAAGTGGGATTACTGAAGAAGATACTATAAAATAATAGTTGATAATTGTTGACCAAAGTCATCTTCTTCTTCACGCGGTTTCATACAAAGCACAAAACCTGTAGGTAACAATTAGAATAAAGGGAGTTTGTGGAATGGTTCCCGTTCTACGAACAATTTATTTTACATCATCTCTTTGTTTTTACCTTAAACTTGGCTTACGATATTTTGGAATGAAAATTGAAAAGGAACCCAAAGAGTTATCAGATGAAAGTATTCTTTTCGCAAAATTAGATTGAATAAACCATTTGAAAATGAAAAAATGACGCCAATATAACTATATATAATCTCATAAATTATGGTGATTGAGATTATATAGATACTGATATAATCAATAAAAAAGTTATATCTCGAATTTGATAATATAATGTCTGAAAAAGATAAACTAAAACCATTAGAATACTCATGTTCTCTTGTTCTTCCCTTAGTAAACTGTATAGCAAAAACAGGTTTTGACTGGCGATAACCTATTTTGATTGGGGATACTAAAGACACCATTCAAAATCTTTTTCATAGACCCACCACTATTAAAAAGTAGACGTTTGATTTTTATAGTAATGACAAATCTATTAGAGAAAAATACTTGTTTGACCGCCAAACAAAAACAAAACAACCATCTTTGAAAAAGGGGAAAAAAAAGTCGCCACCAACAAAGTATTGATCTACTACCTTTTTATGATGCATGTTAATATAAAATAGACCTCGTGACAGTATAATATAGTCGCATAATAACGCATTAACAAAATGGATCTTTGTCAATACGATTCCAACCATTCGACTCATATTGTATATTAAATTAATTAGTATAAGCAAAGACGTTAAAGTTGACCGGTTATAACCATACTATTCAATTTGAGAGCAATTTTATATTAAGTAGAGTTTTGTATGGTAAAGTTGTAAACGTCAAGAAACGAGTCCTGTTTGACTTTGACCAACTAAACAAAAGTTTACTTGCAATAACTAGACCTGTGGAATAAGAGAATCTCAACAGAAACTCCAATGTCACAAAAACATATAGTTACTGATCAAAACTTAAATCTAAGTTATAATCATTATTATTTTTATATCCCGGAAACGTATGAAGGTAGACGTTGACCGGGGAAAAAATTGATATTTTTTATAGTAACACAATTCCAAGTCAACACAAACAGTTTACACATGCATCATATGTGCTATTGCAGAGTTTGCGGTTGGAATGGAGATTTTTGCAATTTAAGAAGAGATGGGGTGGCCTGTTCTGCAAGAAATCAGAAGAAATAGAAGCTGATCAAACCGTTCCTTCTGATGTGATCTAGTTTTATATCTTTTTAATGTATAGTCATTCTTTGTTCTTGCTTGTAGACGATTTCGAGCTGATAAATAATTTTTTTTTTAAAAAAAAATCCAAGATTTTTAATGCGTCAAACTGAGCATATAATTAGCTAATAGTAATAGGATTTTGAGCATGTGGGTGGCCATATTACACACCTACACGGCTACACCGCTGGTAATCTGTAGGAGCAAACTCAACATTATGTTTATTTTTCCCTACGAAACATCCAATAAAACGTTTACTTTTCAACTTTCTCTGAAGATACCCGGAGAAGTTAAATAATTTTTTGGGGCCAATTGGTTTGTAAATAAGTAAAAACACGTTTGGTTAGAGGTTTGTCTGGGTTCAATTCTTCTGTTCAATTCTTTTGGGTTCAATTCTTCTCAAGCGCAAATTTGTCATTTTTTTCTTCTTTTTACCAATTATTAGTAGACTAAACTACATTAAAAAGAGTTTTAAAGGGCTAATTTTTTTTTTCTCAGCTGTAATTAGAAAAATCTCAGCTCTCAACATACCAAAACTTTTGCAAACTTTCACACACACAAAAAACATTCAAATGTGATGTATGATTAAGCTAACATGTCATCATTCTTTTGCAGAGAGTTGATTAACAAACTCAATGGCAACTCCAAAAACATAAGAGCTATTTTCAAAATTTATTTTTCTCACACTTTTTTTTGTACAGACATTAATAGATCGTATTATGAACTTCAGTTTCACATGATTGAAAAAAAAAACAACCAAAAAAATTGGGTAATCAACACATCCGTATGCTAAAGTTACCAGAAAATGTCAATTTTTTTAAAGGCTCTAACAATACAAATCAGTTACGAACTTTGAAAATTTGATTTACACGAAAAGTAAAATTTTGAATGGACCTTCAGAACTGATCATCACAAGGTCGGAGGCGGGGCAGATCGGAGCGACGGGAAAAGCGATGGTAGAAGCAAGAACAAGCGAGCGGCGGATTTGAAATTCAGATTGAAAACTATAAAATTAACAAAGAACATCATGTTCCCCTCAGGTTCTTTCGTTTCTTATCCACATACTTCTCCGCCGCTTCTAGCCTTTCATCCCTCGACCATCCGCCGCTAAACCCGCCTTCCGCCACCACCGCCTGAACGATTCACGACAGTCTCTTATAGAGGAGATAGGGTTTTTGTCGAATTTTTATTTTTGGGATAAATTAGGCCTTGCGTATAAGCCCAATAACGTATTGACTTAGGATGAAAAGGCCGTCGTGACTTGATTTTTGCGTATAAGCCCAATAACGTATTGACTTAATACTGTATCATGTTTTAATTTTTATTTTAGTGTAGTATAATGCGAATGGTTTCGCTTTGTGGTGGATGCGTTGTTTTTTTCTTTTTGTTTCTTCTTTACAGCTAAAAATAAACTCCATATATTGCTAACTAGTGGAGAAAAAGCTCACTTCGAAGGGAATAGATCAGATACCAAATTAAAAGATGGTAACAATGAAAACAAAAAAATTGTATTCTTTTTCCTTTGCAAGGAAACCCCGTGTAAGAAACTAATCACATACATTAATTTTTTTTTTTTTTACATTAATTTATTACAACGAAATATGAAAAAAAAAAATACAAGATTAGAAAACAAAGAACTCATACGAGGTGAGAGCTCATCCAACTTCGTAGAAATGGCATGCCACTCGGTGTAATTATCCAACTTTCTCACTAAATTAGAACAAATCCGATCCGAACTTAAATCGATGTGAAGCCTTAATTTATTTAAGACACATATCATAACCCAAATAATAGCTTCCAAGCTAACGTGACATGAAGTAGGGAGAAGCATCGGGTATCGCATTCTAATCACATCAATCGTATTCCGTATTGATTATTAAAGATCCATCCAAACCCACTAAAAGATTTTGACACATGCCATGTATAACCCATAAATGTATTGTCTGTTTGGTAATACACAAACCAATGCGAGTTACAGTTTCCTTTTGTATCTCTTCCATATTGTCTATATGTCTATTTTCGTCTAATAAATTGCCGTACTACATTATCATAAAATAGAGTTGTTGTACTTCCCGCTTCTTGAAGAAATGTATTTAACCTTATCGTTTCCAACCTGCTAAACATACTAAATACTATATGTTCGTGTGATCATGGTTTTTCCTGCCTATTGTTTTCCATTACCTCATGTGCTATATATTATAAAGATAAAACATCTGTGAATTGAGTATTCTTAAAACAAAATCAAGAATCGAGTTGACAGATGATCAAATATTCATTTAACTAATTAGTTTTATGGTTATTGTCACGAATTGTGTCTTATTTCATTTAATTAGCCGAAATCTAATATATTTTTTTTTATCATTCATATATATTGGTAGAAGATGAAATTAATGATCCAACGAGGCGGCGACGAATATATATATATATATACCGACATGAGTTTGACCGACCATATATACAAATTCGAACATATATATAGTTGAGTGAAATGCTATTTTATTTAATATTTCTTTAAATATGGCATGGCTTCATGAAATACGGGTTAAAGCCGTGTACATCTACTCGACTCGGAAAACAACGTTTCATTTATCATCTATACAGAAAAATCCAATGTATCGATATAATCACAAATAATTATAACACCCACACGAACGAATCTATCCATGCAACCTGTCCACACAACTCGCATCACTTAAAAGTCGACACAAAACGAAACAAAAGATGACAGTTGGTTTCAGCCAAGTGTTTTTGTCTAGTGTCTGTATATACATCCCTATATTAATATATATAGAGAGAGAGATATATGGCTATAAAAGAAACTCAAGTTGCTTGGCTGAAGGCCTTCTATAGCTTTAAATCGACGCCATTACAAACTAGTCTCTTTCTTTGGAAAAAGCAACAAGGCCCAAAGACTTTGAGGGAAAAACGGTTCCTTTCGGTGGATTCTCTAGTCACCATTGCCCCCACACTATATCTCAACTTGTAAAGGTGCAATATCTCAATGTCAAATTATATAGCATATAACATGTTATTTGTCATCGGTAGAGTTTTAATACACTTTCAACGAACAGACTTATGTGATCATAAGGGTTCAAAACTCCTCGAATATGAAAACTAATGTGATAATTAAGAATTCGAAAATTTATGTGAACAGAATATGGGTGGACGATATATTGCTTGTGGTCCATGACAGCGAATCAGGACGTACGGTCCACCGTATTACATTGCGTATTTAGGTTCGAAAATGTTATTAACATCCAAATATTTCGTGATTAGATGGAAAAAACTAGGTGTTTTAGTGTTGTTACAAAAAGATAACTAGGTGTTTATAGCAATCAGGTTTTTTAATTGATTACCATTTTTTTGCAAGTTTAATTAAAAAATCGCATTTATAAACACAGTCGGTTACAAATATCTATATATATATAGAGAGAGTATATATATCTATATATATATATATTCCCACAAGTGAATGACACAGAAAAATACGTACGAGTCAACAAGTGAAATAACTGCGATGAGGAAAATGCCGGGTAAAAAACAAAATGATTTCTGGAGATAATTTCATCTTGGTTTTAACGAGAGTACTCTGACAGAAAATTGAATTCAGATAACTATAAAAATATTATTTAAGTCTCTCGTTATCTTCCTAGTACAGTACATGATAAACTCATAATAAGCATCGTAAAAATAGAGATATTTTTGTTATTATTAAATGTACACTATTGGGCGAAAGAAACATATGGGGGGTGAGTGATTTGACAAAAACACCCTTAATCATTTGTGAAGAGTGTTCAGATAAGGTACAGATCAGAAAGCACCTCTAGAAATCGAGCAATAGATCTCTCACCTCCACAGACAAGATTCACATGCAGATGGTGGGTCCTATTAACTCTCAACTCGTTGTCTGACAACTTGCCACGTGTCGTTCATCCTGATCGGTTTCAGTACTATTGCCCCCACCGAATCATTTTCTCCCCTCGTTCGCTCGGTGTAATCTCTCTGCCTCTATCTCTTTCTCTGTCTCTTGTCGCTTTCTGTCTGAACCTAGCAATAAGCTTAGCCTCTCTTCCTCTCTCTCTCTCTCTCTCTCTCTCTCTCTCTCTCTATCTCTGATCTCTGATCTCTGTTCTGTTTCATCTTTCTTCATCTCTCATTTTCTAAGCAATTTAATTATCTAAAGAGAGAAAACCGAGAGAGTTAGGAGAGAGAATCTTCTCTTCTTCTCTCCTAACTCTATTCTGTTACGTGTGAAGCAGAAAACAGATATAGCTAGATTCTTCTCATCATTCAGTGGCTTCTAAATCTGGTAACTACTTTTCAAGTTTTGGGGTTTAAGAGGGTACTATATAGGGAATTAATTACTTTATAGGGAGCCTTATTTAAATTATTTCCTCCTGGATTGCTGGAGAGGATTTGTTTATTTTTAATTATTTCTCAATCTTTTCTAATGATTAAACTGTTGGGATTTGGAATAATCATTCCAAGTTGATTGCTTTCATCATCCCTTTTATGCTATTTGTGTTAAGTCTCCTGATAATCATTATCTTAAGTAAATATCAAATCATTTTCTTTTTTTATTCACTTACACAAAAAGTAGTATATTCTTATTTGGGGTGTCTCCTGTACAGATCAGACATGGAACAACTATTTCCTGATTGGAATTTTGAAGAAAATTTTCACATGTCCACTAATAAAAGATCAATCAGGTATGTGTAATCCCAGTCAACTATTTTATAATCATCAGTTTCACTTTTTAATCATGATTACAAAAGCTGTATTCTTTATGTGTACTTTTTGTTTTTGGTCAGAATATTGTTTATGTTGTGTTTATTTCATGTCTTGGACAGACCAGAAGATGAACTAGTGGAGCTATTATGGAGAGATGGTCAAGTGGTTTTACAAAGCCAAGCTCGTAGAGAGCCATCAGTCCAAGTCCAAGCCCACAAACATGATCAAACCCTAGGAAAACCCAACAATACTCTTCTTGATAACCAAGTACGAAAACCTAATGGCACTATTCTTGAAGATCAAGAAACCGTCTCATGGATCCAGTACCCTCCTGAAGACGTAGTCGATCCTTTCGAATCCGAGTTCTCCTCCCATTTCTTTTCTTCGATCGATCACCTCGATGGTCCCGATCGTCCAGACAAGCCTCGGACGATCGAAGAGACGGCTAAGCACGATGCTCATGATCAATCCATGGCTCCTCCTAAGTTTAGGACCTCAGTTTTAACAGTTGGACCAAGCCATTGTGGAAGCAACCAGTCTACAAATGATCATCAGGTGACTCATCCTCCGGTTTCTATAAGTGATAGAAGCAAGAACGTCGAAGAACGACTTGATACTTCGTCAGGTGGCTCGTCCGGTTGCAGCTACGGAAGGAACAACAAAGAAACCGGAAGTGGAAGGAGCGTTACCATTGACCGTAAAAGAAAACATGTAATGGACACTGATCAGGAATCTGTGTCTCAATCTGATGTACGTTTGATGTCAATGGAAGATCAAGCCATCGGAAACAAATCGAGCCAACGGTCAGGGTCTACTCGAAGAAGTCGTGCGGCTGAAGTTCATAATCTCTCAGAAAGGGTATATACTTCTTTATGGCTCTGATATGTTTTGACATTCAAAAGTTTTATATTATTGTGTGTTTCGATCAACAAATCTTTTAAATTTCAATCTGAAGTTCTAAATCTAGTTTTAAAATATTGCTTTTTTGTGTAAATTATTGTAGAGGAGGAGAGATCGGATTAATGAGAGAATGAAAGCTCTTCAAGAACTCATACCTCATTGCAGTAAAGTAAGTTCATTCTAGGACAGAACTAAAACTCACAAGTAATCGAGTGAAATTAAGTTGAAAATATAACGATGTAGATTGATTAATGGTGTGTTTATATTATGTTGTTATTTGCAGACAGATAAAGCTTCAATTTTGGATGAAGCCATTGATTACTTGAAATCACTTCAAATGCAACTTCAAGTGATGTGGATGGGAAGTGGAATGGCGGCGGCGGCAGCTGCAGCAGCCTCGACTCCGATGATGTTTCCCGGTGTACAGCAATCACCGTACATTAATCAGATGGCTATGCAGAGTCAGATGCAATTGTCTCAATTCCCGGTTATGAACCGGTCAGTTGTACAAAACCATCCGGGTTTAGTATGTCAAAACCCGGTACAGTTGCAGATGCAAGCACAGAATCAAATCTTATCGGAGCAGCTCGCTAGGTACATGGGAGGGTTTCCACAGATGCCGGCGACGACTCAGGTTAGTGCAAACAACATCGTTTTGAACAGACAAGGAGTTTTTTTTTTTTTTTCTGTTTCTTTTGTTTTATAAATTTGTTGGATATTTAACGTGTCATGTTGTTTAAATGCAGACGCAGACGCAGACGCAGATGCAGACGCAGATGCAGACGCAGACGCAGACGCAGACGCAGATGCAGACGCAGATGCAGACGCAGACGCAGACGCAGACGCAGACGCAGACGCAGGCTGATCCGACTCCGGTGGGACAGCAAAGTCAACTGTCGGCGCCGGCTACCACCGACAGTCTACGTTTGGGTAAATTATGCTGACGTGGCATGATTTATTTTCCCTCCAAGATGATTCTTACAGTGATTATTATTAATTTTTGAGGCATAAACATAAAACTTGCGGTAAGAAAAAAAAAACATGAAACTTAAGAAATTGTATTATTTAGCATCTGATAAGGTAGTCATACTTATAACTTATTTAAACAGTCAAATGATATAATCATACAACCAAAGTGTTAAGAAGAAGAAAACGATATATCATACATGTATCAGTTCTGTTATAATATTAAGGAATTGACGACGTACTGTAATTTTTTTCGTTATAAAGATTAAAATTATGATCTCAAAGGCCTAAATAAGGCTTAGCTGGGCCTAGAAAGACATTTTATGGGCCCATAGGCTTAATTAAGCAATATAAAACTTCCACGCAATAGAAGAAAAACTGAAAACGAGTCATTAACCAACTCGCTTTTCAGTTTTTCCCACAAGCCAAATTGTTGTATGTCCTCTTATCGAGACACGTGTTTTATAAGCAAAGCGAGTAAATTCCGAATTATACTCGAGCGTGTAGAGTTATACTCTATACAAAAGCAAAGTGAAAGAAAAAAAAGATTGGATATAACATTAAAAAAAATCTAACCACTAACCTTTCTGCACCTCAGCAATCTCAAACAAACAAGATTAATATAAAAAGCTGCGACTATCTCTGTGATATTTGATTTTGCCTCATTGTTCGCTTCAATTAAGCATTCTTCGAATCTGATCGTCGCCGATCTATAACTCGGAAGAAAAGAGAATCGCATGAAATTGTTTGGAAGACTTGCTTTTACATCTTTGATTTCAAGCTACTTCAATACTGCGAGTTTTCTGATCTCAATTCTTAGTTTTTCTCCCCGATTGCCGATTTCGCTCTTTCTCTTCGAGCAGAAATCGTTAGATCCTTTATCGCCCAATACTAGTTGTAATTTCAGTAATAAATCGCGGAGCATTGTTAATCCATGGACTCCGAAGGCAAAACTGATCGTCAGCTGAATAAAGGTGCCTCCTTGAATTATTTTGTTTGTTTGTTTGTGAAGTCTTAATCCTCGTGTCTGTGAAGAATTCTAGGTTCTGTTTTATTACGATTTTTGTTGTCCTCAATTTGTGCCCTTGTGGCGATGTTTTTTTTTTTTGTTTGAGGGTGTAATTTACTTTGTTTAGGTGGATTTGCCAATTTAACACTGGCCAAGACTCTTGCTTCTCAAATATCAGTACAAGACTATGTTGTGCTCCGTGAGAATTTGTAGCCTCATAGGCCCTGAACTGTTTCTTGTTTTTTTTCTCCAGCTATTTCCGTCTCAACCGGCGAGATGATGAAGAAGAGATCACCTTCAGTGATAGTGATTGGAGCTGGTATGGCTGGGATTTCGGCTGCTCGCACTCTTCAAGATGCTTCCTTTAAGGTTTGTAACAGGAGCAATGCAATCTTAAGATTACTTGTGTTTTGAGGAGAGAGGACATGATTATACCAAAAGCATGTCTTTATTACTTGTGTTCTTTCGTTTTCAGGTTGTGGTATTGGAGTCCCGAGACAGAATTGGTGGACGAGTTCACACCGATTACTCATTCGGTTTTCCTGTTGATTTGGGTGCATCTTGGTAAAATCATGAGCCTTTCAAACTTTCTTTCTCATTGTTCGATGTTTAGATACCTTTTCATCGATGATAACTAAGCAACATCGTTTTGTGACAGGTTGCATGGTGTCTGTAAAGAGAATCCTCTCGCTGCAGTGATTGGGAGATTAGGATTACCTCTTTACCGTACTAGCGGTGACAATTCGGTTTTGTATGATCACGATCTTGAGAGGTATGTACAAACAGTTTTGGATATCCCAGATGTAAATCTTAGTTAGTCATGTCTCTTTGTTTAGATTCATGGTGCAATTCTGTTTTCTGCAGTTATGCTCTATTCGATAAAGCTGGTAACCAAGTTCCTCAGGAGTTGGTAACACAGGTTGGCCTAACTTTTGAGCACATTCTAGAAGAGGTCTGTACTTGGTGTCCAATTTCTCTTTTACTGTATTTCTAGATTCTGCGTGCCTTTGATTCACGACATGTTTTTTTTTCACGATGCAGATCTCTAAAGTCAGGGATGAGCAGGTTGAAGACATGTCTATAGCTCAAGCTTTTTCTATTGTATTCAAGAGATCACCTGAATTGAGGTATGTAGACATATACTGTCTCAACTCAATGCTTTGATTTTTGTTACTTATCCGCTTTTGTTATTAGTTGTATGCTCAATTAGATTTTCACTCTTCCAGGTTGGAGGGGCTTGCCCATAATGTGCTTCAGTGGTACTTATGCCGTATGGAAGGATGGTTTGCTGCTGATGCTGAAACCATCTCGGCAAAGTGTTGGGACCAGGTTAGCCACTAAATTGCCATCTGTCATCGGGTTTGTAGTTTAGGTGTGTTCCGGTTTTCTTGATTTGTCAGATAAACATTTGCAGGAAGAATTGCTGCCTGGTGGACATGGTCTTATGGTTAGAGGGTATCGTCCTGTCATCAACACTCTTTCGAAAGGTCTTGATATCCGACTAACCCACAGGTAAAGATTCGTTTGTCAAAGGAGATTCCACCATTTCTTGAGTCTGCAGCTAAACCCTTTTCCCCCTTTTGTTTTGGCAGGGTCATCAAGATTGCAAGACGCTACAATGGAGTGAAGGTGACTACCGAAAAAGGAGACACGTTTGTTGCGGATGCTGCAGTGATTGCTCTTCCTCTTGGAGTCCTAAAGTCAGGAATGATTGAATTCGAACCAAAGCTTCCAGAGTGGAAACAAGAAGCTATCAACGACCTCGGTGTAGGAATCGAGAACAAGATCATCTTGAACTTTGACAATGTCTTTTGGCCAAACGTAGAGTTTCTAGGAGTGGTTGCAGAAACCTCCTACGGGTGCAGTTATTTCTTGAACTTGCATAAAGCCACAAGCCATCCTGTCCTAGTTTACATGCCGGCTGGTCAGCTAGCTAAAGACATTGAGAAGATGTCTGACGAAGCAGCTGCCAATTTTGCTTTTTCACAACTCCAGAAAATTCTTCCTGATGCGTCTTCACCGGTACTGCTCTAATCTATCTATCCTCATCATAAGTGTCTAAATTATTACCAATGTACAAGCTTTAATGAGGTTTTTGTTGGCAGATAAATTATTTGGTATCAAGGTGGGGATCAGACATCAATTCATTGGGATCATATAGCTATGACATTGTTAACAAACCTCATGACCTCTACGAGAGGCTGAGAGTTCCTCTTGATAACTTATTCTTTGCTGGGGAAGCCACTAGCACGAGCTACCCGGGATCAGTGCACGGTGCTTATTCAACCGGATTGATGGTTGCTGAAGACTGCAGGATGCGAGTGCTAGAGCGCTATGGAGAGCTTGAACTTGATATTGAAGAGGAAACTCCTGCCTCTGTCCCTCTTCTCATCTCCCGTATGTAAATTTAGAAACCTCAGCTTTTTGGGTTTTTTCGTTTTCATATGGGAACATTGCTAGATTTGTTTTTTATTTACTTATAGATATCATGTGATATAACTTAAAAAATCAAGAATTTATTATGAGAATTACTTCAGTATCACTCTTTTTACTTAGATATCTGATTCAGGTCTTTAGTCGAAGTCAACTGTGCAATATTGTGTAATTCATCTTGATCCAAGAACTATGTTAAAATATTAGTGCCAAACGCAAACCGCAAATGAAGCTTTCTTCTATCTTCAACTCAAATCGCACCATTGATTCTGGTCAAAGCCTTCTTTCGTCACAATCAATCCAGTAACAGTAGTAAATTTCAGATGCAAACCCTTTTTTGGTGCAATCCAAAACAGTTTTTAATTATTTGGTATCCTTTCCTTAAAGGATCCCTGAAAATCAAAGACAAAGTTTCTTTTTTTCTTTTTCATCATTCTATCTGACTCCTCATAACCTTACACAACTTGAGACTACACGAGTCTTCTTTCTTCGTCTTTGTTCTTCATTTCGGCAAAATACTGAAGCAATCACGTTGAGGCATCTGTGTAAATATCAAGTGCCTATAGGGGCAATATTGTCAAGTACTCCAGGAAACTCCACCTTCATTTTTTGTGATTAATTTCATTTAACTGATTTAAATGTTTACTAGATTCTAACCCCGTGCATCCGTACGAGAATATTTTTTACTGTTTAACGAATTTTGTAATATAATTTGTGTTTTTGATTTTAGCTATAATTATTTTTATAAATAGATTTTTTAATAAGTGAAAATATTGATTTTTGTGTTTAGATATATTTTTATAATATTAAAATTAATTATGATTATAAAAATATAATTTTAACTCTTCCGTTAATATTAATTCAAAATGAACTATTATAAAAACATAATTCTAACTTTTTCGTTCATATTACCGTATAATATAAATATTTGTTAAAAGTTTGAGATGTATTAACAGTATTATTTAGCATTATAATTTTCTAAAATTTAATCAACGAATGGAGTGTACAACTGGTTTTTCAAACCACATTATAGAGTGTATGCAATAATTTTTATTTTTTTATGTTTTTATTTTGTATGAAAAATATATTTTCGATATACATGTATAATTCAAAATTAGTGATTTTAGTTACCAAAATATTTTTAACCCAATTTTTATATATATTTTTAGTTCTATAAATTTTAAAATATATATTTTTAATATTTAAATTATACATTTGAATTTTACCTATTATTTTATTATTAATTTGTAAATAAATCATAATTGTATATATATTATATAAGCAACATAAATATCATATCATTTACATCATTATAAATATTTTATATTTCAAATATGACTATTATATTTTATATGTGAATTATTTTTTTTCAAAAATTCTAGATATTTTTGATAAAAATGTTTAATAAGATAGAAATTATTTAAATTAGAATCTTTAAATCAAATCTAAATTAACATCTGATTTATTATTTTTAATCAAATCAAATCAAATCAAATCTAAATTAACTATATTTAAGGAACTCTAAAATATTTAAATTAATAATTAATTTTCGAAATTAAATATAAATAATTATTAAAATTATTTTTAAACACTTAAAAAATAAAATTAGGAGTATTTGAAAACAAATACTGCTTCTTTCTTTCTGGTTTAATAGAATAGATAAATCTCTAGAAAAACAAAAATTAAAATATCCACTTTGAAGTTTAAAAGTTTAAGGATAAGAGCATAGCTTTCTTCCTCTTGGCTGCTGCGACAGAGGAGAAGCTACGAACTTTAGATGTCACAGACTGTAATTTTCAAGCCGTTTGTCTCAGTTCCATCAAGTAATCACAGGTTTCCTTTTCTCTTTCCTATCTACTTTTTACTTCTTCACCGTTTGGAAATTGGAACAACTCTCATTTTGGGGACTTGCTTTTGTTCTAGAACCTCTTTACTTTACCCTTGACGGGTTGGGATAATTCTATTGCAAAAAGGTACCGCCTTTTCGAATTTCTGCCAGAAACCGTGCTGGGTTTCGTTTAGTTTAATCGATTGTGTAAGCTTAAGTTGGGTTTATTATCTGAGAGTAAGCGACTGTTAGGGTTTATGTTCTTTCACCTCGAATTATATGTTTTTTCGGTTACTGGAAGTTTCAGTTTTTCATTTACTAAGTGTCTATGTGTTTATCTCTGTGTCAGCCAGAGGAGACTACAGAACAATATTATCAATGTTGGTGTTAAAATCCAAAACCGATTCAGAGTTGTTTGTATGGGAATGCTGGCCCCAAGGAAATTCCTGCAAAAGAGGAGGAAAATAGAGGTTTTTAAAGATGCAGCAGACGAGGCAGATCAAAAGAGATGGAGAGGGCTAATGTTAGAGATTGAATCGACGGGTTCTGCAGTTTCGGTGCTTAGGCAATACAGAACTGACGGTGACCAAGGTCTTCCGAGAGACCTCGTTTTGGGTACTTTGGTTAGATTTAAGCAGCTAAAGAAATGGAACCTTGTCAGTGAGGTATGGAAAATAAATGAGTCTCTTTTATATTTTGATACTTTCGGCAATCTAAAAATTACTGTTTTAGAATCTTCCAATGTGTGATTGGCTGAACGAAATTCGTAAAGTTAGTCTTAAATCTTGATAGAGATATTAGATGGGCCATCTTAATCTACTGTTGAGGATTTTACTATTGCTGCTGCTAAAAAGCTGTGTTTGTTGTTATTTATACCTGAAGAATTTTCTCTTACGGCATGACAAAAACTCTGATTACTCTCAGCAATGTTTAGAATATTGCAAGCTCTTAGTTTCAACGGGAAAGTTGACAGGCCGTATCTGATAATTTGGTTCCTTCTTTCTCTTTTGATTTCCAGATTCTGGAATGGCTTAGATACCAGAACTGGTGGAACTTCAGTGAAATGGATTTTTTGATGCTCATTACAGCTTATGGGAAACTAGGAAACTTCAATGGAGCTGAAAGGGTTTTGAGCGTACTGAGTAAGATGGGCTCGAGTCCAAACGTGATTTCTTATACCGCTCTCATGGAATCTTATGGAAGAGGAGGCAAATGCAACAATGCTGAAGCGATATTTCGGAGGATGCAGTCTTCAGGCCCAGAGCCTTCTGCTGTAACTTATCAGATTATACTTAAAACTTTTGTAGAGGGGAACAAGTTTAAAGAAGCGGAAGAGGTTTTTGAGACTCTTTTAGATGAGAAGATATCGCCATTAAAGCCGGATCAAAAGATGTATCACATGATGATATACATGTACAAGAAGGCTGGGAATTATGATAAGGCTCGAAAAGTATTTGCTTCAATGGCTGGGAAAGGAGTTCCACAGTCTACTGTCACTTACAATAGCCTTATGTCCTTTGAAACTAATTATAAAGAAGTTTCTAAGATCTATGACCAGGTGATCTGAATGATCCTTTCTTTTACGTAATTGTTAAACGCTAGAAACACCAGCTACATATGTCATTGCCTGCTATAGTACTAATCCAATCCTTTTAACTGAATGTTTAACTTTTCAGATGCAAAGATCTGGTATTCAACCCGACGTTGTAAGTTATGCTTTACTTATCAAAGCATATGGAAGAGCCAGAAGAGAGGAAGAAGCTCTATCCGTTTTTGAAGAGATGCTTGATGCTGGTGTAAGGTCAGTTTTTCAGCTTCCAAAGACAATTTCTTGCTGCGATGGCTCGGGAATGGTTTCTCTTCTGGATATATTATTGTCTTTTTTTTTTTGCTTTGTGGTCAGGCCGACGCATAAAGCATATAACATTTTGCTTGATGCATTTGCTATTTCGGGAATGGTGGAGCAAGCAAAGACCGTTTTTAAAAGCATGCGACGGGACAGGTAAAGAAGACTTCTATCATGTGAATGGTGTTGCTTCTACGTTTTAAATTGACAGAACATAATTCCCTCGCAGGTTTTTCCCGGATCTCTGCTCTTACACAACTATGTTATCAGCCTATGTAAATGCCTCGGACATGGAGGGTGCTGAGAAATTCTTCAAGAGGATAAAAGTAGACGGTTTTGAACCGAATATAGTCACGTACGGGGCAATGATAAAAGGGTATGCAAAAGCAAACGATCTCGAGAAGGTCATGGAAGTATATGAGAAGATGAGGTTAAGTGGCATCAAAGCGAATCAAACCATCTTAACGACTATCATGGATGTGTCTGGGAGGTGCAAGGATTTCGGGAGCGCTCTTAGTTGGTACAAGGAGATGGAGAGTTGTGGGGTGCCACCTGATCAGAAAGCTAAGAATGTGCTTTTATCATTGGCTTCAACTCAAGATGAGTTGGAGGAAGCTAAAGAGCTTACTGGTCTCAGAAATGAAACAACAACCGTCATTGCTAGGGTATATAGAACTGATGATGATGATGAGGAGGAGGAAGATGTAAGTAGTGATGATGAGGATGAGGATGAAGATGAGGATGACGATGACGGAGATGGTGATGATGATGCAAGGGAAACTGTGTTGTATGATAGCAAGCAGGAAGGTTCTTTGGTTTATGATAATTCACAGACGGAAGAACTTGTGGGCTTATGAAAATTTCGAGAAAAGTTTGATTTTTGTAGTCATCTAAAGCCAAAAGAAAGATTTTGCAGAAGGGGACTAAGTAGTTTGTCCATTCTTTTTGTCTGTAGTTTACGAAACGAAATGTGTTACTGAATCCTAAGAACAAAAGGTTAATTATTTCATATCTCTTGCAAACAAAAGAGAGGAGAAAAGAACAGAGTTGTTGTCGCTGTCATCTTAGACTCCTTCGCTAGCCATCTCTTGATTCTCATTTGCCGAATCTTTTATCCTATGAGCTGCATTTTCCACCTGCAACAGATGCAGAGTAAAGGTAAGAACTTTGGACTACAAAAACAGAGAGAGATTTGTGACTCTTTTACCTCGGAAGTCCAGTTAGTTCTAAGTGTAAGAACGATCAAAGTTATAGTTTGAAGTACGACTCCTGCAATCATCCCCCACCAGATCCCCTGTAATGAAATATCTCCCAAATCTTATGAGACAACACATAAATTCATAGGAAGAGAGAGAGAATAAAAGAGAGAATGAGAGAGAGAGAGATTATACAGCAACTCCAAGACTTGTTTTGAAGCCAAGAACACAGCCAATAGGAAGACCAATGACATAGTAAGTAACAAGATTCACATAAGCCACCACTGCTTGCCACCCAGTTCCAATAGCAACCCCTTTTTTTCAAATGTCACAAAGATTAGTCCAAAAGAACAAGGATCAATCAACAAACTCTAATTCACAATTAAGTCTCTTTTGAGTGTGTTTTACCAGAGAGAATTGGTTGGATTCCGTTTAAGAAAATGGAAACAGCGAGGAGAGGGAAGAGGTCAGAGACTGCAACTATAACCTCTGCGTCACTGGTGAAAGCTTTGCTAAGGCCGACGCGGAACACGAGCACCACGACACAGAGGAATAAGCTGATGAGAATTGTCGTGATATTGACCACTACCACTGATAACATAGCCACTCGTGGATTTCCCGCTCCTAGCTCATTGCTCACTCGGACACTAAACAGAAACAAAAACACAAACGTCACGGTTTTGTGAATGGATAATTAAAATTAAACACTGCATGCAATTTTTTTGTTTTGTTACCTGATTGCTGCACTTAGACCAAGCATGAACTGCATATCCCAATTCAAATAATACATGCTGAAAAAATACTAAAACCGGGTTAACATTTAAACAGTGAGATTCATCGGTATATCAGTATATGTATATGTCTCGGTGAAAATAGTACCAAATCGAAATGGCGTCTAGAGAAATTGTGGGATTAGTGAGTAAACCGGAGATAATCACTAGCCCTTGATTGTACCATATCTCCAAACTGCAGTTTTTTTCATTTCCAAGTCGTATCAGCTTTCTTTAAAGCAGAGATTTAACCCGTCAAATCTAACAGATTTGTGTTTTTAGATTAGAGACATTTACCATAGCATGACTGCTGAAGCTACCGTGAGCTTGAAGTAAGGCCAAATCCCTCTGAAGGCCCTAGCGGAAAACCCTGTCCAAGTCTCCTTACAACTCGGGCTCATCACGATATACAGACCATTCACAGCCACAAGAAGCCACCACGAGAAACTCAGAACAAGAGCCGCACCGAGCAAGCCGAAATCCAGGACGTTGGTGACCAGCCACGTGAGTAACGTGTGGAGCAAGAAAACTCCTAATGACATGTAAGCCAAAGGGTTCACTATGTTCTGAGCCTGGAGAAACCTCTGCATAGGACAAGCGAGGGCGAAAGCGTAAATCTGCGGAATCATCCCGCGTGCAAAGATCTGACCCTCGCGTGCGATGGCTACAGTTTGGCCCATAGCCTTTAGGATCGGACCCGAGTACCAGTAGAGGAACGTGAGGAGCACTGCAGCTGCGAGGTGCAAGACTATGGCTCGTTGGCAGATTATTCCCATTGATGAGTACTGTCTCGCGCCGTACGCTTGACCACACACTGTCTGGACCGCGCTCGCCATTCCCAGCTAGTCAATTTGAATATTTGATGATAAATGAAAAACAATTAAAACCAAGAGTGGTCAAGAAGGATAAACCGAACCAAAACCGAACTAGATGATGTTTTTATTAGGGTTCTTATCTCATTCTTAGATCAATAGTTCGAAAAATCGAGAAACCTAACCCTAAACCCGGATTTACAAATTACAAAAATGGTTAGCAAATGAATGTAAAGTATTTTACCTCGGACGACGTCGGTTACTATATACTCTGTTTTTACTCGGTATGAAATTCTAAAGCACATACAAACATATATTATATGGACCGAAATGTTTCTGCGTACCATGATACCGTAAGCGAGGCCTTGGATACCGACGGTGGCGATGGATGCGCCGGCGAGTTGAAGAGAGCCGAGATGGCCGGTGAACATAACGGTGACGAAGCTGAGCATGTAATTCAGCACAGAGACGACTATGGAGGCTCCAGATAGCTTCCATAGAAGCTTTGACTCCCACACGGCCAGCCTTAGCCACCATCGTGGCGTCACCGTGGATATACGACGGCCGAGAAACTCCTCTATCTCTGGTGAAGAACGTTCCGTTATCTGCGAGTCTGAGTGAAGCCGTCTCAATAGCGGCTCGTATGACTCTGTGGAGCTCATGGTCCGTTTGTTAGTTCGTCTTTTTTTTCTTCTTTTTTGGTGGTGTTGTTTTGTTGTAGTTTTCGACCGGGCGCGTTTATATTACGACTGTCTGTTTTGGTTATGTTGATGGGTTCGAGTCGTTGACCGAAATGGAATTGGTGGTTTTGATCTTTCATGACTGTTCGGTCTGATTTTCTTAGTGTATATTTATAGTGTAACAACCATTCTCTAGTTACCCAACCCAATTAGTGGCTTAGAGAGAGAGAGAGAGAGAGAAAGAGCCGACGACAAAAAAAAAGATGTCAACATCTGAACCGGATCAAATATTCATGTGAACAGCCGAACCGAACGAAATGAAATCAAAGTAATTGAACCGAAACAAGCCACAATTTTATCTTGACCGATTAGTTTATACAATTATCTTAACTGAACAAACCAATTAAAACTAATCAAACTTTACTCACTAGTTAATTTAACTTGTTTAGCTATTATTTTGATCACATTTAGTTTACGTGTTCATATTATTTGTTTGACTTTTTTATTTATTGAAAACCAATCAAATCAAACCAAAAGATTTGGTGAATGACACCAAAACGACAGCTCCAAAATCGGTAACAGTTCTATGGGAACGGGAACTAAAATTATACCGAACCGAATTATGCTTATGTGCCCAAGAGCAAAACTAGGCCTGTAAGTGTAACGGTACCTTCAGTGAAAAAAAAGTTGTTGATAACGATACCTAATGTTCGTCAACGATTGTGAATAGATCCAACGACTAGTCTTAAACCTTGTACATCCTCCAAATTATATGGGGTAATAGACTATGTTTTCCACGTATATAATCTTAAAAATGATTAAAATAATAGTGATTAAGATATATCAGTTAACTTTACATGTTACCACTTGTGTATTTCTACCCTATATGAAAGAAAGATACTAATAATAATGAGCTTTTGAGAGGAAAAGAAATGCTTTGGCGAAAGGAGAAAAAGCTTTGGAGAAATGTGGCCCACCAAAAGTCTTCTAGCTGCACTGGACGCTCTGTGCTCCTGAGGCCCAACTATAATATATGACCATCGAAATAATGACAAATCTTTAATCTCAAAAATAAATTATTTGAGTTTGATGAACTGTCCATGACGTAAGATGAAATCAATGAGTTGTCTATTAGGTCGGAAGGCCCCACCAGTTTCAGAAGATTACTCATTATTAAAAGTGTTTTATTTTTCTAATGATGTTATAACTTATAACTAAACTTTCCCATTGTATATCAAATCTTCTGAAACTGGTTTTGCTATAATCTTTTTAGTATTAATGTATTATGATACTCGATAACTTATTGGTTATCGAGTATTATAATACATTAATACTAAAAAGATTCTTTTAACAATGTGCATATATAGAAGTATTATTTTGCTATAATTAATGTCATTTTGATGTCTTATCATTTATTTAATTATTTAATGACTAGACAATGTATTAGGTTTTAATATATTTTTTTCCCACACAATTTCGTAATTTTTTTCTGAATTTATGCATGAAAAGAAGGTTTTTAAAATTTGAAATTAGGATATCATTGTTTTTAAAATAATCATTTAAATAACACAAGATGATAACAACAATTGGTCAAATTTAAACTAATTCATTTTAAAGAAATTTATTCCTCTTATAAAATCTGTTATAAAATCTGAAAATATTTTTTTTTATAAAATCTGAAAATAAAATTTGTTATATATAGTGTATGTATAAACTGTCAAACACTATTAATCAAGAATTAAGACAAACAATAAAAAAAAAGAAGTTTACCAAAAAAAAAACAACAAAAAAGAAAGAAAAAAAAAGATCATCGACGGTAACTAGAAGAACTAGGAGGACGTGAAGAAAAAGAGGTGACTAGAGCTCAAGGCAAGTCTGGGTTGTATTGTGTGCGGCACGTGCTTTTTTTTTCACTTAGTTACCCAGACGAACGAACCATTCATAAAACCCTAGACCTTCGTCTTCTACCTCACTTTCTCTCTCCTCGTCGTCTCCCCTTCCTCCTGATTTTGACTCTCGTCTCTTCGATTTCTACCGGAGAGACGACCGGGAAATTCGTGAGCTGTCGATTATTTTTCCGGAAAATCTGTTTGTGAATTTCCGATTTGAGTAGATGGATCCGTCTAGCCTTGCGTTAATCATTGGCGCGGCTGCTTGCAGTCCGAATCCCAGCGAGCGTAGAGCCGCTGAGCAGAGCCTTGATCAGGTTAACACAATTCTTCTTCTTCTAGTTATTGTTCCATTGTCTGCTTACTTCGAATTTCCAAAATTCAAAAGAAAATTTGATGGAGAACTAGACTTATCCGAACTCGGAGTATGGATGTTTTTTTTTTTTTTTTAATAAGATTGACTTGATTAGACTGTGGTCAACAATACTATTGAGGAAGTTAAAGCAATCAGTTATATATGCTATATGGGTTTAATTTTGCTTCGAATATCGAATTCGCAGATTCAGCACACTCCGCAGCATTTGATAAGGGTTTTGCAAATTGTTGTTGATGGTGGCTGTGACCCTGCTGTACGCCAAGCTGCTAGTATCCATTTCAAGAATTTCATCGCTAAGCACTGGGAACCTCATTCTGGTAAGTTATTTGTTTGTCGCTTAAGTTAGAGGCATTGAATCGAGACTTCTTAGTTAATCCTTGTCTTATTCCATTTTTTGTTATGCAGGTGATCAGAACAAAATCTTGCCAAGTGATAAGAATGTTGTCAGGGACCAGATTCTTGTATATGTCTCTCAACTTCCACCTATATTGAGGTAACAGCTATTGTACACCTTGACAATGCCCCTTTATTATAGCCAACCTTTGTGTTCAAGTTGTCTACGGACTGATATGTCTTTGATATGTAAAGTGCAATGGCATTTACTTATGCATATACGTACATGATTGGAATCCTCTACTCTGACGTATACAGATGAAAATTCCTCTGTTTTGATGGTCCTTATTCTAGCTCGTTTCTGGTGTATATGATGCAGAGTTCAAATGGGAGAGTGCCTGAAGACCATAATTTACGCTGACTATCCTGAGCAATGGCCCCATCTCCTGGTTTGGGTTAAGCACAACTTGCAGGATCAACAAGTTTATGGAGCGTTATTTGTGTTGCGGATTCTATCTTCAAAATACGAGTTAGTTTGCTTTATGAACTTTGGCTTATGTTTAAGAATCTAGTTGTTCCAAAATGGCCATGTGCTTAGAAATTGTAGCTCATGTTTTTCGCCTTCTCATTCGTAGTTCATGTCACAGGCATAGATTGGAAATAGACCTCTCCCATATTGTTAAATATTCTTTTTTTACTTAATCAAAGATTCTCTACTCATTGGTGCTATTTACTGCGCTCTGGCATCCGAAAAGGCTTCTTTCATTCTTTGCACGAGTGATTTGTTGATGTATATAGTCTGCTCAATTTTGGTAGTCATAGAGGGTTATATCACTGTAGCCGTCTTTGCTTATGTTACCATTATTGAACTTACAAGAATGGCATTATTATCAGTAGTAGACTAGTATAACAGAAGTCCGCATTAAGACAGCTGGAGTGACACATCTCTTTGGGGTTGATGCTGTTAGCCATGAAGAGTTGGGATTATCAGTTATCATATTCAAAGTCATGGCAATAGCTTCTGTTTTTCTGGATAAAATAATATCTCTCGTAATTTTCTCTTATTTCCACTGTCGGTTTATAGGTTTAAGTCAGATGAAGACAGGGCACCCATTTACCGAGTAGTCGAGGAGACGTTTCCACATCTTTTGAATATATTCAATAAGCTTGTCCATATTGAAAATCCTTCTCTCGAAGTGGCAGACCATATCAAGCTTATATGCAAGATATTCTGGTCATGTATTTATGTAAGTTGTATGTCGTGGCCGTTATTCTGAATCGTTCTTCATTGCATTCTGGCTTAAAATTGAAAAAATTTACGGATTATAATTCTTGTGAGGATATTAGGTAGCATCTGGTGAAGTTTTTTTTTATATATCTCTTTCATCCTTGTTTATACAGCTAGAGCTTCCGAGACCATTGTTTGATCCAAACTTGTTTAATGCTTGGATGGGTCTGTTCCTAAACATTTTGGAACGTCCTGTTCCCGTAGAAGGTCAGCCTGAAGACCCTGAGCTTAGGAAATCATGGGGATGGTGGAAAGCCAAGAAGTGGGTTGCTCACATCTTAAACAGGCTGTACACTCGGTATGCGGGATAACCTATCTATTAACTTACAACCTTGACACTTTTCTTTTTTAAATTGCCTTTAAAATAACTGTTTAAAAAACATGTAATAGGTTTGGAGATCTGAAACTTCAGAATCCGGAAAACAAAGCCTTCGCCCAAATGTTTCAGATGAACTACGCAGCCAAGATATTAGAGTGCCATTTGAAATTGTTGAATGCCATTCGTATTGGTGGTTATCTTCCTGACAGAGTCATCAACCTAATTCTTCAATATCTAAGCAACAGGTTGGATATTCTCTATGGTATACAAACTTTTGATCATCGTTATAAATTTATTTGAATATGAATACTCTGGATCTATTGAACTGACTAAGTATTGCACGTGAAGTGCCTGAAGAAGGATAGTTTTGGCTTTATTGGAGAGTTTAGTTAATAATATATTTTTTGCTGGTTTGAAAAACCTTTGGTATAGGTATTTCATACCTTTAATCAAACCTGTAGCCATAGTTAGACATACAAAAATTTGCCTACCTACGAACTCGGCATTTGGTCCCACTGAATTTCATCTTTAGGGAGTCGTGGGTTAGATTTTCTAGTTGCAATATCTATCAGTTCCTTGAAAACTGATGAAGGCTTTATCTGGATTAACTTGTTGTGTCTCTGCAGTATCCCGAAGAATAGCATGTACAACTTACTGCAGCCCCACCTTGATGTCCTACTATTTGACATAATTTTCCCTCTAATGTGCTTCAATGATAATGATCAAATGCTTTGGGATGAAGACCCGCATGAGTATGTAAGGAAGGGTTATGGTATGTTCTTAAAGTCTTCTTCGTCTAGTTTGGATAATCCTAAAACATGCCTATTTCTTACAATACCATTACTTGTTCTACAGATATAATTGAAGACTTGTACAGTCCCAGGACTGCATCTATGGACTTTGTGACTGAGCTGGTCAGAAAGCGTGGAAAAGAAAACTTCCCAAAATTTATACAGTTCATCGTGGGCATTTTTAAGAGGTACCTTCAAACTTCATCTACAAAAAAGGGTCTGATTATATAATTGCGACATGATAAATTACTTTTTTTCTTTGTTTTAGATATGATGAAGCACCTTTAGAACTAAAGCCCTATCGCCAAAAGGATGGTGCTCTGCTCGCTGTTGGGACACTTTGTGATAAACTGAGGCAAAGTGAACCCTACAAATCTGAGTTGGAGAATATGTTAGTGCAACATGTTTTTCCTGAATTCGGCAGCCCTGCTGGTCATCTTAGAGCCAAGGTTTTAGTGACTGCTTTAACTTGTTTAGCCACCCCTTCTCATTCGTTTCTGTTATGAAAATCATACCTCTATTCATTATCATTTATGCATGTGAACATCTACCATTCCTGTTCAATTAGTTATCTGATGTTTAACATTTTCGCCATCTCCAAAAGCTTGAGTTTCTCTATTTACTACTTTGTGAAGTCGTTGTGACTGAAGTTCTTGTTCATCACTATCCGGTGAAGTTTATTCGAAGGATGACCTGTGGTATAGGATATACCTGCTTAGATTTTTTGTGACTGAATTTTTGTTCATCCTTATCTTTGTGGGGCTGCTGCGATAAAGCAACCCGTGTTTGTTAAATGATGCTGTCTCACCCATATTGCTTTAATTACAAGGAGATGGTAACTTGTCAGGCTTATTTTCCAACATCTTCAATCCTCTGTGTAGGCTGCATGGGTTGCAGGGCAGTACGCACACATTAATTTCGCAGACCAAAACAATTTTTCCAAGGCATTGCATTGTGTTATCTCTGGAATGCGTGATCCAGAACTTCCTGTTCGGGTGGATTCAGTTTTTGCTTTGCGTTCATTCATTGAAGCCTGCAAAAGTAAGTATTGGCCTAACCAAAAAATATGTTTCTGTCTCTTCTTAAGATTTCCCCGTCCTGTTCGTTCATCAGATCTTTTGTATATAACACATATTAGTATAAGTTCAACTAAATTTATCTGTCCTGCAGATTTAGATGAGATCCGCCCAGTTCTGCCTCAACTTCTTGACGGTAAGGCTTTTCGAATGATTTTGCTGTTATAGTTGTTCCCGTTTCAATTCATTTTAAAGCTAAAACCTACCATCATTTCAATCATCTGAAACAATCGTTATGGACTTGTGCTGTGCAGAATTTTTCAAGCTAATGAATGAAGTTGAAAACGAAGATCTTGCTTTTACTTTAGAGACTATTGTGTATAAGTTTGGGGAGGAGATTTCTCCTTATGCTTTGGGTCTGTGCCAGAACTTGGTAAGACAACATTATTTTGTGTCCCCTTTCGAGTGTTATTTTGCTTTAGCTCTATTATAATTTCTTGTTAATATATTCCAGGCCAGTGCATTCTGGAGGTGTATCGACACTGACAACGGTGATGATGAAACTGATGATTCTGGTGCATTGGCTGCAGTGGGATGTCTCCGTGCCATCAGTACAATTCTTGAATCTATCAGTAGTCTCCCTCATCTCTATGGTCAGATTGAACCACATTTGCTGCCTATAATGCGTAAAATGCTGACAACTGATGGTGAAGGTATGCATAATGTTTAGAGACTATATTTGGAGTTGTTAGTTATTTCTTGGGTTCCTTTGGATGAGGTACATCGAATCCATTGGGGTTTATGTAGATCTTGACCTAAATATTGTGAGTCATCTTATATTTTTTTGTATGGCCAGATGTGTTTGAAGAGGTTCTGGAGATCGTCTCATATATTACTACTTTTTCACCTACGATATCATTAAACATGTGGAGTTTATGGCCTTTAATGATGGAAGCACTCGTGGATTGGGCTATTGACTTCTTTCCAAGTAAGAAAATTTCAGTTTTTTAATTATGCCTTTTTTTCGTTTCATTCATTTTTCATAATTTTGTCCTATTTGTGTGATCGTTCTTTACAATATCATTAGATATATTGGTCCCGCTGCACAACTACATAACCAGGGGAACTGAGCATTATCTCACTTGCAAGGAACCCGATTACCAGCAAAGTCTTTGGAGTGTGATCTCTTTGGTAAGCTCACTAGATTGTCTCGTCTGTTTCCCTCTCGGCGTACACATAGTCACACACATGCATTGATTCGTGTGTCAACTCTTTCTTATGACAGCTTATGGCGAACAAAAATATTGATGATAGTGACATTGAGCCAGCTCCGAAGCTATTAGGGATCGTGGTTCAGACTTGTAAGGGCCAGGTGGATCAATGGGTGGAGCCTTACCTGAGAATCACATTAGATCGGCTACGAGGTGCCGAGAAATCTTCCTTCAAATGTCTTCTGATTGAAGTGGTAAGCAAAAAAGCCGCAGTTAAATTGTGTGTCATAGAGTTATGCTGCTTTTGTTTGAGCTGTCTTTCACCGAGTTAAGCGAAGTTGTTTTATTACCTGATTGGCAATAAGCGCTGAATGTTGCTCTTATATCCGTGGGGCAGATTGCAAATGCCTTTTACTACAATGCCCCTTTGGCACTTGGCATACTGCAACGCTTTGGTTGCGCAACAGAGATTTTAACTATTTGGCTCCACATGCTGCAAGAGAAGAAGAAGAGTGGTGTACATGCTAACTTCAAGAGGTGGGTGAATCTAATCTGTGTGACCTCTGTCTCTCTATTTTCTCATCACATTTCTTTGAGGATAATAATTTTCATTGATTCACATGCAGAGAACATGATAAGAAAGTTTGCATCTTGGGATTGACAGCACTTCTCAGTCTTCCTGCTGGTCAATTGCCCGGAGAGGTCTTGCCACCTGTATTCAGGGCTCTTCTCGAGCTTTTAGTGGCATACAAGGATCAACTTGCTGGTCAGTGCCTTTTCACTGTCTCTAATTTTTCTTATAACAGACCCTCACTTATTCCTATATGAACATGTATGTATAACAGAAGCTGCAAAGGCAGAAGAGGAAGAAGACGAAGAAGATGGGGATGATGACAACATGGATGAGTTCCAGACAGATGATGAAGATGACGAGGGAGATGAGAATCCCGATGAAACTGATGGAAGTACACTCCGCAAGTTAGCAGCACAGGTTTGTCTTCCCCTAAAATCAAAGCCACTTAAGAAGTGATTTATCTTAAAAAGCTATCAATGTGCTTGTAGTAGTAGCTTACTGAGGTCGCTTCCTTTGTGCATTATCTTTAGGCAAAGGACTTCCGCTCTTACAGCGACGATGATGACTTTTCGGAGGATGATTTTAGCGACGACGAGGAATTAGACTCTCCAATTGATGAAGTGGATCCTTTCATACTCTTCATGGATACAGTCACAGGTAGAACCCGATTTGTCATGTATATATTGACCTAAACATGGTATTATCATCTGATTTTTCCTTTGTTTTTTTCCTTCTCTTTTTAATAGCAATGCAAGCATCAGACTCGCTCAGATTCCAAAGCCTTACGCAGACACTAGATCCGCACTACGAAGGTCTTGCAAACAATATCGCTCAGCACACTGAGCAGAGAAGAGCTGAGATTCTAAAGGAGAAACAATCTTCCACAACAGTTGCTCCCTGATATCTCCATTACTCTATGATATTATCCTAAATACATAGAGAGGCTTATCGAGGTGAGTCTGGTCGACTCTCAGTTACTCATCTTGTCTGAGAGAGACCAATCTCTGCCGTCTCCAGTTTTGCATTTCTTCATCATTTTTTTTTTCCTTTGGTTTTCATCATCTCCAGTAGACCAAAGCAAAAGACCAAACCCTTTTGGGGTTCCTATTTTTTTTTTTTTTCAGACAGCAAACCCTTTGGAGGGTTTTTTTTTAATGTTCTCCGATTGGGATTGGATGCATATATTTAAAAAAGCACATAATTTTTTTCTGTTTGTTTGTTTATTTATCTTTTTATCTTTGCCACATTTCCTTATCTTGATTTGAATCGTTCTTCGCCAATTAAGCTGTGTCTATAATTTCAGAGCTGAATTTATTCAATTGTAATAAGGCGGTCAATTTTCTCCTTTTTTTTTTGCTTCGTTAGTAATTTGAGGATGATAAACGATTTTCTCTTTACATATATAAAACTTGTAGGCAGTAAGTATACAAATATACGTAGCGGATTGTGTATTTGTATTTGTAATGACTATATCGGTACATGATCATATATATCTTTTGTACCTGAGAATATAGATTTCTTTTCGATGATTTTTAATATATTTTCCTCATTTGTTTGGAATTTTTTTTTGCAATTGGAATGACTTCTAGAAGGTGAACGAACCTACACGGCTACACATAATAATCTTATATACGTTGTTAGTCTAGATGTCGCGTTTCTTCATCTTCTAATATGATTTGCCAAAAATTTGAAATTTTGAAGTATTTAAATCGTTTTTTTTGCTTTTATTAATATTTGAAGTGTCTATAGAATTATGGAGTAATGACTTTTCGTTTCTGTTAACAAATAATAGCAAAAGCGTTAGGTGCCAATGACACTTCTAACAAATCAAATCAATCAATCTCAATCCCTGAATCGAATTCATTAGTCTGCATTAGTTTACAACGCTTTTTCTAATTTTTTTCTTTAGTAACCAAACTTCAACTTTACAAGGAAAATAATTCGAAGAGAGCCCACAGACATATTATTATTACGACGTTAATTGATCAAGTATACGACCAATTCCATGAAAAAGATTGTAACATTTGCAGTTAAATCATTTGTTTTCGAGAAAAATTGAAGTAATTTATTAACATTCGAGTGTACATATGCTAAGTTTGAGTTGAGGTGAAATAATTACGACTTTAATTTTCCAAGAAAACACCTTTTAGTGATAAATCAAACAAATTTTAATTCCACTTCAGCAAGTAAGTATAATTAGCCAATATTGAACCGAAGTGATAGTGAAATCTTATTTCAAGTGTTCCAAGTTAGAGAGTCCGTTTTAACATTCAAACTTCTACGCTCGTAAACCATATCAAACTCAAGAGTCAAGATATTGAATCTGTTGTCTCTTAATATATATCCTCTAGTCTCGTCAAATCTTTTTTTTATATATGTATTACTTTTTGTTTTATGTTAAATACATATACATATGTGTTATATAATATATATATATATATATATACACTCTAAACTCGTCAAATCTTGTTTTGAATTCGACCAAAAAAACTATTTTATTTTGATAACCATGTACACATGTGTAGTATATTATCTTAAAATCACATATTTACTTACGGAGGTTATATTTACCTACGGAGGTTATATTTTCATATGTTAGGAGTTAATTATCAGTCAGGAAAGATTTGTGTTGAATATGAATGCCGCCCGACACGATAACAATATCAGTGGGATGAACGTTAAAACCCTATATGATCAGTGGGTTTATTCATGAGTATACTAAATATTGGGGAAAACAAATTTGTGTGTATTTTCTTTCTTTCTAACTATTGACGTAAGAACTATAAAGATTGGTAGAGGTGAAGTCAACCAGTAGCTCCAAAATCAGTCATTTCCTTAGCTTCAATGTACAACCATCGTCTTAATTTGGGGTCCATTTTAATCTGTTTCAACGTAACTCTCACCTTTTCTATGTAATTCAAAACTTTACATATATATGCAATTTAAAATATGAATTTGGTGACTTTCTTTTCTAAAGAGTTTTACTTCGTTTTTATTATTCAAATCATTGAACAAATGTATTTGAAAAATGTGTGTGCAGCATACACTAGATTCTAGGATTTGTCTTAATGATCAGGTTTTCCAAGACGATATTGCGATTAATTTTGGAAATTTATAAACCAAAGTTATAAAATGCAAAAAACGATCACTGATCATGATCATCAACATAAGAAAAAAAAACGATTTAAATAAATCAGTGATATAGAGCATCGATATTTTTAGTCTTTAGTTGCATGCATGTTTTCCAGCTCAGATTTCAACTGAAAGACAACGACATCTTTGTGGCCCAAGTTGTAGACTAATCTAAATTGGCTAATAATATTCATATATATGTAGTGCATGTATTTACGTGGTTGTTTAAATTTATATAAATATGAATGGAATATGTTTTCTTGATTCTCCCATGAAAGATAAATGAAAATCTATCTTCTAGTACTTTGGTAGTACTGACAATTTAAGGAAAGAAATTGATACTTTAGGCCACCTTTTGCAAACCGACCCACTATGTTCCGTCCATTATGCGTTAAATACTTTGAAATTACTTTAGGTTTTTCATAGTTCTCTATACGTGCAAGTTTTTAAAGTTGTTTTTTATATGCTTGTGGTCATGTTTGCATTCTAAATTTACTGAATTTTTTGTTTATAAACGCAAACCCAAAAGTAAAGCGTTTCAAATATGACCTAATTAGAATGTAGATGAATTCTAAACTATACAAATTCTGAAATCTATATAAATTAGCTGAGGACGACAAGTTCTCTATGAATAATTGAAATATAGTTGCGGCTTTAATTTGTTCCCGGCGGGTCCAAGTCGGTGAGTTGCAGTGACGACGACAGAGTGACGTGCGTCGCGGCATTAAATCTTTTAAGATCGAATGGCTTCGACAAAAAGATATCGGTCTCATTAAATCTAAATTAAGTTTTCCATGTGAGTTAGTCGTTAGGTGGAATCATTTGATTCATTATGCAGATGTTATACAAATTTGTCTTAATTTTCTCAATAATTTTTAGGTAACTCTAAATTATTGCTAGCATATCGTTAAATTAAGCAGGTATAAAATTAAAAAAAAAAATTTAAAAAAAAAAAAAAAAAAAAATTGTTCATTTGGTAATACGAAGTTATATATGTTTTTTACCCAAAAAAAAAAGTTATATATATGCCGCGATCATGACGCAGGAATCTTTCACATTAACTACCACTTCCTTTTCTCAAACGGCAGTTTATTTGGTGTGAATAATTTGGTCTCTTTATACACTTCTATTTGAGTGATTCTGGTCCATTGAAAGATAAAAAACTAAAATATTAAACGTAATTTATATATCAAAGTTGGGGATAAATTTTAAATTATACGTAACTTTACATCCATACATCTTACATACTTATGTTTGATTTTGCCTCAACATTAGGTGAAAATAATCAAATATTATAATTGAAAAACCCTTTCTCAAAAGAAAAAAAAAATATATATTCTTTTTTTTTTTGACAAATAGGAAAACGTTATATATTATAACTGAATAGTTTGCGGTCGTGTGTGGGTTTTGCATGGCTCGAAAATGATGTAGCGGCAACATATGGATTTTCTGTTGCGTATTGAAACTCGGATTTAAACATATTAATATGATATTGGTAAACAGTTCAATATCTGTCTACTTATGGAATAAGCTTTTTAATTATGAATTATCTTTCTTGACATACTTTTTTGAAAATCGTCGTCAAGCTTTCCTTAACATTTTGTAATCAGATCGTAAAATCAAACAATCCACTGAAAGGTTATAAACCATTAATCACATAAATAAGGATTTTTTAATTATATTAGGTATGTACTCGTATAAATTCGCACTATCGATATCGTAAGCCCATTTTAGAAAGGATTTACCCCTAAAAGATAGAAAACTAGTACTAAATTGGAAGTCTATACACATCAAATATGATTCCTAATTTGTGGCATATCTAAAGCCCGATCAAAAGTTTTTTGCTTTCGTCTTAAGGTTTGCATTAAAATCATCACATGCATAAAATCATTGAATTGGAGAAACATTTATTAAAAAGTTGTTATTACGTTAACATATCATGCTACATAAAATTCATTATCCGCTATAATGTTGATAAAATGAATCTTTGAGTTAGAAACAATGAAACCATCAGCATTTTTGATATTTAAAAATGTTCATATATGAAAGAGATAGTGTAGTGAAGATATTCCAGATCTGGTCCTCATTATATCCAATCTTGCCATTTTAACTCGTCGTCGCAAAGAGCTCGCTTTACCTGTTCATGATTATCAACATTCGTAAGTGTATCTTGTTTCGTTAAACATTGTATCTAATTACTTTGTTCTTTTCAATTTAAAAGCTTTCCGCGAAAATAAAAATGCAAGTTATATTAAATTTGGGTTACGATACGTTTAGATGTCAAATAAACAAAACAGAATGAGGTAATGGATAAATAGAAACCATTAAATAATAAGAAACAAAAAAAATCAACCTTTCAAAAAGCCATCAATTATCACTAGACAAGAAGGGATGGTGGCTGTCTTATATGCAAAAAAGGTTAACAGCGGATTATTATTTATAGGTTCATATAAATTTATTTAATAAGAAATTACCTTATTCGTTTTGCTACATCATTGGTTGAAACTTCAGAGTTCTACTAAAGAGGAAAAAATGTTAACAATGCATTATTGTTAATAGGTTCATATATTTTGAAAAAGAAATTACCTTATTCGTTTTCCTATATCAATGGTTGAACTTGAAACTTAAGAGTTATGCAGTACTAATGAGAAGAAAGAAAGAAAAAAAGAGCTGAGATTCAAGCCCACAAAAAGTAGTCAATACAGTTTATGCAGTACTAGTAGACTTTATAGCCAATTTCTTTTTTATAAGTATGAAACGATTATTTTGGAATCGTAAATTTATTTGATAGTTTTTTTTTACCAGTTACTCATGTGAATATATGGTACAATATGAAGATTGCTTATGCAATTGGTTTGCCACAAGAAGTAATCCATTATAGTGTGTTTGGTTTTCTCATGGTTTCATTTTCAAAAACATTACTATAGAATTGTAAAAAATGTTATTTTTTCTTTTGAATATAATTTAACATTTTATTCGAATATATATATATATATAGTACAATTCTTCAATTTTAAAATAATTAAAGTTTCAGATTTATGCGTGTAAATTCTAAAGTATTTTTTTATTAATAAGTTTTGTCTAAATTTAATATGTGGACTATTTTATCTACATTGAATTATTTTGTTTTCGTTGATTTATCTTGTTGATTGATTTTGATTTCGATGATTTATTTTGTCTTCGTTGACTTATTTTGCTTTCGTTGACTTATTTTGTCTTTGTTGAGTTATTTTTGCTTTTTGTTAATTTATTTTGTTTTCGTTGACTTATTTTATCTTTGTTGATTTACTTTTGGTCGATTTATTTTGTTTTTGTTGACTTATTTTGTCTTCGTAAACTTATTTTTGGTATTTGTTGATTTATTTTGTTTACTTATTTTATCTTTGTTTACTTATTTTGTCTCCGTTGACTTAATTTTTCTTTACTGAGTTATTTTGTCTTCGTTGACTTAATTTTTCTTTACTGAGTTATTTTGTCTTCGTTGACTTATTTTGTTTTCATTGACTTATTTTATTTTTGTTAGGTTATTTTTGGTCGTTGTTGATTTATTTTGTCTTTGTTAAGTATTTTTTAGTCTTTATTGATTTGTTTTGTCTTTGTTGACTTATTTTGTCTTTGTTGACTTATTTTGTCTTTGTTGACTTATTTTATCTTTGTTGACTTATTTTGTTTTCATTGACTTATTTTGTTTTGTTGAGTTATTTTTGGTCTTAGTTGATTTATTTTGTCTTTACTGACTTATTTTGTTTTTGTTGAGCTATTTCTGATATTTGTTGATTTATTTTGTCTTTGTTGACTTATTTTATCACTCGATTTTTTATATATGTAATATTTTTATAATTATTGTCATATTAATGCCCAAAAAAAATAAATCTAAAAACAAAATATATATAAACATAAAACTAAATAAAAATCTTTGTCAAAAAATTATCTAAAATAATACAAACTATATTACAATATGTGATAAGTAAAAAAGATAAAAATTTTGTGCAGATACAGGGGCTACAAATCTAGTAAATTCTTACAACATCAAACTGTCATCATTTATTTTGAAACGGAAAGAATCTAATAGTTAAATCGCTATTAAACAAGTTCTAAACAATTAACCGTTTCTAAACTGTTTAAACCGCCACTGATTATATAAATTTGATATCTATAAACACAATAATTATATAAAAATTGTCATCTACAACTCACTTGCGAATAATATCATTTTTGAATCTACGTTGTGATACATTATCGTCACGAATATATACATTATCGTCATGAATTGTAACTTTCAATGCATAATAAACTTCTGTGTCATTGAAAGAATATAGAGCTTTCAAATCCTTATCAATGATTACACGGAAGTTTATTATGCGTTTTTTTTTTTTTTAAGTTTATTATGCGTTAAAACTTAAAAGTTACAATTACAACAAGTAAAATTAAATCCTATCTTGACATGTCAACATATGACCTTCATTTTTTGCGTAGACACTACTCTAATATTAAACAATTTCTTCAAAAAAAAATTAATTTATGAAAAAGAAAAAAAACCATTTATCTGGTGATCATTTTAAATAAATTTGATCATTTAATTTAAATCATCTGAGAAACTTAATACTAATGAAGACATAATCTAAGAAATGATGTGTTATCCACAAAATACTATGGCTCAATTTTTTTTTTTCTTTTTGTACCAAAGAGTTTGCATTCATAATTTCTTTCAAGCAACATCAAAACGAGATAATACATTAAAAAGTCTATTCCCAACAGTTGGAACTCAAATTTATAAACTTGGTCCGCCTCATCTTCAAATGGATCTTAGCACAACTGGTACCAGTTGATTATGCAACAACATCTATATATACATGATGTAAATACAGAGATTACTAGCAATCACATAACACTTCAATTCTCTACTAGACAAAAACCATCAAAGTTACACATGGCAACTACATCATCCTCGTTACCAAATCATAAGTTCCGGATCAAACTTTTGTTATTCCTGATCTTAAACCTCTTGTATCTTCAAACTTTTGTCTTTGCACATTCATCAAACTCTAAATTCTCCAAATTCTCAAGACAACCAAACTCCGATTCATCATCATCAAGGAAAACCAAATACTCAACTTCTTCTTCTAACGAAGGGTTTCTCAGCTCTGTCCAACACAGCTTGGACCACGCTCTCTTAGCTCAATCTCTCGCCTTCAATCTCACACTCTCGCACCGTACAGCTCAAACCCTCATGCTCGATCCTGTCAACGACTGTCTTGAGCTGTTAGACGACACACTCGACATGTTGTCTCGCATCGTCACCATGCCTAAAAACCAAGTTAACGATGATGATGTCCATACGTGGCTAAGCGCGGCGTTGACTAATCAAGAGACTTGTAAGCAAAGCCTCAACGAGAAATCTAGCTTCAACAAAGACGGAATCACGATGGATTCCGTTGCAAGAAACCTCACCGGTTTACTGACCAATTCACTAGACATGTTCGTTTCCGCTAATCAGAAACGGCCTTCTTCGTCGTCTAGTAGTGTAATCGGTGGCCGGAAATCTTTGTCCAGTCAAGATTTTCCGAGGTGGGTTTCTTCGTCGGACCGGAAGCTTCTAGAAGCCTCGGTGGAAGAGCTGAGACCTCACGCGGTGGTGGCTGCCGACGGAAGCGGGACCCACAGGAGCGTAGCGGAAGCGTTGGCGTCGTTGGCGGAGAGCAGTGGCAGAAGCGTAATTCATTTGACAGCCGGAACCTATAAAGAGAATCTCAAAATTCCGACCAAACAGAAGAACGTTATGTTGGTTGGTGACGGAAAGGGCAAAACAGTTATTGTCGGTAGCAGAAGTAACAGAGACGGCTATAATACTTACCAAACCGCTACTGTTGGTGAGATTTTCATTAAAAACTTTAATCACAAATAAGTCGATTGGATAAAAGTTTATGACTTTTTGTCGTATGTTGTGTCCGCCATGTATAGAGGCTCTCTGCTTATTATTAAAGTTATGACTTTTTAAAAGTTACTAAATTTACTTATCACTCTTTGTTGATTTGTGAAAGCTGCCATGGGAGATGGGTTCATAGCTCGGGACATAACATTCGTGAATAGCGCCGGACCAAACGCGGAGCAAGCGGTGGCATTACGGGTCGGGTCAGATAGATCCGTGGTATACCGATGCTCAATCGATGGGTACCAAGACACACTCTACACTCTCTCCAAACGCCAATTCTATCGAGAAACCGATATTTCCGGCACCGTCGATTTCATCTTCGGAAACTCCGCCGTCGTTTTCCAAAGCTGCAACATCGCATCCCGAAAAGGATCGTCGGATCAGAACTTCGTCACGGCCCAAGGACGATCCGACCCGAACCAGAACACAGGGATTTCGATCCATAATTGCAGAATAACCGGTTCGACCGGGACTTATTTGGGTCGGCCGTGGAAGCAGTATTCGAGGACTGTTGTGATGCAATCGTTTTTGGACGGTTCGATTCATCCTTCGGGTTGGTCTCCTTGGTCGGGTAGTTTCGCTTTGAAGACTCTGTTTTATGGTGAATTTGGGAATTCGGGTCCTGGATCATCGGTTTCGGGTCGGGTTAATTGGCCCGGGTACCACCCGGCGTTGACGTTAACCGAAGCTCAAGGGTTTACCGTTTCGGGTTTCATTGGCGGGAATTCGTGGTTGCCGTCAACAGGTGTCGCTTTCGACTCCGGGCTTTTATAATTTCAGTGACCTTTATTTTAATTATGAATCAGCCAATGATATGGTATAAATTGTAATTTATTATACTTTTGTGTATTACGCGGTTTGTGTTTGGGGTTTATATACATCTTGTCATGAATAAAGTGTTAAAACTGGTATTGTGTATATAATACAGTTTGTAATATCGATAATTGCCATTCAATTCACTCTATCAGAATATCTTACATCTTTGTGTGTATTTTTTGTTTCATCGTGAAATTAAATTAGCCAAGGATCTAAAAATTACAGAGACGCAGGTAGGGAGGGAGATAATATCCGAAGAAAAGCATAAATTGTATCATTTTTAGCATATCTAAAGAAGAATCCGAAGGACATGAAAACAAGAATCCGAAGGACAAAAGCAAAGCAACTCTGAAAGTAACTAAAAAACAGACTCATGATGCTCAAACGGACCTACCGTGATCCAGGAAGAGTAAACTCGAACTGAATCTTGCACTTAGACGATCTAGGAAGATTTAGCAGATTGGTCCTGAGTCGAAGTTGTTTCTTGTCATTTCTTTCATCAGAACAAACTTTGACAAGCTCAAGACATGACATTTTCTCCAGGATTTGTTTCATTTCCTCCAAATCTCCTTTACTTCCAAGGTACTCTGTGATCTCCAGGATCTTCACAGGGCATGGCAGTAGAAAAGAATGACAATTACTCTGCAAGGTACCCTGCATAAATAAATAAGAGAGGATTAAAAATTTGGAATAAAATTTTATAGGTGTGTAAACCTGAAACTGTTTTGGTATCCATACCACAATGACGAGAGTCTTCAAATTTGGAGACTTGTTTAGTAGATATGACAGAGTGCGCCAACATATCTTTTTTCCAGTTGTAACAGATAAATGGTGCAGGTTTTTAAATACAGGGATTGCTTCACGGAAGTAATAAAACGCCTGAAACCAAAACCTCAAGAAGTGAAACATTTTCATTTCTAGCAAGAAGTGAAACAATGATGCTCTTTTTTCTATATGCTTACTTATCCAAGTTGAAATTAAAAAAAAAAGAAGAAGAAAACAATGAGAGTATACACTTTACCTCCATAGTCATAGTATCATATAAGTCCAAGATCTCAACATTGCTTAACCCCTTAATCAGATTGGTTACATCGCTTGTAGGAATGCTTTTCCGATATTGTCCGATCCAGCCCTGATTTTGTGGTAAAGTAAGACCGACCGTGGCTTCGACAAGTGAGCCGAGATTAACAGTTGAATAGGATTTCGGAGAAAAGTCAAAGTACTTAAAGTAGGTAAGACTCGGAGTATCAAAAGTAATGCTCTCCAAATCATACTCAACAATACCAAAGCAATATCTATGGTTTATAGTAAGTCTCTCAAGGCTTTGACTGGATACTTTGCGAGACCATTTCCAAAAATCCCATTCCACATTACGCATAACCAACTCCACAAGCACAGGGCAAGCAGAGAGAAGCTTCTGGAACGCACAACAACCACAAAGATCAGAGAATCTAACTGATTCAATAGTGAGAGTCTTGAGCGCAGGAAGAAGAGCATTCTCAGGGAGACGATCAATTGTCAAAATAGAACCTAGTTTAAGCTCAACAAGCGTCTTGCTAGTGAAGACCTCAAAAGGCAGTGAATACCCTTCAACTTCGCTGACCCATATATCCAGTTTCAGCTCCATGACACCACGCTTCAGGACATTACAGAGAAGACCGTTGACGTGAGCATGGTGATTTGGACCTTTACGCCTGCGACATTTTAGAGAGAAGTTTCGTATGCGGGAACTGGCCGGAAGAGCCAACAGTCTATCCAAGTTATTCTTCAAACTCCCTGTGTCATCAAAATCAAGTTTTGGTATGATGGTATAGAGATTTTGCCACCTCTTTGAGAGAACCGATGCAAAAGCAGCCTCCTTTGCCGAAAGGAAAGATACAATATGACATATGATTTCATTTGGTAGACTGCTGATCCTATCCATCCTTTTGCTCAATTTAATTGAAACAGAGTTTTCTACCACAAAGAATCACCTACGACGGTATCAATAAACAGAGAAAGGCCACATTATGATTCTCTTTAAAAAAAAAAGAAGTTACAAAGTATAGATATTCACCAAAGATATAAGGATAAAATAAAGAAAACCCGTATGTGAAACTAAGATGAGAAAAGCAGAAGAAAAGTCTCAAACCTGGAGTTCAAGAGAACATAAAAACCCATATGAGAAGCTACTCAAAATCAATTTTTTTTTTTTTTTAACGTAACTCAAAAATAATTTGATGCTCAAGGTTTAATTCAAAAATAGCACAAGGGAATAATAAGATATGATGAGCTGAGAGCTCAACTTCAGCACATATCTAGAGATTTATTGATGTAACAGATATTTGCACAGGAGTTACTAAAAAAAAAATCAACTACACTATCTTGTAACTTACAAATATACTAGATTAGAGAACTTATAAGTATCTCTTAAATAATCTAGCTCTCTTCAAGCTTTATCACAACAAACAACAATGCTTGCAAGCTTTTTTCCGATTCTCCTCGCAAGAAAACCTAAAAACCCTTTCAGTGCATAGTAAGTTTTGAAGGAGCTAATCGGACTCTATTTATAAGGCCACTGAGCTTCTCTACTTGGGCCGACCATACATACTTTCGCAGCCCAAACCCAAGCAGTCCCGATTTGTTCACGAACTAAACCGGTGATTCTTACAGAACCGGATAAAATAGGACCAACATTGACCCAAGGGTCGACTCCGCATTAAACCCTCAATTTCGTTCTCTCTTGTCTTCCTAAAAAAACACAAAATTGGATGTTTCTGCTTCTCAGAGATGCAGTTGCATGTCTAGGCGAACTGAAAAGCCTGGGACTTTACCCTCTACCTTTCGCTGGATATTTGCTTTCTCCATACCTTCGCTTGTAGGGCCATTAATTCAGCCAATCTCTTCTCAGTAGAACGCATTCACTGAAAAATCCTCAATTTCGGTGTTGGAGTTGGCCTTTGCAACGAGGTAGGTAAGTTTACTCATCTCCTCTGCTTCTACTGTTTTAATTATCTTTGAGGGTTTCTTAGTTCAAAGTTTCCTTTGGGTAGTTAACTGTGTTTTGCTCTTTCCCATTTCTCTTCTCTCCTCGTTTAGGGACTAGTTTTTAATCCTGGTGCAGAGAAGATGGATCGAGTGAGCAGTCGACCAGACGAGCTTCTTTGTCATGTATTGTCCTTCCTCCCCACCAAGCAAGCTGCTTTGACTCCTGTTCTCTCAAAGAGATGGCTCAATCTGTGGAAACTTGTTCCTAATCTTGACATTGATGACTCTGTCTTTCTTCACCCGGAAGAGGGGAAAGGGGAAAGGGACGGGATTCGACAGAGCTTCGTCGATTTCGTGGACAGAGTACTGGCTATGCAGGGTGATTCTCCTATCAAGAATTTCTCCCTCAAGTGTATAACTTGTGTCCATCCAGATATTGTGAATCGTTGGATACGTAATGTGCTGCGGCGTGGTGTTTCAGACCTTGATCTTTTCATTGATTTTTCCTGGGAGGATATCGAAGAAACTAGTTATTATCTTCCTGAAGAGATGTTCTTAAGTGGGACACTAGTTAAGCTAAAATTAAGAAGTGAACGCTCTGTTGATTGGTGGCATGAAGATATGGGCTCTTCTTTACCAATGCTTAAAAGTCTTGATATTGACTCGGAGATGATTTTTTGTGATGATATTGAGAAGTTTCTTCCTTCTTTCCCTGTGCTGTGCTTGAGGAATTACGAATGGCTAATATGGAGTGGAGAAATTTTGATGTAACCGTGTCAAGTGCTAGCCTCAGAAAGCTAAGTCTCCACGGCACCGGTTGTGAAGGCTTGAAACCCTGGCAAAATCCAAAGAGCTTTTCTTTTGATACTCCAAGTCTGCTTTACTTAAACTACTCTGAGTTTGTTGCGGAGGATTATCCATTAGTTAATATGGAAAAATTATTGGAGGCTCGAATCAACCTTATGGTAAGTGATGATCAGATCAAGCGAGTAAGAGCGCCAGACAGTGACTGGTTAGAGGATGATGAGGATGATGAGGATGGCGAGGGTGATGTTGTTCAAAAATTTGGCAATGTGGTGAAGCTCATGAATGGCATACACCATGTTCAGAGACTTCAATTGCCTCCTGATACTCTCGAGGTCTGTTTCAATTTTCGTTCTTTCTTCTGGTCTAGTTGTGAAACACTAATTGTAAAATGTAGCTGGGCTTTGTTTCTTGTTGTCAGGTGCTTTCTCTGTGCTGTGAATCGATGCCGGTGTTCAACAACCTCAAATTCTTAGGTGTTGAAAGTGAAGAGGACCGAGGATGGCAAGCAATGCCAGTTTTACTAAGGAGTTGTCCACATTTGGAAACTATAATCTTTCAGGTAGAATAGTAAACTATGAAATTACATACTTGGACAAAAACATGTGTTAAAGATGCAATTTTTTTCCTTACGTTAACCTTATGTCTCCATTCTGCTTTCAGGGTCTATTACACTATGTAACAGATCAATGTGGGGATGCTTGTGCCTGCATTTCTAGGGAAGACAAAGGCCGATCACTCAAATATTGTCCAGTGAATAGGATAGAGATTCAAGGGTTTCGAGGAACAATGAAAGAGATGGCCATGATAAAGCATTTCCTGGACTATTTTCCGTGTTTGAAGAGGATGGACGTCTTTATTGAAGAGAATGATCCTACACAGCTCAGAAACCATGAAGTGTCTAAACTTGTCATTGAGATGTTTAGACTCTACGACAAGTTATCGAGTTGCAATGTCCAGCTTCTGGTGAGTGATTTCTTGGATCAGAAGTGGACTGCACAAGGACATCTCTGAAGCACAAGACTTACTTGCTGATGGTTTTGCCAATCTTCCGTTGGAAATTAACTTCGCGGTTCAATTTTGTTTAACTGGCTTGAAAACCTTTGTTTTTACCGTTTGTCAGAGTTTGCTGGGTGTTGTCTTTACCTTGATTTTACCATCTTTTGTCATGGTGTTGGTTTTAAAGTGATGATTTCTCAACAGGTTGGAAACCGTCCCAAACCAAACCAAACCAAACCAAAGCAAACCAATTGAAGACAATAAATTAGAACCAATACAAAACCAATTCCAGAACCTAGTATTGAGTTGTCTTTTTGGCTTGACGAGCAAAACAGGCATTAAATAAAAGCTACAAACCAGCGACTGTGGCATAGTGATACCGACCGTGGTTAAAAATCTCAGGAAGCACATCCATAGAATAGAAACCGTCGAATTAAACCGGTGACATTTTAAGAAAACCATCGACATAACCAACATATTCACTCCAGAGTAGACTCGCGCCTGCCTTCAATAACCCTCGATTTCGATTTCTGCTGCCTCTTATTTTCGCTGGATGTTTTTGCTTTTTCTTCATATCTCAAGCATTCACGCTTGTAGGGCTGTAGAAACCAGCGATTAAGCACACTCTCTCTCTCTCTTCTCACTGGACGCGTTTCACTGAAAATCCTAAGTTTGGGTGTTGGATCAAGCATTTGTAACGAGGTTGGTTTCTGTTTGTGTTCTTAATTGGGTTTTCCTCTGTTAAATTTCCATGTCAGAATCAATTGTTTTACCAGTATAGCTTATCGATGCTCCATTTATTACATACATTTATGATTAAACCTTTCTCTTGTTGGTACTCATGTAACGCTGATGTTCTTTAGAAAAGCTTTGTGATTTGGTGTATTTGATATACTTCTTCTTCCGTGCAGAGAAGATGGATCGTGTTAGCAGTTTACCAGACGAGCTTCTTTGTCACATCTTGTCTTTCCTTACGACAAAGGAGGCTGCTTTGACATCGATTCTCGCCAAGCGGTGGCGCAATATGCTTGCGTTTGTCCCTTATATTGATATTGATGACTCTGTGTTTCTGCATCCCGAAGAAGGTAAGCGGGATAGGGCAGAGATCATACAGAGCTTCATGGATTTTGTGGATAGAATATTGGCATTGCATGGTAACTCTCCCGTTAAGAGTTTCTCCCTCAAGTGTCTAACTGAGCTTGATTCAGATCGTGTGGATGGTTGGATACGCAATGTATTGGCACGTGGTGTTTCGGACCTTGATCTAGCAATCATTTTGGATTCGGAAAGAGATGAAAAGTATCGGCTGTCTCCAAAAGGCTTCCAGTGCAGCACACTAGTTAACTTGAAAATAGACTATGGAATGGATATTGGTTGGTTGGCTGGGTCCATTTTCTTAGCGATGCTTAAAACTCTGGTTCTTGATACAGTTGGTGTTTGTTCTGCTGAGTTTGAGATTCTGCTTCATGCTTTGCCTGTCCTTGAGGAATTAGTCCTGGTTGATATAATGTGGAAAGATGTGAATGTGGTGACCGTGTCAAGTGCCAGCCTCAAGACCATAACTATAGATTCCGACGTTTGTTTAAGCACTTTATCATTTGATACGCCGAGTCTCGTTTACTTTGAGTACAATGGTTATATCGCGTCCGACTATCCAGTAGTTAATATGAAAAACTTAATTGATGCTCGAGTCCACTTCGTATTAACTGATGGGGACCTCGAGCTAGCTAGAGGTCCAAATAATGCTTGGCTAGAGGATGATGAGGACGAAGTTGCTCGCGGATATAGAAATGTGTGGAAACTCTTTCATGGAATACGAAGTGTTCCGTATCTTGACTTGTATCCTGATACACTCGAGGTCAGTTTTTTTTTTTTTTTTTTTACGTCTCGTAATTTCTATATTCAGCTGATCTCGAGGAAATAAAAGAAGGCAATCTAGGACTTCGTGTCAATTCCCTGAACCATAGTGGTCATGTTTGGTCGGTCCCTTTTTTAACAAACAAGCAAATGTCTAGTTTTAAAACATGAATTTCCACATATCTTTCTTGTTTTGATTCCCCTAATTTTCAGGTGCTTTCTTTATGCTCTGAATCAATGCCAGTGTTCCACAAACTCAAATCGTTAGCTATTAAGAGTGACAAGGATCGAGGATGGCAAGCAATGCCAGTTCTTCTAAGGAACTGTCCACATTTAGAAACTCTTGTCATTGAGGTATAAAAACAACTCATTTTCCGAACATGTACAAAGATAGTTAGTAGGGTTTAAACTTTGATTCTCTTATGGTCTCTTTTCTGCTTTCAGGGTCTCGTGCACCATGTGACAGATAAGTGCGGGGATGCTTGTGACTGCATTTCTCGGGAAGACAAAGGTCGATCGCTCACATCTTGTCCCGTAAAAGTGTTAGAGATTAGAGGGTTTCTAGGAACCATGAAAGAGATGGCAATGATAAAGCATTTCTTGGACTATTTTCCGTCTTTGAAGGAGATGGAGATCTTTGTTGAAGAGGATGGCCCTACACAGCTCAGAAACCCTGAGGTGTCTAAACATATCTTGGAGATGTTTGAACTCTACAACAAGTTATCGAGTTGCAATGTCCAGCTTCTGGTGAGTGATTCCCTGGAAAAGAAGTGGCTGAAGAACAAAACCATTTCATAGTTTTGCCGAAGTCCCCTTGGAATCTGCCGGCAGTTTAATTGAAAATCGTAGTTTCTTCTTCTTTTTTTCCGAATCATTTACTATCAATAGCTTGTTTTCTTTGATTCTCTGCCAGGAATTTGCGTAGAGTGTCAAAGGTTAGCTATCACATAAGCCATCTTAACCTCTTAAATTTTAATAGTTTTAGGCTGCAAAAGATTTTATTTATAACTTTTTCAGAAACATCACATTAAAGTTTGATTCCTTACCGCTCTGTCAATTTCCATCCAGAAAGACACTCCAGGTCTTTGCTACGTTATTGGTTGAACACCGGCCTTTACTAAACCTATTGAGTGAGGCAAAGAAATTAGAACCAAAACAAAACCAATCAGTAATCATAATTTTTTTTTTTGTGTGTGCCACGTGGAAACAGTGATTTAACGAGCGAAGCGGCCATAAAATTAAAAACCAGGCTCGTTTAACCAGCGATCGTATCATCGTAGCCTTTGGTAAGTGATTCCGGCCGTGGTTGAAGACTTGAAGTCGAAGAACCGGTCTTTTTTTTTTCTTTTCCTTGCGACGAAAACAAGCTTCCATTAATGAGAAATATTTGAAGAACCGGCCTTTTAATTCCTCCGTTTTCCTCTAAACTTGCGCTAGTCAAATCCGAAGCCTGTCTTCTAAAAAAGTTGTCTTCCTACTAAAAGTGGATGTTTTGGCTTCTCCAATGCAATTGCATATCTTGTCGAACTGAAAGCCTGAGACTTTCCGTTCTGTCTTTCGCTGGGTATATGCTTTTTCTCACATCTTCGCTTCTAGGGCCATAGAAACCATCGATTAAGCACTCTCAACTCTCACTTGACGCATTCACTGAAACCCTTAAATTTGGGTCTTCGACTTCGCGTTTGGAACGAGGTAGGTGCCGAAGTCGTCTAATTCTATTCTCTGGTTGGAGTTTCTTAGTTGAAAGTATCCTCTGGGTGGATTCAAAATTGCGTTGTTAACTCGGCTAATCTCTGTTCCCATTTCTCGTATCTCCTCTTTGTGGAAATTTTGATAAATTTCATGTTGGAATCTACTGCTTTACCAATTTAGCTTCTAGATGCCTTCATATTTCCCTTTCTCGAATTTTACTGTTTGGTAATTACGTTTGTTGATGTTCTAATAGCTTTGAGGTTTATGTTGCTAATATACTTCTTTTTCGTGCAGAGCAGAATGGATCGTATGAGCAGTTTACCAGACGAGCTTCTTTGTCACATCTTGTCTTTCCTTACGACAAAGGAGGCTGCTTTGACATCGATTCTCGCCAAGAGGTGGCGCAATCTGCTTGCACTTGTCCCTTATCTTGATATTGATGACTCTGTGTTTCTGCATCCGGAAGAGGGTAAGCGGGATAGGACAGAGATTATACAGAGCTTCATGGATTTTGTGGATAGAGTAATGGCAATACAAGGTGATTCTCCCATTAAGAAATTCTCCCTCAAGTGTTTAACCGAGGTTGATTCAGATCGTGTGGATGGTTGGATAAGTAATGTGTTGGCGCGTGGTGTCTCGGACCTTGATCTATTAGTCATTTTGGATACTGATATAGATGATAACTATCGGCTTTCTCCAAAATGTTTCGAGAGCAGTACACTAGCTAAGCTGAAAATAGGCTGTGGAATTCATATTGGTTGGCTTTCTGAGAGCATTTTCTTACCGATGCTTAAAACTCTCGTTCTTGACTCAGTTGGGTTTTATGTTAATAAGTTCGAGAGTCTTCTTCATGCCTTGCATTTGCTTGAGGAATTAGTCCTGGTTGATATACTCTGGCAAGATTGGGATGTGAACGTATCAAGTGCAAGCCTCAAGACCTTAACAATAAAGAACGGCGGTTGTTTAGACACTTTATCATTTGATACGCCAAGTCTTGTGTACTTTAAGTACTCTGGTTATGTTGCGCCGGACTTTCCAGTAGTTAATATGAAAAACTTATTTGATGCTCAAATCATCTTCTTCTTAACTGAAGAGCAACTCGAGCGAGCTAGAGAACCAGATAATGGTGATTGGTTTGACGATGACGTTGTTCTTGGGTATAGTAATGTGTGGAAACTCTTTCATGGCATCCGAAATGTTCCGAATCTTTACTTGTCTCCTGAAACTCTCGAGGTCAGTTTTCTAGTTTTTCTCGCTCTTGTAATCTCTTTATTTATCTGGTCTCAAGGAAATAAAAAGAAGTAAAACCAGGGCTACATCTCAATTCCTGAAGCATATTGATCATGTTTCGAACAAGCGGTGGTCTAGTTTAGAAACATGTAACTGCAAAATGTCTCATTGTGATTTGTCTTGTTTTCAGGTTCTTTCTCTGTGCTGTGAATCGATGCCAGTGTTCAACAACCTCAAATCGTTAGCTATCATGAGTGACAAGGAACGAGGATGGCAAGCAATGCCAGTTCTTCTAAGGAACTGTCCACATTTAGAAACTCTTGTCATTGAGGTATAAAAGCAACTCATTAGCCAAACATGTACAAAGATAGTTAGCAGTAGAGTTCATACTTAGAATCTCTTTTGGTCTCTTTTATGCTTTCAGGGTCTCGTGCACCATGTGACAGATAAGTGCGGGGATGCTTGTGACTGCATTACTCGGGAAGACAAAGGTCGATCGCTCACATCTTGTCCCGTAAAAGTGTTAGAGATTAGAGGGTTTTCTAGGAACCATGAAAGAGATGGCAATGATAAAGCATTTCTTGGACTATTTTCCGTCTTTGAAGGAGATGGAAATCTATGTTGAAGAGGATGGCCCTACGCAGCTCAAAAACCCTGAAGTGTCTAAACATGTTTTGGAGATGTTTGAACTCTAAAACAAGTTATCGAGTTGCAATGTTCAGCTCCTGGTGAGTGATCTCCTGGAAAAGAAGTGGCTGAAGAACAAAACCATCTCATAGTTTTGCCAAAATCCCCTTGGAATTTGACTGCAGTTTCATTTTGTTTAATTGGCTTGAAAACCGTCTCAAATTGAACCAATCTCAAGACCGTAGTTTCTGTTGTGAAAACTTAGAAACTTTATTAATCACTGGAATGTATATATAGAGTACATAGGGAATCTAGATTAAGTACAATGCCCTGATGGGTCTAATGGGCCGGTATAAGAGTCCATATATGATATGTGTTATAACACTCCCCCTTGGACGAGTGAACCGGGTCAGCTACTCAATCGGGATCTCGATAATGCACTGGGGAATGTTGCCTCATTAAAACCTTACCAAGAAAAACCCAGTGGGACAAAACCATGGTGAAGGAAAAAGAGTACAACACGCATTACTCCCCCTGATTGTAGCATCACTGCAGATCTCTAAGTCTATACATTCCTATCTGTTTGACGAGCTTCCGGTGTGTTGAAGTAGGCAATGATTTGGTGAAGAGGTCAGCTGAATTCTCACTGGATCGGACCTGCTGAACGCTGAGAGTGCCGTCCTTCTGCCAGTCTGAGGTTGAGAAGAACTTCGGTAGAATGTGCTTCGTCCGATCTCCTTTGATATATCCTTCCTTGAGCTGAGCTATGCATGCCGCGTTGTCTTCATACATCACCGTGGGCTGTGTGTCTTCGTCCATACCACAATCTCTGCGGATGTGCTGAGTCATGGAGCGCAGCCAGACGCATTCCCTACTAGCCTCATGAATGGCTAGGATTTCAGCATGGTTTGATGAAGTGGCAGTGAGTGTCTGCTTCATTGATCTCCAAGAGATGGCTGTTCCTCCATGCGTAAAAACGTAGCCAGTTTGAGACTTGGCAGTGTGCGGATCTGATAGATATCCTGCATCGGCGAAGCCGACTAACCCATCTTTATTTTGGTTAGTATAGAAGAGTCCTAAGTCTTGAGTACCTCGAAGGTATCTTAGGAGATGTTTTATACCGTTCCAGTGCCTCTGAGTTGGAGATGAACTATATCGAGCGAGGAGGTTCACGGCGAAACATATGTCTGGTCTAGTGTGACTAGCCAGGTACATTAACGCTCCTACAGCACTGAGGTATGGCTTTTCAGGACCAAGGATTTCTTCATCATCCTTTTTGGGACCAAGAGGGTCATCACTTAAGCTTCTAACTACCATTGGGCTGGTCAATGGGTGAGCTTGGTCCATATTAAATCGCTTGAGTACCTTTTCGATATAAGCCGATTGATGCACAAGGATTCCTCCTTTGATGTACTCAAGTTGTAATCCCAAACAGTACTTTGTTTTGCCTAGGTCTTTCATTTCGAATTCTGCTTTTAAGCAGTCGACTGTTTGGGAGATCTCACCAGATGTTCCGAGGATGTTTAGATCATCCACGTATACTGCTATGATTACAAATCCTTTGTTTGAGTACTTCTTGATGAAGATGCATGGACTGATGGGGTCATTTTTGTAGCCTTCTTTGATGAGGTAATCGCTGAGGCGGTTGTACCACATACGCCCACTTTGTTTCAGTCCATACAAGGATTTGTTCAGCCTGATGCAGTATTGATCTCGAGATGCATTTTTGTCTTTTAGTTCAATGCCATCTGGGAGTCTCATATATATTTCGTTGTCCAGGGGCCCATAGAGATATGCGGTTACAACATCCATTAACCGCAGATCAAGATTTTCTCTTATGGCCAGACTTATGAGGAATCGAAATGTTGTTGCATCCACCACTGGAGAATAAGTCTCCTCATAATCGATTCCGGGTCTCTGTGAGAATCCTTGTGCTACAAGCCGTGCTTTGTATCGAACGACTTCACCGAGTTCGTTCCTTTTGCGCACAAAGACCCATTTGTGGCCCACTGGCTTGATGTGTGATGGGGTCCGGATGATCGGACCGAACACGTTTCTGAGTTTGAGACTCTTTAACTCCACGTTTATGGCTTCTTTCCATTTTAGCCAATCTGTTCGATGTGTACACTGTGTTATTGACGTGGGTTCTAGATCCTCTTGCGTGAGCGCAACATCAAGTGCTACTTTGTATGCAAAGAGTGCATTTAAGTCGACTTCTTTTCGATTCCATTGTATTCCGGACATATTGTAATTGATGGAGATCTCATTGTTATCTTCTGAACCTGGAGATTCGGCGTCCCGAACTTCCATTGAGGGTTCATTAGATTGAGTCTCAGCCGCGGCTATGTCTGATATTGCAGGAATCCCGGTTTCGGTTATTGCACCTTTCTTTGATTTCCGGGGATTCTTATCTTTGGAACCGAGAGGTCTGCCCCGTTTGAGACGTGGTGCAGACTCTGTAGCAACTTGGGTCTGTCCCGTTGGGACAGCTATTCGTACTGGTGCATTACAAGCTGGGATGTACGATTTGGTTACTTTGGTCGGGTCAGCAAAGGAATCTGGCAATTGATTAGCTAGCTTTTGATAATGAATAATCTTTTGGATCTCTGAATCACATTCTAGAGTCCGAGGATCTTGCCAATTTAATGATGTTTGATTCCATGAAAGATCTTTGACCAGCTTGTTTGTCTCACCACCTAAAGAGGGATATACCGATTCATCGAATTGGCAATCCGCATATCTGGCCTTGAAGAGATCTCCAGTGGTTGGCTCGAGATATCTTATGATGGTGGGAGAGTCAAAACCAACATATATTCCCATCCTTCGTTGAGGTCCCATTTTGGTTCGATGTGGTGGAGCAATGGGTACATATACTGAACACCCAAATGTTTTGAGATGGGAGATGTCTGGCTCATGACCCGAGAGTAGTTGGGATGGGGAATATTTGTGTTCACTAGATGGCCGGATGCGTATGAGTTCAGCAGCATGTAATACTGCATGTCCCCATGCTGAGGCCGGGAGCTTTGATCTCATGAGTAATGGTCGGGCTATCCATTGAATGCGTTTAATGATTGATTCAGTCAATCCATTTTGAGTATGGACATGTGCTACAGGATGTTCCACGGTTACCCCCATGGCCATACAGTAGTCATTAAACGCTTGTGAGGTAAATTCACCAGCATTGTCAAGGCGGATAGTCTTTAGTGGGAAGTCAGGGAAATGGGCCCGTAATTTTATGATTTGGGCCAAAAACCTAGCGAAGGCTTGGTTCCGAGAGGACAAGAGACAAACATATGACCAACGGGTCGATGCGTCTATAAGGACCATGAAGTACCGGAATGGTCCGGAAGATGGATGTATAGGTCCACAGATATCGCCCTGGATTCTTTCTAGGAAATGAAGTGTTTGTTTAGAGATTTTAACTGGTGAAGGCCGAGTGATCAATTTGCCTTGAGAACAAGCTGTGCACATGAGGTGTTGAGGATAAGCTCGGTTTTCTTTGAGGGTATGCCCTTGAGAGTTTTGAATTAGTTTACGCATCATATTTGCACCGGGATGACCGAGCCGGTCGTGCCAAATAGTATAATCAGTAAACCGGGCTTTGAGAGTGGTATTAGCTTTAATCATACTGACTTTAGCATGGTAAAGTCCAGTAGAGAACGCGGGTATGGTTTCGAGGATTTGTTTATGGCCGTCTACGGTTTTAGTGACTAGGAGGGATTCTTTGTTCCCTTGACCTTGGGTTTCTATGTGGAAACCATTCTGTCTTATATCCTTGAAGCTCAGAAGATTTCTCTTCGAACTAGGAGAATATAGAGCATCTGGTATTTCAAGTTGTGTGCCATTTGATAGCAACACATAGGCATGGCCATATCCTTCGATAAGGTTTGAGGGACCCGCGATGGTGCTAATATTTGCGGTTTGATAGGTTAGGTTTATGAAGTAACTTTTGTTTCTTAAGATAGTGTGGCTGGATCCACTATCTACGACTATGGTTTCCATTTGCTAGTGTGCTTCATTATGAATAGAAGATAGAATTCAGTATTGAGGAATTCAGAAAATGTGATAAATCATAAAGTAAAGCAGTGTCTGAGAATAAAGGCAAATGGAAAAAAAATGAAACAAATCCCAAAATGAAAAAAAATAAAGAACAAAATCAAATTGTATCAGAGTTTCAGATGATTGAATTAATCGAGGAGATCAGCTGTTTCATAGTCCATGGGGTCGGTTTGCTCGTTTGTGGTGTTCTCATCATCAAGGAGGTCGTCACCTTCCAGGTTAGCAGCATCGACTGGCTGAGTCATGTTGGCTTCAGCAGGAGCTTTTCCGTACTTCTGGTATAGATCGCAGTGGATCTTGGGGGTGCGACATTGCTTTGTTGGGTGGTTGAACATCCCACATCTGGTACAAGCAGAGTGATCGGGGTTGGTGTGGCGGGTCGGCTTGGTGATGCCTCGACCACGACCAGGACCATAATTGAGGTTAGGTCGGTTGCCACGACCATGTCCGCGTCCACGTCTTCTACGTCCATGTCCTCGGCCATTACCACGTCCATTACCACGTCCATTACCACGTCCACGGCGGTGATCTGAGGATCTATCGGGTTGAACATGGTAGGACTCTTGACGAGAAGCTGGGACAGGAGCCGATCCCGGGGGCCTCATAGCGCTGTTTTTCATAAGCAGCTGGTTATTCTTCTCAGCGAGGAGAAGACAGGACAACAAGTCTTCGTACAATGTGTGTTTCATTGCACGGTATTGTTGTTGGAGCACAACATTCTCTGTGCTGAATGTGGATAATGTTTTCTCGAGGAGATCATTATCTGTCACATCCTCGCCACAGAGTTTCCGGATGGCAACATTACGAAAGAGTTCGTTGTTGTAATCATCTACGGATTTGTAGTCCTGGAACCGAAGGTTCTTCCAGTCGAAATCTGCCTGAGGCAACTAGACCATTTTCTGATGGTCATATCGCTTTTTCAGCGCTTGCCACAATTCAAATGGATTCTCAAGAGTGAGATATTGCTGCTTAAGGCTCGGGGCCAGATGATGGCGTATGTGACATATCGCCTGAGACTGTCCCTTACGGGATGCGGTGTTACCGTCGGTAATACACGCATCGAGTTCTTTCGATGCGAGGAACAAGCGCATGTCTAGGGCCCACTCGAGGTAGTTATCCCCGGAGACGTGAAGGGCCTCGAATTCACATTTCTGAATGTTTGACATCTGAAACATGAGATTGATTTTGTTAGGGATTGTTTTGAGAAAATTTTGAATGCTGATGATGAAACTTTCTATTTTGAGAATATTTCTATTTTAGGAAAGTTTCTAAATTTGGAAAGTTTCTAATTTGGGTAATTTTCTAAATGAGGAAAGTTTCTATGTCGGGAAAATTTCTATATGAGGAAAGTTTTTATATGAGGAAACTTTCTATTAGAGGGAACTTTCTCGGAAATAGTAAATTTTAAAGGGTATGGTTTTAGTTACCCCGAACATGATGTCGGTTTAATAGCTGTGATTTAATCGGTTAAAGCCGAATATAATTTTGGTTAATGAGAACCAGGTTTAGCCGGTTTTAGGCGGTTTAGGAGGAACCCTAGGGGAGCCGAATATGATTAGGGTTTTATCTAGGGTTTTAACGGTTTGGAAAACATATTTTGTATGTGATTTCGAGATCTATAGGATCTGTGGTCGATGGTTTTAATAATTTCACAAGGACAACAAAGAAATCACGTGAAAAGGACTAGGGTTTAAGCATTATGACTTACGATTTTGAAGATTACAAAATCGTGAATCAAGCTTAGGATTTAGGGTTGATTTTCTTAGTTTATTCAATCAAGTGTTTCAAGCAAGAGAATCAACAATCAAATAAGCTGCAACAAGCTTATTAAACATGAAGAAAATCGAATAGGTTTATGCCATAAACATGGCCAAAAACGGTTGTTAGGTTTTTGTAGATTAGGGTTTTATAAAACGAGTTTAAAACCTTTGAACATGCATAAACTTGTAATTTAAACAATCAATCAACAAGTTATCAATCAATCATCAGAGTATCAAACACTTTCAATCAATTAGAGATCGATTTTTTTTTTTTTTTTTTATAGGGTTTTGAAGTGTTTAAACAACAGGTTCTATGGCTCTCAGTTTTAGAAGATACCTTTTCCACCTTTGGATTTCTGACAGGCTAATGAAACTGGGAGCTAATAGACCTCAGTTAGCCGCTACAAATTCCAAGGATTGATCACCAAAACTGGAGAAGCTGCTGGTTGAAGAAGAAAAAACTCGGATTTGGTTTTTTTTTTTCGGTTGATCGTCGTGTACTGTAAGTGTGCGTGAGGGCGCATCCGACGTTGGATCGACAAACGGTTTTCACCAGTAGATTCGTCTCGTCGAGGGCTTCGATTTGATATGTAGATCGTCTTCTGGTTCCCCATGGTTTGGAAGATATGCGTCTTTTAAGTTTCGACTTGCTTTTAGGATTTTGGTGGTGGCCGGATTTATTAGGGTTTTTCGCTCAAAGAGTCTTATCGTGCTGATAACGTGTTGTGAAAACTTAGAAACTTTATTAATCACTGGAATGTATATATAGAGTACATAGGGAATCTAGATTAAGTACAATGCCCTGATGGGTTTAATGGACCGGTATAAGAGTCCATATATGATATGTGTTATAACAGTTTCTTTATTTTTTTATTTTTTTACTTTTTTCAGAAACATCACAGAAAAGTTTGATTCAAGCAGATAAATTTAAAATCTAACCATGGTCAATGGGTCCAAATCAAACCGATTCAGGCAAATAAAATTAAAACCTGAACCAAACCGATTGAGAAACCAAACCAATACAACGATATATCTATCTGACGTAAGCAATCTTGACGTATAAAGTTGTTGAGATACGAACCCTATACCTCACTAGCGTTTATGGCAGAGGAAGGATCCATCAGAATTGGAGAAAGCAAAGAAGAAGAAGAAGCGGCAGAGCTCGGCGATTTCTTCTCCAGAAACCGCCAGATCTCTGACCTGCACCGAAGAAAGTGATAGGAATCGATCATAGATCGCGATGGGTAAGGGACCCTTGTCGCTTCGCCGTCTTACGAGCATCCGCCACGGGAAGAAGGGTTCTGCGGTGAAAGATGAAGCCCAGATATCGATGCCTTCATCTCCTCCGCCTTCTCTGCTGGCTAATGCAATCGGACCGGTTACGGGAGGTACGACGGTGAAGGCGAAGAAGAAAACCGGAGGAGCGAGGATGTGGATGAGGTATGATTGGAGTGGAGCTATGGAGATGGTGGAGTGCGACAAGAGCATCATCATCAAACGTGCTTCCGTTCCCGCTAGGGATTTGAGGATTCTCGGCCCTGTTTTCTCTCACTCTTCCAACATTCTCGGTAAAAAAATAAAATTTGGATTGTTTTTCTCTTAATTGATCGTTCCCGGATTTGCCAATCTTGGAGTCAGTTTGCATTCATCTGATCATAATTGTCTGCGATTTTGATTGTTTGGCTATGTATGTTTCTCTTCATGTAGCTCCTTTAGCTTGTTTCCTTTTTGGCTTACTACTTGAGGAAAAGACTTCTTTTTTGCTCTGCAGCGAGGGAGAGAGCCATTGTTGTCAATTTAGAGGTCATAAAGGCAATAATTACGGCAGAAGAAGTGCTGCTCTTGGATCCTCACCGTCCTGAAGTTCTTCCTTTCGTTCACCGGCTAAAGCAACAGTTTCCTCAGAGGAATACCCTGCAAGCTTCGGCAAATGTACAATCTTCTCTTGATCCAGAAGCTGCAGAAGGCTTGCAGAGTGAGCTTCCTTTTGAATTTCAAGTCCTGGAGATGGCGCTCGAGCTTGTCTGCTCAATCGTTGATAGCAGTGTGGCAGCACTTGAGACAGACGCTTGGCCTGTCCTTGATGAACTCACCAAGAACGTCAGCACCGAGAATCTTGAAATCGTACGAAGTTTGAAAAGTAATCTCACCCGCTTGCTAGCCCGTGTGCAAAAGGTATTCAGACCTATTCTCCATGTTACATCTAATGTTGTGTTGTGGCCAGAAACATAAAGCTGTCGTTGGTAACATTGATTCAGGTGAGAGATGAACTCGAACATTTGCTAGACGACAACGAAGACATGGCAGACTTATACCTGACAAGGAAATGGATACAGAACCAGCAAACCGAAGCTATACTCGAGGGGACAGGATCAAACAGCATTGTCGTCCCACCGCATCACACATCAAACAGAAGCGCGAGTATGGTGACGAGCAATATGGATGAAGATGACGTGGAGGATCTGGAGATGTTGCTGGAGGCATACTTCATGCAACTGGAGGGAATGAGGAACAAGATTCTTACGGTGAGGGAGTACATTGACGACACGGAAGACTACGTGAACATACAACTGGACAATCAACGTAATGAGCTGATCCAGCTCCAGCTGATACTGACCATTGCCTCTTTTGCTATAGCTGCAGAGACATTGTTGGCCAGCTTGTTCGGAATGAACATACCATGTCCGTTGTATAACATGCATGGCATCTTTGGCTACTTTGTGTGGAGTATTACTGCGCTTTGCATTGTGCTTTTCATGGTCACCCTTGGTTACGCCCGGTGGAAGAAACTGCTCGGCTCATAAACCCTCTCCAGCAGTTTTTTTTTTTTTTTTGGTTCGGAAAGTTGAGCTGAAATGAAGAATTAAATTTTGTATTCATTTGCTCAATTGTCAAGTATCAAGTGCAATTGGTTTAGCCAGTAACCACCACACAAAACACTCAATTTTGCTTGGGCTTTGATAATCTAAACTAAGGTAACCGAAGCATTTAATACTTGTAAAGTATAATCGATTCAGGCTAAGAGATTAAAACCAAAAGCAAACCAATCCAGAAATCCAACCAAGTTTCTTATGGTTAGAAGAGCTAAGAGAAAGAAAAATGAGGAAACTCTTAACAAGAAATGCAAATGCTTTTAAAGAAGCTGAAATAGTTAAATAGAAATACGGAAGAGGAAGTCTCCAGAGAGATACGCCACTTCCACATCGCTGCCTGCACCTCGCACGCTGAGTCAAACCAGAGGAAACTACAGTTTCCGCTTCTTCCCTTACAAGGAAGACTTCACTGTGCAGTCCACTTCACTTGCAAGGAATTGGACATTGCAAGTATATAACCTATTGTAGAGGTACATCATCTTCCCGACACGTTCAACTATTTCAGGGTCTTTGAATAGTGTAGGACTGTCCTCCTCAGCATATATCTTCATCTCCTTCAAACACCGAAAATATTTCAAGAAATGCCTGATCATCTCTAACTCTCTAATTGTTCCTCCAAACTCGTAAATCTCTAACTTCTTCACTGGACAAGATCTGAGCGAGCGGCCTCTGTCCTCCTGAGGAATGCAATCCCGATAAATGCAATCACAAGCATCCCCACATTTATCCGTCACATAGTGTAAGAGACCCTGAAAGCATATAACGGAGAGAGTAAGTAAGGTTATTGCGAGTATGAAAGTTGCATCTTTTACTAATGTTTTTGTCCAATTAGTTTCATGGATTATATAATTCTACCTCAATGATCAAAGTTTCTAAATGTGGACAGTTCCTTAAAAGACCTGGCATTGCTTGCCATCCCCGATCCATGTCACTATAAATAGCTAACAATTTGAGGTTGTTGAACACCGGCATCGCTTCACAGCACCTAGAAAGCACCTGAAAACAAGACAAAACCCTCACTAGAAATCACCCATTTGGAATCATTGCTTCTTTTACATCGAACCGAATAACAAACTAACCTCAAGGGTATCAGGAGACAAGTAAAGTTCCTGAACATTTTTTATCCCTGAAACGAGCTTCCTCACATTACCAATACCAGGAAAAACATCACCCTCCAATAAATCATTGTTTAGTGCTCTTGCTTGCTCGATTTGACCTTGAGTTACCAAAAGGTGGATTTGAGCCTCGACTACGTTCTTCAAGTTAACTTGTGGATAGTCCTCCGCAAGAGCATCGCAGTAATAAAAGTAAACAAGACTTGGAGCATCAAGTGAAAGGCTCTTCAGAGATGCTACGTTAATGTAACCATGGAGATCAATAGTTAGCTTCTTAAGGATCGGACTTGACACAGTCACATTAGTATCCATCCACAATATCTTAGTCATGTCTAACACCTCAAGCGCAGGGCAACCAAGAAGAAGCATTCGAAATTGACCACAACGTAACACGGTCGAGTCAAGAACGAGAGTTTTAAGCTTCGGTAAGCAGCATGTATTCTCGGGCCACCAGTGAAGATCAAATCCTCTTCCTACTTTCAGCTCAACCAGTGTCCTACTGACGGAGACCTCTTGACGCAGCCAATACATGTTCTGAAAATCAATGAAAAGATCAAGCTTCGAAACACCACGTTGCAGCGCATTACATATCCAACCATCCACACGGTCTGAGTCAACAACAGTTTTACACTTGAGGGAGAACTTCTCTATGGGAGAATCACCCTGCAATGCCAAGACCCTATCCACAAAATCCATGAAACTCCCAAGGATTCCTTCTTTTTCCCGTTTACCCTCTTCGAAATGCAGAAAGACAGATTCATAGATTAGGGACAAATGCAAAGAGATGGCGCCATCTCTTAGAGAGAACCGATGTCAAAGCAGCCTCCTTTGTCGTAAGGAAGGACAAGATATGACAAAGAAGGTCGTCTGGTAGGCTACTGAAGAGATCCATCGTCTAAACTACACAAAAGGTCGAAGCTTTTGGAACATGAGCCATTACATAATTACCAAAACATTTTTTTCTGCAGGATCTACAAACAGAGAAAACGATTGATCGTACATTCAGGTAAAAAGAAAACGAGATTGTGGATGTAAATACGCATAAGCTAACTGGTAGAGCAATTGGTTCAAAGAACAAAATTTAAGCCATTTGAAAACGCAAATAGGAACCCGCCCGAAGCAAAACTGATTTCGAAATTTGAACCTAAAATACACTCAATGGAGAATAAAATCTACAGAAGCAGAAGCAAAAGAGATTAGTTAGCTTCGGAACCAACCTTGGTACAGATGAGAAGCCGAAGACCCAAATTCAGGGCAGATTTTTTTTTGGGATTCGAGAGAGACGAAGATATGAAGATCCAAAGTTGGGAGGAAGAATTTGCAAGTCACTTGGCTAGGCTCATCTTCACATCACCGTTTTCACTTTTCAGGGTTTTTGAACCGAGTTTCCAAACTAAAATAAACACGAACCGAACCAAAACAATCCATTAGTAAATTTATGTTTGTTTCATCGGATTCTCAATTTTGATTTTGGTTCGGTTTGATTTAGTTGGTTTGAAAAACAGACCGAACCAATCCATTTGCCAAACTAAAACCAACCATGGAAATATGGAATTGTTGTTAATCCCTTTAAGTCTTTCTCATCCGTTTCCAAACGTAGAAACGACTAAGCAATCCCCGAACGTAACGTGTGTTCTGAGACGCGACCGCGAATTGACAAAACGTGTTCTTTTACAAACGGACCAAGAATCAGAAGCTGACCTTTAGCCAATCTATGAACTATAAGTTTTCTTACTCGTAGACTTTATTGTGCAGTTCACTTTCTTTACAAGGAATTTGGCGGGCATCAGGAGACTTGTTGCTTACGAAACATTTCTTGGAAAAATTGAAATGCCTTGTGCTGGTCAAAGTTCATCATGTTTGTGAAACAGAGTACATACAAGGAACAGTGTTGCGACTCACCAATGATCTGCTATAAGGTTTCTCAGATCATCCGAGTGCATGATCAAATTCAAGTTTTATTCCATCGTAGATGTTATAGTTCTAAGCTGTAAATTATTGTCCCAAGAACTACTTCCTTAATGTACAAACACAGCAGATACCAACCTAATCTAACTTTAGGGAAACCATTATTAAAGGACCAATTTACCAGTAATTTTTACATAATATAACTTAGTGTTAAATGGCAACAATATGTTGTGTTTAGCTGTTTGGTTTTTAAAACTTACTTAGGAACTCATTATCTCATCCAATTAAGTTATTGAAGATATATATTGTTTTCCAAGAAAGCTTGTTTTTGTCATAAGTTTTCATTCATACTAGGAAAAGATCTAAAAAACTCAAACATGGAAACCAGGAGCTCTACAAGATATATCATAGCATGAATGATGAATAGCAAACATTTGGTTTTAAGTATTTTTTTTAGAGGATCAGGAAAACATTTGTTTTAAGAAAGTTATTCACATGTGAATCTGATCATGTGTGGATACACCTTCCAGTTCTAAAACGCTGCGTTTTACTGTTATACTGTTTCACTGTGGACTATGGACCGGCGCGTAAAGAATCTTAGAAACCACGCATCGATATAAATATGTATATATATATTGACCTTTATGACAGTCTCCGAACTTCGAAACCGTCCACTCCAATTCACCCTCTTCAAATAATTAAGCCATAGTTTTACCCTAATTTTTGGGTATGCATATTTTTTCTGTCCTTAGAAACTGAAAGTGTTTGGATTTCTTCGTGGGTTTCGCGAGGTGTATGTTCTTCTGTTTTCCTTGGGAATATAATTGATTCCACTCTGCGTGGCTTCGTATTTGACTCTTGTTCTCAAATCTCCTTTTTGAATCAATTTCTCTCTAGATCCCCCAGTGAAACTGCTTTGTTAATTTATGTTCTGGATTTTGCTATGTGTAGTTAATGTACAGAGAAGATGGATCGGATCAGTACACTACCAAACGAGCTTCTTTGTCATATCTTGTCCTTCCTTACAACAAAGGAGGCTGCTTTAACATCGGTTCTTGCCAAGAGGTGGCGCAACCTGGTTGCTTTTGTCCCTAACCTCGATCTCGATGACTCTGCCTTTCTGCGTCCTGAAGATGGTAACCTTGAAAGGGAAATAATTCCGCAGAGCTTCATGGATTTTGTGGATAGTGTATTTGCCTTGCAGGGAAATTCTCCCTTAGAGAAATTCTCCCTCAAGTGTAAGTGTCAAACCGGTGTTGATTCAGACCGCTCGAAACAATGGATATCTCGTGCGATGCAGCGCGGTGTTTTGTACATGGATCTGTTCATCGATTTTGGATATAGATATTGGTTGCCTCTGGAAAATTTCACGAGCAGGACGCTTGTTGAGCTGAAGATAGCAACTTTTGCTCTTGATTTCCGGTCTGGAGACATTTCTTTACCTGTGCTCAAGACTCTTGCTTTTGACTCAGTTTTGTTTTATAATGGTCAGCTTCCGGTGATACTTTCTGCTTGCCCTGCGCTTGAGAATCTAGATATGCACAAGATTAATTTTTCACCTGAGAATGAGACCGTGTCTAGTGCAACCTCAAGACTCTAACAATTTACTCTGACACTTCCATGCTACGTGCTTTTTCATTTGATACACCGAATCTTGTTTGCTTGAAATACACTGAATTAGTTGCGGATGACTATCCATTAGTTAATTTGGGGAACTTAGTTGAGGCTCATATCGAGCTTAAAGTATATTACCACCAGATGGAGCAATTAAGTGCCCGAAACGATGATTGGTTAGAGGATGATGTTTTTCTCAGACATGGTAATGTGCGGAAGCTTGTTCGTGGCATCTCCAATGTTCACAAGCTTTACTTATCTCCTGGTGCTTTCCAGGTCAGTGTGTTATTCTATTTTTTTTCTTCCTTTCATTTAATATAAAAGTTATATAACCAGACATCCTGTTAGAAAAGACACATGATTGGTCTTGTGGGTGTTTAGAAAAGGAAAACAACATTTGGGATTCTTTTGTTGTTGTTGTTTCAGGTGCTTGCTCTATGCTCTCAGGCGATGCCTGTGTTCAACAATCTCACATTCTTAGACATCGACAGTACCATGGATATAGCGTGGCAAGCAATGCCTGTTCTCTTAAGACACTGTCCAAATCTAGATACTCTAGTCATTAAGGTATTAAACACAAACCATGAAGTTTACTTGAACAAGACGTTACCAGAGATTTGAAACCTCTCTCATTGTCTCCTTTTTCTCTGCTTTCAGCGTCTCTTACACTGTGTAACGGATAAATGCGGGGATGCATGTATCTGCATTTCTCGGGAGGAGAAAGGCCGTTCGCTCGTCTCTTGTCCAGTGAAGAGGTTAGAGATTCGAGGTTTTGATGGAATCACCAGAGATTTGGAGATGATCAAGCATTTCTTAGACTACCTTCCGTGTTTGGAGGAGATGGAGATTTACATCACAGAGCGTGGTTCCTTGCCCCTTTACTTTCGCAATTTAACCCGGAGATGCTCATGGGTTACAACGAACTATCAGGTCGCAATCGCGATGTTAAATTCAAGGTGCACGGTTCCTTGCCTTGGACTGCTCAATGAATTGAAGTCTACCAAGGAACAAATTCTTAACTCAAATTGTTTGTGCCAAAGTTGCTTTGAATTCTTGTTTTACAAACTTTAAGGAGTAGTTCTGAAACTCTTTTTGCTAATATATAAAGATAAGTATTCGTTTATGGTGGGAGAATCAACCACGTTGAGTGATTCACTTGGTACGATGCCTTATTGTGCACGGTGAGTACATCAGCTGGAATATGAACTCCAAAAACGTAAATGTATCTCAAATTTTATAGCTTAGCATCGGTAGTCGTGCTATCTAAACTCGATCCAGGATGATTTCATTTTCGATCGGTTTGGTTTACTTGGTTATAAAACCGGACCAAACCCCCAAATAATTCAACAAAATTCCAAAACCCAAGTTATTGAACAAAACCCTAGCCCTAACCCTAACCCTAACCCTAACCCTAAACCGTAACTAATTCTTCTTTCGCTCTGTTTCTTTTGAATTATTACGCTGGTCAGCCTTTGGCGTCTCTAGGGTTTTCTAGGGTTCGGGAGAATGACTGGTGATGAGGATAGGATCAGCAATCTACCTGATGATATTGTTTGCCACATCTTGTCCTTCCTCTCCACAGTGGAAGCAGCTTTAACTTCTGTTCTCTCAAAGAGATGGCGGAATCTGTTTGCCTTCACACCGAATCTTAGTTTCGATCACTTGGAGCATCGGAATCCCAATAGTAACTATAAGGTTTTCAGAAAATTTGTGGATAGAGTATTGGCTGTTTCAGGCAATACCCCCGTAAAGAAATTCACTTTGTTTCATCGACACAAATCTGATGCGTATCGTGTCAACCGTTGGATATGCGATGCACTGAATCGTGGTGTCTCGGATCTTGATCTTTATCTAGCTCTTGAATATAGTCATTCGTTTCCTTTAGAGGTGTTCTCTTGCAAGACAATTGTTAAGCTGAAACTAGGAACCCTCTTTGGTATCGCTATGGTTCCTGAGAACGCTTCTCTTCCGGCTCTTAAGACTCTGGTTCTTGGTACTATTGCGTTCTATGGTTGCGCTTTTGAAACTCTTCTTTCTGCTTGCCCTGTGCTTAAGGAGTTAACAGTAATTGGTAACCCTTGGGATCGGAAACATTGGGAACAGTGTCGCACCGTTTCTTGTCCGACCCTTGAGAGACTTATCCTTAAGTGTAAAGATTCTAATGCTCCTAGGACCATTACTTTTGATACCCCCAAACTTGTCTATATGGACTACTCTGATTATGTTGCGTATGAGTATCCAACTCTTATTCTCAACTCTCTTGTTGAAGCTAAGCTTTCTCTTTATATGGGAATATATACTAGCACAAGCGCTCCAACCAAACTGATTAATGGGTTAAGAAATGTTGAGATCCTCAACTTATCTTTTGAAACCTCAGAGGTATTTGTTTACTTTTCTTTTTCCTCTGTAATGTCAAATCTGTTATTGCAACTTATTTTAGAACACTAAGAGCATGAAAAAGGCATTCTCGTTTAGCTTCTTGTAGTTCAAAAGGAATAAAAATGTTTCTTGCCTTTTTGATTGAAAGATTAAGTAAAGATTCTTTTTAGTTATTTTTGTTTCAGATATTTGATGTCTTTGCTGAACCAATCCCAGTGTTTGAAAAGTTGTCTCGTTTATCTATTGCAACGAACTCGGGATTTTGTTGGGCCGGAAATTGTTCCATGACTGCTTAAAAATTCTCCAAATCTGAAGACTCTTGTCATCAAGGTATGAATAAATGTTTACAATTATTATAAAAAAAATCTCTATATGAATATAGTTATATATGCACCCAACCCAATTGCTTGAAGCCCTAATCCTCTCCCTCTTGTGTTCACTTCAGGGTCCCTTGCACCAGCACTATTATGATGATAAATATGAACAAGTATCTAAAAGTGTTTGCGAATGCTTGTCTGGGTATTCTTTTCTAACGTCGTGTCCAGTGAAAATCCTAGAGATAACCGAGTACCGTGGAAGTAAAAGCGACTTGGAGCAAATGAGACATTTTATGGAGAAATTGCCATGTCTTGAGCTGGTCAAAGTTCGTGTTGCTGCAAAACCAAAGTTTCCATTCGCCACTGAAGATCTCCAAATGCTTCTCAGAGCTTGCAAGATGCAGCTCAATTTTCTTCCTCATCAGACTAACTAATGCATGCATCAAAGAATTTGCTTTTTGATTGAGTCTGTTCTGTGTGCACTCTTGTTGTGTTACAGTTTATTTGCATGCATGACTTGTTTTTTATTTACATAGTTATTTTATTTTATTTTATTTTTTGCTTTCATGTGATGTTTGCTCGCTTAATTAAGTCAGATCATCAAGTATACACAAACATGTGTTCTATATCTGCAGCTACGTACAATTCATCATGACATATTGTTTTTATTTTTGTTGGTCAAATAATTAATTTTTTTTTTGCTTTCATGTGATGTTTGCTCGCTTTTATAGGTTACATACGTACATTCGATTTTCTTATAGGGTGAACTAGATGGTAGGACAAAATTTAATGTTGATTATTGAGATAAATTAAAGAAAAACAAAACGCTGCGTTTTGGTCCGGACTATGCTGAGACGCACCGTTTCAATGCATCAAGATATTTTATGACTTTTTACATTCCCGCCATAGAAAACTTCCCACGCACAACTCTTTTTTTTTCCTGAACCCTATATACAAATATTTTTTCCTGAACTCTTGAATTTTCTTTCTTTCTCCCACCAGATTTACCCTAATTCTGGGTATTTGCTTCGTCCCTCAATTCTGAAAGTTTTCGACTTCTTCTTCGTATCGTCGTAAGTTACCCAAAGTCCTTAATTCTGCTTTCAATTCATTGGGGTCATTTATTGGGCGATTTTGTTATCCCGTGGTTTAGGCATAATCGCCATTGATCTAGCAATTTGCGTTCGGTGATTTATGCGTTGATTTAGCGATTTACTCTTTAAACACTCATGTAGAGTGAAAGGATCGAAAATATACAGAAAGTTACAGCAAACAAAGAGTCACTCGTGTCACCGTTTTGATCCAAAGTAAAGTAATTTGCTTTGAGTGGCTTCTTGTTTGACAAGATTTCTCCTCTTTCCTTCTCTGTTCCGTTTCTCTGTTTGGTAATTATGTATGTTTATGTTTGAATTGCCTGTAGGGAGATTTGTGTAATCAGTGGAACCGGTGAAGATGGATCTCTTCAGCAAGTTACCGGACCCGGTTATTTCTCACATCTTGTCCTTTTTTCCAACAACAAAGGAGGCTGCGAGGACATCGGTTCTCGCAAAGAGATGGCGTAATCTGTTTGCATTTGTCCCTAATCTCGATCTCGATGACTCTGTCTTTCTTGATCCTCAAGAAGGTAAACGGGAAAAGGAAGGCATCCTTCAGAGTTTCATGAGTTTTGTGGATAGGGTATTGGCATTGCAAGGTGATTCTCCCATTAAGAAATTCTCACTCAATGTTAAAACCGGTATTGATCCTTCTTGTGTGGATCATTGGATATGCAATGTGCTGCGACGTGGTGTTACTCACCTTGATCTGTTCATTGAAATTGGAGAGGAATATTCGCTGCCTCGTGAGATATCTGTTAGTAAGACATTAGTTGAGCTTAAAACTGGATATGGAGTTGATCTTTATTCGTGGGACGATGACATTTTCTTACCGATGCTTAAGACTCTTGTTCTTGATACGGTTGGGTTTGGTAGGGGTCAGTTTCAGACACTTCTTCCTGCTTGTCCTGCCCTTGAGGAACTAATGCTGCTTAATATGGTGTGGAGAGATAGGAATGAGGTTTTTTCAAGTTCAAGCCTCAAGAAGCTAAAGATTACTTCTGAAGAAGGCTGTTTAGGCACTTTCTCATTCGATACTCCGAATCTTGTTTTCTTAGACTACTATGATTTGGTTGCGGATGATTACCCATTAGTTAACTTGCAAAACTTAGAGGAGGCTGGACTCAGCCTTGCACTTACTCAAGATCGTCTCGGTCAATCACTCAGTGTGTGGAATCTTATTCACGGCAAACGAAATGTTAAGATACTTCACTTATCTGCTGTTGCTTTCGAGGTCAGTTTTTTTTTTTTTTTTTTGTGATACTTATATTTCATCAAAGAATCGAACATCCTTGTCTCAGTTCCTGAAACATAACAATGTCTCTTGTTTTAGATGCTTTCTCTTTGCTGCAGTGAAGCCATGCCGGCTTTCAAAAACCTTACACTCTTAAATATTAAGACTGTCATGATTCAAGGATGGCAAGCAATGCCACTTCTTCTAAGGAGCTGTACAAATCTAGAAACTCTATACCTTGGGGTATAAAAAAACATTAAACCACTTCTCTTATAGTTTCCCCCCTACTTTTTTGACGTTGAAATGAGCTTATTGTCTTTGCAATGCTATTTCAGGGTCTCTTACACACCGTTACAGAGAGATGTGGATACGTTTGTGACTGCATCTCTAGGAAGAACAAAGGTCGTTTTCTCAAGTCTTGTCACGTGAAGAAGATACAGATTCAAGACTTTAGAGGAACACCGAGAGAGATGGGAATGATAAAGCATTTCTTGGACTATCTTCCGAGTTTGAAAGAGATGGTGATAGTTGCCGAAGAAAATGAAGCAACATTCTTCGAGATCCCTAAATGGTTAGATATTATAGAGGACACGCTGAAACATTACAACGAGACATCGAGATGCAATGTCTTTTTCAGGGTTCACGCTTTCTTGTACTGGAAATGGACTCGACAGTAGTGTCCTCGGGGATAGAAAACTTGGTTCTCTTTTGTTTCTTTTATTAGTAGTAATCTTTTGTTTAAGTGCGTTTTGTTTCATGGACAAGATGAACTCATTGGCTGTTTCTCTGCAATTTCAACGTTTTCTTAATAAAGCTTTTCTTGGGTATTTTGTCATGTCTTGAGCTGAAAGTTTTTGTTTTGCACTTACACAAGAAGGAAGAGCGGATAGAGATCTCCAACTGTAATAACATCGAGATCGATTTCTCTTATAAAAAAAGCAACTAACTCGAAGTGAGCAAACTTTTGTTCCTCCTAGTTGATAAGTCTGTAAAACTCTAAATCTTCTTGTGCACACTCTTTGTTCACAGTTACTCTGTTTCTATTACCATTTTGTCACTTTTTTGTTATTAACTTATTATCATCGTCTGATCTTGTCATTTTCTGTGCTTATTGTAAGTTGATATTTCAATTATAATTTGCTTTGATGTTTCCTTAGTTGACTGTCTTAAATGATCAAGATTGGTAGACGAAAAAAATGATCATATGATCTTTTACACAACCATTTTCTCTTTCAATGAATTATCATAAAGCTAAAAAGGCAAATTCTATAGAACTTTATGCACAAATAGAATTCAACAAAAGATAAAAATAAGTAAACCAACGATGCTTTTCCTCGTCCAATTAAACTCAAAAACATCGTATGTTCAGCTTCTGTTAGGACAAAAATATCACCGACACAAACTGTTATATGTGTTCAAAAAAAAATGTTCTGTTTCTTCACTGGACAAACAACTTTGTAGCCATACATATTTACTTACCTGGTGACAGATGGATGAGAATATGCGATGATTGCACATGCACATCATGATGATCTTTTTATGATGACATCACTTCACTTATGATGTTGATGATATTCTGATGGCAGATCCGACGCATGTGGCCTGTGGCAGTGGAAACCCCATGTCACGAGCACCACTTTGTTTATTTCTTCCCGACTCCACTAAGAATAAAATCTACCCTAATCACTTAAAATTTGTTCTATAGTATCAAAGAAAACCATATTCAATGTTCTTTTATATGCAAAATATTTCAAATATATGTGTCTACACTCTACAGCTTTTGTAGGATTAGCTTTTGTTTTGTTTATGTGAACTGATTGAGAAAAACAACATTTGGCATTTACAGATTCTACACAATAAACAACACTTCACATTTGAAGAACGAATACATCTAAAACACGTTCTCTTTGGGGATTGGTGATGATGTCCGACTTTACAGTGTCTAACACAATCTAGTTCTGAACTTTTCAATTATGAAAAAAAATATTATTATTTTATTTCTATTGTCAATACTCTCCAAGTTCCATTTGACATTGGGACACTTCAAAATCCTAACCAAATCATCTAAAACTAAAATCTTAATTGCAAGTGTATTTTAAAGAAAAATAGTATCTTATTGAATCCTTGATGTAGAATACAGGTACTCGTTTTTAATCAACTATTCAATTGAAAAAAGAAATAACAGATTCTTGTCTATAGAAAATATGTTGCATATACTACAAGAAAATAGATTCGTCCATCATATATAAATATACAGTATAAGAAACCAACATCCATCATTCATAGTAGGATACGAATCTTACAATAACATGATTTTTGTAAGTAATAATGTAATAGACTACGAAAGCACGGAAATTGCAAGTTTTTCACCGGAAACTGGAATTTAAATTGGGAAATGATATGAATATGCGAGTCATGTTAAGGAAGCAAAAAAAGTAACAGGATGGAGAGACAAAGGATGGTGCATAAATTAAGGACCCCACACCCATGTAACCATTGTCCCAAAGATAAAACCGTCAATTTGGGTCTACCTGTTTGGCCCATATCCCTCAACCACATAAAGAGTAGACAAAGTTATTTGCAACTAATAAAACCATAACATATCACACTTGTCTCTGTCCTCTTCCTCCTTTGTTTTTTTCTTTCTTCCCTCAAAAAAGACCAAATTATATCATAAGCCTTTCTTGTTTTTACAACGCACATAAACTAACACTCCCCATTGATGTGACTATTTATTTCAATGAAAATAAAACATTTATGGAATCCAGAAAAAAAAATAGAGGTTGGCTTCTGAATAATGATTAAACCAAGGCAAATGCGAAAGCTGGCTAAGGTAGTTTATGCGGGGTCAAATATCAATGTAATTTTGTGTGTATATATAACCAAAAAATAGTATGAAAAATAATAGAATGGGGGTAAGTGTCAGGTTAGTAGATGGTGAAACCTATTCTGAAAATCTCAATCCCAATAAACCAACCTCTCTCCGTCCCCTCGTTGGAAACATCACCTACCCTTTCTTTTTACTCTTATAATATAAAATTTCATACTATAATCTTTAAATTATTAATATACTTTAATTTATATTGCGACATTTATATATTTATGATGGTGCCCAAATGTCTAAGGTTATTATTAGTAAATTTCGCCGATGTCCCTAGAGTACGCCAAAATTCTTGAATTTACTACTATTACCTGAAAAATTGGTTAAATAATTTACTATACTCCACACAACCGTATTCTGTGTGTTTTTGTGATAATTAATCAGTTGATCGATTGCCGATATAGAAAAAAAGCATATCAATTTAGAATTTAGGCGAACCAGATATTAAGAACATGGGAAAGAACGCATTCATCTAAATTACTTGTTTTGATTTTTGGCTCTGGAACAACATGAATAGTTCTTCAATCATTCATTTAATTTAACAGGTGAACTATACAACGATAGAATTTATCAAAATCTGTTACTTATCCCAATCATTTATCTAAATGTGATTGCGTTTGTAGTTTCCAGACTTTTTTACGAGTTACAATTTAAGAAATTAATAAATCTCAAAAGTTCAGTAAAAAATTCAATTAGAAACAAATCTAAAATGTAAAACCTATTCAGAAAATAAGAATATTATATCCGAACATCAAAGTAGAATAATATGAATTGGAAAGACTAGTACGTATTAAGTTCGTAATTGGTTATAGCTAGATAAGAAACAGACAACAAATTAAGTAGTTTAAGAGAAGAAAAAACATACGTGGTCTGAAAAAATAAATCGACGAACTCGAGTGAGTTCTGTAAAGATTAATGCCGACATGAGCATGACTTTTCTCCTTCATTTAATGTTGTAGGCTTTATAATACTCCCTCTGTTCAGAATTAGTTGATGTTTAAGGTTTTTGCACATAGATTAAGGATGCATTTAATATTTATTTTTTCTACACTAAAAAATTTATCTATAATTCATTTAAATATTATTTAGCCAATAAAAAAACAATTAGCAGAATATAAAAAGTCAAAAACAATAAAAATTCATTAAATTTTACATTGAAAAGTGAGAACATCAAATAATTCTGAACAAAAAAAACCTCATAAAACATCAAATAATTCTGAACAGAGGGAATATATACAGTACATATATTTCTTTCATAATACTAACCTTTAATTCGAATTTCTTGGAAACCATACTATATAGGAGAAAGAAAAAAAGAGTTGACAAAAATGAGGGATAGATAGAGATTTAAGGGAAATCAAAAGGTAGGTTTCATAAAAGATGTCACGTGGCTCCCATGCGAGATAGATATCATCATGTGGGATCTTCTGTGCAACAGCTAGTAGATCATCATAGTACCACACACACACACACAGCTTCACTATTTACCAATGTATCTATCTATATTCATTGTCTGTATATTTTGTATAGGCTTGCGTGTAAGGATTGGGTGTATGTATAGACAAACTAGAGAGGGAGAGGGAGAGAGAGAGAGTTGAAGTAAGAGGAGAGGCACATGGAGATAGATCGAAAAACTCATGTGATCACATGTGCTTTCCTTTTCTCTTTTCCTTTTTTACGGGGCTTTTGTGGGTCCCATCCTAGCTCCCTCTCTCCCATGCACCTGACGCAGGTGATTTCCCTCCCCCGATTCACTCTCACGCGCCTCCTCTCTCTCGCGTGTGATTAATTAACTCCTTGTTGCTTCCTTACCATGCTAATCACCCTTAACTGGATTTAAGTCACGTTGAGTTGAAAATACATTTATGGGAATTGAAATAATGATTATAATTATATATAACCTATCAAGATAACTAGTAGTTTATTGTATACATCTAACTAGAGGATAGATCATCAAACCAATAAGTGAAATTATCAAATTAGTTGCCTTTTAATAGTATCACGTTTGAAACTGTATACTTTATCTTAAATATTTTCAAATATGTTTAACTGCAATCTGCACTTCTAATATTAATGTATAGAGGTATGCAATTAGAATCTCTTATTATTGAACTGAAGCTATTTACTTTGATATCGATATTGGTTCAGTGAATGATTATTATAAATAAGGTCAAACTGATGATTCAAAGACATTTTCATTAACTTTCACTTTGAAATGTGGATCATTAGCATGTATTGCATCTGTTAATATGCATGCATTAGATACTAGATAGGGATATTTATAGTAATTAGTTTTTGTTATCTATAAGGTGAAATATTATCGAAATGATCATCATTACTGTTTCCGAAAAGAATACAAAACAAAGACCCACAAGTCAAAGCCTGGATTAAGTTTAACACATGTCGATGAGTCTATTATGACTAAACAAAGCATGTTAGTAATTGTTAATGACACGGCACTTTTCTGAATTTTTTTTTAAAAAAAAAACAAAGAAAGATCCAATCTATCTATCTGTCAGGACCTCAGGGAGATCCACTTGAGTATAGTGACGTCTCCACTAAACCACTCAACATAGCGCGTGATAACCACGATCCTAATCTCTCTCTAACCAACAAAACAAAAAAAACTCCATTAATTCGAAAACACAAGAACAAAATAAGAAAATCACAACTGGACCCAGCTTTGATGGCATACCGGCATTACCCATTTTCGAAACATAAAAGCTATTCCAAAACCTAATTTGAATAGTATATAAGCAAACCAAAATTCACATTCCGATGATACAAATACTCAAGTAAACCAAACCCACTGTAGATTCTTGAACTCACAGTCGTATCAATTAGAGAGGCAAATTAGAGTAAACCAAAGTAAACTAGAACCGAGATTCCGGTTCGACCGGTCCTACTTCAATCTTCTATCACTCATATAAATACACACATCTCTTTACTCCTTTTCTTCCAACACATCCTCTCTCCCTCCGTCAATGGAGAAAACCCTAGCCACTTCCCATACAAAACGCTCTTCTCCGTCTCCACCCTCCGCCGTGAACGCCGGTTTCGACCGCAGAACCAGAGCGAGATTGGCGGATGCAACGGTGAGTGTAAGCGAGACCGGCGCAGAAGATGACGACGAAGAAGAAGAAGGAGTGGAAGAGAAGATTGAGGCGCTTCAGACGATAGTTCCGGGAGGAACGGCGCTTGGAGTCGACGCGCTGTTTGAAGAGACGGCAAGTTACATTTTGGCTCTGCAATGTCAGATCAATGCCATTAAAGTTCTCACTTCGTTTCTTGAGCGTTATGAGAAAGATGATATGAAGTTTGGTGGTTGAAGATTGAACAAACAATTTGGAACTCTCTCAAATCGTTAAAAGACAAAAGTCTCCACTCTGTTTTATTTATTTCATTTTTACTTCCTTTTTTTTTATTGTGGCTCTTTAGTTCGAGTTCACAATTTAGCTTCTTCTCTCTTTTTTTTTTCTTAATTTTATCTTCTGTGTTTTGTACTCCACAAAATTACAAAAAACAGGAAAAGATCTCCACATTTCCTTTGAAATTCGAAAATTCATCTAAGTTTCGGTGGACTAGCCATTAGATTGATAGAGTACATGTCAATAAAATGAAAATAAATATATTAATGGTAGATAGTTATTTAATTTAAAACTTACTTCTTCTTTTTAATATTCTATATATAAACTATAAAATATGCCAATAATAGTGTGTTCAAGAAGATATATGATACTCATCAAACAAGGAGCCAGAAAAAATAGAGATCAGTAAAATGATGTTGTGTTAACTTTGTGAGCGATTATGGTAAAAACTCTGAGTGTAAAACTCATCGAATAATTATTTAGTTATAAACTCTTGTTCACCCAAAAAAAAAAATTATAATATAATATTGTGAGCGATTATAATTGGAGATCACCACTAATGGGCCATATAACGAGAGATCACTAAAATGATGTTACCAAGTGGACTTGCTTAAAGCACGTGCCTGGTTTACAGGCGTCTGATGCATTTTCTGAACCAGCCCAATTTCTCAACGCCATTTGCTGTCACTATAAACCCTAAGAATCGAATCCTTAAACCGATAAATCTGATTCCTCCCCGGAAAATCTCGTCGTTTTCTTACTTTCCCAGGAAAATCGAAAGGTACACATATCAAGAGAACTCTCCTCTTATCTTTACTCGTGAATCGTAGTACTTGTTTTTATTTTCTTATCAGCGATTAGGGAAAATTTCTTATCGCGATGTTTTTTTGCCGAGAAAAAGTCAGAGTGACTGATTCTCTAAAGCATTAAAGTTTTACGAGATTTTGATTTTCGTTGCCCGTTGCGTCATTCATATTATTGCGTCTGAATTCTGTTTTCCAATTTTTATAGAAACAGCGTAAATGGCGGATGAGGTGGTAATTCACGGTGGCGTTGATGATCGTGCGGCGAAGGGGATCTCCGACTCCGAACAGGGACAGGAAAAAGAGATTGAGGAAATGGAGAACAAGAACCAAGAGCTAACGAGGGAGAATCTTGAGATGAAGGGGAGGTTAGAGAGGCTATCGGGAGAAATCGAAGAGATGAAAGGTGTAGATGCGGAGATGAATCAGAGGTTCGGAGAAATGGAGAAAGAGATTGAGGAATACGAGGAAGAGAAGAAAGCTCTAGAATCTATTTCTACGAGAGCTGTCGAGCTCGAAACAGAGGTGTCGAATCTTCAGGAGGATCTGAACACTTCCTTGACAGGATTGGATAAGACGGCGGAAGAAGTGGCGGAGCTGAAGAAAGCGTTGGCGGAGAAAGGGGAGAAGCTGGATGGGTATGAGAAGGAAGCTGAGGTTTTGAGGAAAGATAGAGCTGAGGTCGAGAAGAGGGTTAGAGATTTGGAGAGGAAAATTGGGGTTTTTGAAGTGAGGGAAATGGAGGAGAGGAGCAAGAAACTTAGACTAGAAGAGGAGATGAGGGAGAAAGCGGATGAGAAAGAGAGGGAGATAAACGAATTGCAGAAGAAAGTCGGTGTCTTGAATCTGGAATTGGTGAAGAATGGAGAGGAATTGGAGAAATGCAAGTCTGAGAAGAAGCTCACAGAGGAAGCTCTGAGTGAAGCTGGAATAAGAGAGAAGGAGATGGAGTTGAAGAAGGACGAGTTGCTGAAGAAGGTTGAAGAAGCGAAGGAGACGATAGTTGAGTTGAATGAGAGAACCTTGAATCCTGGTAATGGAGGTTCAGTAGTCGCAAGAGACACAAAGGTTTCCATGGAAGTAGAGTTGTGGCCAGTGGTTGCTGCTGGTTTGGTTGCAGCGACCTTGTTCGTCTGCTATTCTAAGCTAAGGTGATTTTGATAAATCTTTAGCGGAGGAATAACTGATGACCAATTTCTTAAGATTGATTTCAAGAATGGATTATACAGGTTGGCTACAAATTTGTTTTGGGTTTGGAATTTGTGATTGTTTTTGGTTGTTGGATATCATGTTTTTGTTGATGCGAAATCTTCAGTTTTGTTATGCCATGAAAGAATTTCGTAACTGTTCTTTATAACTTGTACTTGTCGTCTCGTCATTTTCGTCAATTTACTGGATTTCAAAGAGAAACATGTTTCTAATAGATTTGCTTGACCAAATGCTTCTTTATCCCAAGTCCTTGAGTACCAACATTGCTTGGAAACTAAAGGAAAGGAAGAATGAAAACAACATATCAAAGGTCTGTTTTCAAGAAATGGAACAACTCGTTGTAGATTATGACATTAAGACCGGGAAATATGTTAAAGGAAAAAGACAGCAAATTTAAGACAAGAGAGACATATGAGCAAATGAAAGAAACCAAAGCAATGAAATGGTTAATTAGCTTTTATTACTGTCCGTTTATATTTTTGGAAGAAACCAAACCAAAGCGTGTGGAAGAAAAAAAGTTGACTTTTTTTCTTCCAACGGCTCCAAGAAATCTGGAATAATTTCCGATAAACAACTTACAACTACTTTTCTTGGTCAATAAAAGTAAAAATTATTATAAAGAAGCCTGAGATGCAGACCCCATTGATGGCTGCCTCCACTACTTTCTACTACCCAATCCGTAAAAGTTTCCTTCTTCCCCCTTCCCGTAACAAACGAAACCCTAATCTCATCTCTTGCTCCACCAAGCCCGTTTGCTCTCCTCCATCGCCTTCTCCCTCTTCTCTGCAAACGACAAGCCATCGAAGCCAAAAGCAGAACCTGCGTCTACCCTCTTTTGAAGATTCGTTTCTTCTCTACCAATTCAGCTCTCCGACCGAAGACCCAGGATTCTCTAACCGGATCTCCGAACAATTTGAAGGAGAGCCGCCGGAATTGTTGTTCCCCAGTGTAGAAGAGAACAAAAGCTTGGAAATTTCGTCGAACATGTGGTGGGCAGATCTGAAAGCGGCTGTTGGGCAACGAATCAACGTAGAGGGTATCGTTTCTTCGGTCTCTGTAGTTGTTAGAGATCGTCATTTGGTTCTTCCGCATATTTCGGTGAGAGATTTACGGTACATTGACTGGGGAGAGCTCAAGAGAAAGGGCTTCAAAGGCGTAGTGTTCGATAAAGATAATACTCTTACGGCTCCTTATTCTCTAGCGATCTGGCCACCACTCCGGCCTTCGATTGACCGGTGTAAAGTCGTGTTTGGACATGACATCGCCGTGTTTAGCAATTCCGCAGGTAAAGTTACGGATTTTTTTTTTTTTTGATTTTTTTGTTCGGTTGTGGTTTTCTGGTTTATTGAAGATGCTAACCTTTTGTTCACTTCCGGGTCTGCTGAAATTTAGGTCTTACGGAATATGATCATGATGATTCGAAAGCTAAAGCATTGGAGGCTGAAACAGGAATTAGAGTGTTGAGGCATAGTAAGTTCGTTGATCCACTGTGATTCTCTTGGTTTATCAGAGCATCATTGTAACTGGTAAATGATAAGGACTGTGTTTTTGATTCATGATTTTAGGAGTAAAGAAGCCTGCAGGAACTGCTGAAGAAGTCGAGAAACACTTTGGTTGCGCATCTTCAGAGCTAATCATGGTAAACTTTCTGGTATTTGATTTTTGGATGATAAGGTGTTATATGTAATGTAAGTGTTTTTGGGCAGGTGGGTGATCGACCTTTCACAGATATTGTTTACGGGAACAGAAACGGATTCTTAACCGTATTAACTGAGCCTTTGAGTCGAGCAGAGGAGCCTTTCATTGTTAGACAGGTTGGTTTTTCTTCAGAGAATGGAAGCACATAACTCTGTTTCTGCATCTACTTTTCTCTTTTCGAATTGCCTTAAGAGGTATGTATGCTATAGCTAAATGGAGTTTTTTTTCACTTAATTGCAGGTAAGAAGATTAGAGTTGGCCTTGTTGAAACGTTGGTTAAGAAAAGGTTTGAAGCCTGTGGATCATGGTTTGGTATCAGATGTAACACAATTTGTTAAGGATCCATCAGATTTGTAAGAAGGGTTCTCTGTTTGGTAAGAAACAACTTGTTCCTTGTTCTTTTTTTGTGTAATGGAAATTTTCGACTTCTTGGGCTTTGGCCAGATGCATGAAAATGAGAGTTCTTATTTTTGCTATTTATTTCTAGTTTTGTAAACACAAAATCTTCACATCAAGGGTCTTTCATAGTTTGGGTTTCAAAAAATTGGAAATGGCAAGAGGAGCAAGATGTAGAAATACAGTCAGAGCATTGAAAGCAGCTACTGTTGATGTGAAGTAAAATTAGTCGGGGAAAAAAAACAGAGTGCCCAAGAATCATGCTTAACATTAGAAGTTTCAAGCAATGCATCTCAGCCAAACAAAACCATGAGCATATATCGCATGTTACAAGACAGGCAAGATGCTAAAAATAGTAAATTTGGAGGTACAGGAATACTCTCAAACCAGTTTCTAAACAATATGGTTTGTGGGTTAACCCTAACAGCCAACATTGCTCTTCAGGTTTTCCACACGTCTAAGCATATCAAAAATTTGTATAATTGTCAAATGATCTTGCTTTAGATAATCCCTCAGGATGATTTGGTGGGCTTAGTTAACTATAAACGAGGATAAAAATGCAGCTGGCCTTGCGCAACTCAACTGAACTTCAATCGAAAGTGTAGTTCCTTTCAAGAATGTCCCTTTGGAGTCAGATATATATATATGTGCAATCCATCTTACAGCTTTCAACGAAGGATCTTGATACATGAAAATCTACCAGGCACTCATCCCATATGCGATTCAAACCAGTTAAAGATTTGTTCAGATTGCAAGCTCGTCATCTCATGATATGCATATGCAAGATTCAGTTCTTCTTCAACAGGAGTAATCAAACTTTGGTCCAGTGATATTTTGTAGCTACTAAGAGCTTGTTTCCACGGTGTTCTCCGCCCATCACGCTTCAAGTATCCCTTATCATCAACAAACCCCTCGTCTTGAAAAAACTTGAACAGTTTGGCTGAGACATCAAGACCAAGACCTGGAATCCTATCTGCCAAGAAATCCGGGGAAAGCGCCAAATCCAAGCATTCAATCTCTGCAGCATCAATGCCTTCCATTCTGAGACCTTGTAAAAACTCTCTAATCTTTTGCTGTCTGTACACATCTTTAGGCATGTGCACAAAAAGAGTCGGTGGATACTGTTTAGTGACACTAATCTGATCAAACACTCCTTCCGCGATCATAAGCACGATGCTACTAAACCGCATCTCTATTGCAAGAGCAGAGACAAAGTAGCCACCAGATGAAGCTCCTAACGCAACAAGAGGAAGTCTTTCGAGCTCGTGCTTCTTGACCCACGACTTTATTATCTTTTCAACAATCGATTTCTCCTTCCCGAACGTCCAGCAGTTTCCAGCACTAGATACAGTTATAACAGCGAAATTACGAGATAGAGCAAATCTGACAAGACGCATCTCCTCTGGTAGACCAGTACATTCTGGACAATCTGGTGATCTGTCCCAAAAGTCAGAAGCTTTCCTTTGGCAACCATGAGCAACAAACAGAACTGCCTTTGGTGACTTTGGTATCTTCCATATCAAATGAGTCTTGTTTTGAATCTCTACGGTCGGATGAAATTGCGAATCAGGCTTGACACTGTCCGAAATGTGTCTCCGTAGATCCAAATCCGTGCCCTGATTCTTGCCACTGAAACAAAAGAAGAGAAGTGCGACCACTAAGATCCCAACAACGAAAGTAACTCCTAATCGATGGCTTCGAGATCCGTATAAAGGAGGTTTCCCTTTATCACTACGCTTCAACATCACTGTAAAGACAAAGTAAAATAAATCTCTCAGGGTTGAAACGTAACACTGAGACCAATACAGCGAAAGAGTAACATCCCTGATACACCCAATCTCTCCTATGAAAATCACATTCGTTTATATAATCAACCAAGTTTATATCAATCAAATTATCGCATCAACCAATCAGATCAAACATTCCACGTTAACGGATTTCAGGGACTAAGACTGTGAAAATCGAAAATAACAAAACGATCATCAATCCGATGAGAAGAGAGGAAGATGATTATAACCTTGGTCCACTTTATTCCCACCGGCGAGTGGTTATTACGACCCGCCAGGTTCCGAGAGAATTCCCGACGCCGTGAACAATGAATGCAAACACCGTTCCGTTTTCTTGCGATTGTGACCTTATTTTTTCGTTTGACTGCGTTGCGATTGTGACTCAACTTTTTTCTTTTTTGGCCAAGTTTACTACAGAACATCTAACGAAAAGCGTTCCGTTTTGCATTTTTAAACTCACAATTCTTGTAGTTTAAATTCAGACTATTTTTAGTAGATTAGTAGTCTAAAGGGTAGTCTAGTAGTCTACCATAACACTGTAGCGATAGTAGACTATTTTACAATTGACACTCACACAGAAACCATAACACTGTAGCGATAGTAGACTAGTAGTTTAAAGGGTAGTCTAAACTCCAAACTGTTTCAAGTAAATTTCTGGTAAATAGTTTATACTAATACCGCTAAAGTGTTATATATGGATTTGCTCCTCCTGTTGTATATGTTTTCATATCAAAATGTTAATTAGGTGAATTTATATACAAAGTTTCTTTTATAAGACTAAACAAAAAGGATGATATTACAACAATTAGTTTGATCTTTGCATCGTAACCATTAATTAAAAGACTAGTGTATCTTGATCCTCAGAAGTGTGCCAAGATGGAGAAGAGAAATCCTTGAAGTAGAGCCGTAGAGCAAATCTAAGACTAGAGTATGGAGAAATTAACTCGATTGTTGGTTATTACCAAATTCTTTTTTTTAGTGCATTGTAGTACTGTTCAATATACATACCCGAAACCCGCATACGGTCTGCTAGAGTAAATTCAAAGGTCATGTTTTGAAAACAATTTAAAAATTTTCATTGCATGGATAATAATATGTAATTTCCAAATTCTATCAACTTGTGTAGGAACATTGTCAATTGCACTATCAATACATGCAGAAACGACAAGACGCATGTTGTATTCAAAATTATTAAATTGTACCACTTTCTACACTGAAACATGCATCTATGATTTAAGTTATCCAAAGTAGCTGACACTATTTTTGTATTTCTTACCATGATTATCCTTTCTGACCACACTATATAGTTTACAGAACATATTTGTTTTTAAATGTACATTTTTCCATATCGAGAAACATCAACTGAAATGAGGAATTCATATACTATGTTGAATTTGAAATATTAATTTAATGTAATGAAGAAAACGGTTTTATCTATAAATTTCAGTGTATAAATCGATCAAACAAACATATCTAAATATCTGAAATACATTTCAGTTTCCATCAGTTTTTTTTTTCTTTTGTTTCCGAAGACTTCAGTTCCGTTGATGTTCCGTATTTAAATGGTGAAAGCACTTTGTATCACCGTTCACAAGAATTTGTGTCGTTTTTAAAATGTATATATCATGACATATGTGTTGCATGCATTTTGACAAAAAAAAGAAAAAAACAAAGATTAATCACGCACATAATATGTTTTGCGCCAAAAACCGAGTTCAACACATTTTAACCAGATTTAAAAATGAATGATATAGACTCATATAACTGACTCGGAAACAATTGTATTCAGAGGGATTTATTTCATTTTAGTCAAACGTTAAAATATAGAATTTGAACTTTGAAGTTATTTAAATCACTACGTAGACTCTTGTAGTCGTGTTCCATATCATCAGTTGTCTTCGTTTCGCACCTCATCGATCTCCCGTATAGTATACTATTACTATATCCTTGATATGTGCCTTATTCAACTACAACCACTCAAATGATCATGAACAAAAACACAAAATATGTAATTAATGTCTGACAATTCACACCCTAGGGCACTATAGCACGATATCACTCAAGTTGTATGATTGCTTCCTGTTTTTCATAATCAACACAAATTGAATAGTTTTAGGTTCTATTAATAGAGTTTAGACAAATAATTAAGTATGTCGAAGTGGTCCATTGATTAATGAGATTAATTAATGAGTTAAAACTTCGCTAACTAGCTACTATTCTCCATTGCCAAGACAGATCAATTAATGGACGGTGATCTCCAGGAATAGCGCACCATTAATTCCATGTGGGCTACCACACTGGAACCCTCTCTGCTATGTGTCGGTGTGACTCCACAAAATACAAAAATACTTGTGGAGAAGGACATTCCTGTAATTTTCTGCAGCGTAAATTACTCTTTACTCGGTAAATATTTCTGTAGTTATCAGTATCACTATAATAAAAAGTAAAAAAGCTTCCATAGGTCGTTTTATCCTAACCATATTAATTGCGTGTAATTATTAGCTTAATTAATCTATACATACACAAACATTTACACATATGTGCTAAATTCCCGCGGAGTTGAACGCGGCATTGTTTTTGGCTTTTTAAAAAAAATATACATTGGAGTATTTTATTACTTTTTAAGTTTATTTAATTTTCAGGAACTCGTGACTATGAAGAATAATAACACTGGTGAAATATATTTTTACGGAAATAATAATTAATAAATTTGTATTTATTTGGTTTTACATATGTCCCCCTTTGGCTTCTTTAGAAATTCCTACTTTGAATGTTGTTTTATTCTCGTCGTACAGATCACAAAGCCAAAGCCCAGTCCCTCTCGCTCTTCGTCGAGCCTCCATAATCCACTGATTGTTACCCAAATTTTGGATTCGCGTCTTCGATTTTCCGTCACCGAGCTTCTTCCTCATCCGGATCCCTGTTGGCTTTTGATCTTTCCAGTGAGAGTGGAGATCGGAGATCTGGAAAATAGAGTCGAGTCTTACTGTTTTGGATTGATGGAAGTGGAGAGACAGTGTGAGAAAGTGAGGGAAACTGTGAAGAAATGAAGTTTTACATATCGGCGACGGGGATTAAGAAGGTTACTATATCGAATCCCGGCGTCGGAATCGGAAAAGGAGGCGGAGGATGCGCGGCAGCAGCGGTGGCGCGTAGGTTCTCTGGTCGTACGTTATTGCTGTTGCTGCTGCTGCTCGCCATCGTCCTCCCTTTCATTTTCGTCAGGTTCGCGTTTCTCGTCCTCGAATCCGCCTCCGTTTGCGATTCTCCCCTCGGTACTTTTTCCCCTCGAATATATACATTTTCTTCTTCTTCTTCTTAATCTTCAAATAAAGATTATTAGACTCCATGTCCTCTTCGAATTTTTGAATTAATCGGTTACTCGTTTCCACTTCCGATTAATGTATACTAATAATGAATTTGACAAAACTTCGTTCTATAATAGTTTGGAATGAATTATCCAGGAAGATGCAAAGTGTGAATCCAATAAATGATTGGCTTCGCCGCTTCGACTTGGATTATATCATAAATCTTCGTATTCAATGCTCTGTTATTTTTGGTTTGTCTATTCATGTATATTAAGTTTCGTATGATTTGTAATTTAATATTACTACTTTTTCTTTTGACTTTGGTATTCGCAGATTGCATGGGACTGAGACTTTTCCGTGGGGGCGACACATCTCTGGTAAGCTTTTGTATTAATCTAATATTTAAATACATTCGTAATTTTATTTCTTATGTCGGCAAATGTTATAGTATATAGTATACAGTGGGGTACTTAAAATTTACGATATTTTTATGTGATGATTTGGGATTAGTTAGCTCTTCTTAATCATTACCTTTTACATCATCGATGGGAAACAGAAAAAGAAATTCAACACTTGCCATAGTGCTGCTATTCAATGGAAAAAAGATATGATTGTAATGAGAAAGAAAAAATAAGTATTTTCCAGCTGTATTACGTTAGTGTTGCTGGTGTCGTATAGTGAGAGGTGTGAGCCATGTCATTGTCTATGAACAGAGGGATGACGAAATAGTCTTAGGGTGAATTTGATTAACGATTTATGATTTGTGAATTGTGATTTGCTCTAGTTTCTATCCATGCAGTGACTTCTCGCGTATGATCTACACTTTGATAGAAATAGACATTTGGTGGATTTTCCCTTTCTTTTTCTTATCCTGGTAAATAGAATGATTTGATAGATTCATTTGTTATTTTTTATTGGGGTAGAACAAACTTGATCTGATATCAACATGTGGGATTGTCGGAATACGAGCCCACAAAGTGCTTTCTTATCATCTTTTTTTACCTTTTTTTACTTTATTAGAAACATATTATGCCCCAGAGAGTGTGTAATTAGAGGCAACACTGAGGGAGCTTAGTTTAATTGGATGGAATAAAAAAAAATGTTCTTCATAGAGTTCCATGGATTACTGCATATGCCAGAACCAACGTAGTAGACATCAGTTGGATGTAGGAGTTTCGACTTTCCACTCAGTGTGCTAACAGGACACGTGGTAGATTTAGCTGCCACGAGAAAATCCATAGCCACTTGGTTCCTTGTCCTTTATACGTAGCAACAAACAGAAACAAAGAGAAACGAGACAGATGGATAATTCCAATATTAGACTTGAACTAGGCTTTCCATTGCACTCTTTCGGTTTAAGCAGCTTTGTTGTTTTGCGTCATGACTCATGAGTTGATGTTAAGACACTATGACAGCTTTTTAGTCAGTAACAACTCACGGCAAGAAAATGCGTGTATGTGCCTCTTTCAGAAAATTAGGGAAGAGTTGACACGGGCGCTAGTGGAAGAAACAGATCAGGAAGCTATTGGAAGCGGAAAGAAGAGCTCATTGGAGTCATTTGATGACCTTGTCAAGGAGATGACGTTAAAACGCCGTGATATAAAAGCGTTTGCTTCTGTGACTAAGAAGATGGTAAGTCATTTCTTAAAATGTTTTGGCCATTCCAACTTTGGTAGAGAGTGGGATTATTTACTGTAAAAAAATTGTCATGGATTTGATGATGGTTATTCTATCTTAAGATAGGTCCAGTTTCTATCTTAAGATATGTCCAATCGCCAGTTAGTTTTTTTTTGTAGGAGTTGTTCCTTTTTCTATTCATGTGACACTTTGTTCTCTTTAATTTTCAGCTGTTGCAGATGGAACGTAAAGTCCAATCAGCAAAACATCATGAGTTAGTGTACTGGCATTTAGCATCTCACGGTATTCCCAAATGCCTCCATTGCCTTTCCCTCAGGTTAACAGAAGAGTACTCTGTGAATGCAATGGCTCGAACGCGTTTGCCTCCACCTGAATCCGTTTATCGTCTGACCGACCCATCTTTTCACCATGTCGTCATCTTGACCGACAATGTTCTCGCTGCCTCTGTCGTCATATCTTCTACTGTACGAAATGCTGTGAATCCAGAGAAGTTAGTCTTTCATATCGTTACGGATAAAAAAACCTACACCCCTATGCACGCTTGGTTTGCTATCAACTCTGCTTCATCAGCGGTTGTTGAAGTAAAGGGTCTTCATCAGTATGATTGGCCTCAAGAAGTGAATTTCAGAGTTAAAGAGATGCTGGAAATTCACCGCATGATATGGAGAAGGCATTATCAGAATTTGAAAGACTCTGATTATAGTTTCGTGGAGGGTACGCATGAGCAATCCTTGCAGGCTCTAAACCCTAGCTGCCTGGCACTTCTAAATCATCTCCGCATCTACATTCCCAAGGTAATGCTTTTTATCCACTCAACTCTTCTCTGAGCTTGAAAAAACCGATCTATTAATCATATTGAATTCTGTTTGCTTTTGGACCACGCAGCTTTTTCCAGATCTCAACAAGATAGTGTTGTTGGATGATGATGTAGTAGTACAACGCGACCTTTCGTCTTTGTGGGAAACAGATCTCAACGGTAAAGTTGTCGGTGCAGTTGTTGATTCGTGGTGCGGACACAACTGTTGTCCGGGAAGAAAATACAAAGACTATTTCAATTTCTCACATCCTCTGATCTCGTCAAATTTACTTCAAGATGATTGCGCTTGGCTCTCTGGTATGAATGTCTTTGATCTCAAAGCTTGGAGACAAACCAATATCACAGAAAGTTACTCCACATGGTTAAGACTCGTGAGTACATATATGTATATCAATCTTGTTTCTTCGTTATATTATCTGCGCTTGCAACTAAGCTATGCAAATCTTGATTTGACTGCAGAGCGTTAGTTCAGGGCTACAATTATGGCAACCAGGAGCTTTAGCACCGACTCTACTTGCTTTCAAAGGACTCACGAAGTCTCTTGATCCATCATGGCACGTAGCTGGATTAGGATCTCGGTCCTTTAAATCACCTGAAGAGATTCTGAAATCTGCTGCAGTTTTACATTTCAGCGGTCCAGCAAAGCCGTGGCTAGAAATTAGTAACCCTGAGGTACGATTTCACTGGTATAGATACGTAAATTCCTCCAACATCTTCGTTAGAAAATGTAAAATCATGAACTGATTATAAAATATGAAGTAAGGGCATACCAAAGATTAGAAACAAATAAAAGGAAAAGAGAAAAAAGAGTGATAAAAGCCAATACTTGCGGCCGTATGAGAGAATAGAGGGAAGAAGGTTTAGCCTTCAGCCTCTGCTCATATTTCTCTCATGTCCATATACTAAAGAGTAATATAACATTAGAGAAAGGACATTCTATTAGACCTTATGCATATGTAACTTTTGTTTTCTCCATTCTCTCAAATAGTACATAGTAAAATTAATGTAATTTTGTTTAATTATAGCGACGCATCATTATATAGAAATTCATCTCCAAATATATGTTTGTATTTTTGTAACTCATCATGTTGTTATGATTTTATCAAATATTTATAACTTTGCTAGTCTCTAACTGTATGGGTGTTTGGTGGACATCTAATCGAAGTTGTGTTCTAAATGTAAATAAATAAAGAGCACTTAAAAGTTACTGTATTGACTGGTAGTTCAGGCGTCTAATTTTATACGAGCAGGCTTTATAGTCAAATTATATGAAATTTACGACGGTTATCTGTTTCGAGCAGCTAATGGAATGAGGCCATATAAGCTGCTATGCGTTCGGGTTTTAGAACTTAAGATTAAAGTAAGAAAATAATAGGGCAATAGAAACAAGCGTTTTGTTTTCAATAATTATTATTGGAACCTAAACTCTGAAGTCGCATAAATATAATGTACTCTCTAGTCTTTCTCTCTCGCTAAATCGTTTTGAGAGGAAGAAACAAGTTTTCATTTTTTAGCTCCTTAAACAAGTTGAAGAGGAGGTTGGTCTTGGCCGGAGAATTGTTGATTCGGTTCAAGAAGGTTCACCGGAATATAGTTCCGATTATTATAATGCTGCGTCTGATCATGAGAAGACACACCAGATTCGTAAACCGCCGTCCCTTGTATCACACTTGATTCCTGCTGTTCTTGATTCAATCTCGCGCCTTCTGCTATCTGAAAAAACCCCAAAATCAAAGTTTGCTTGTGATAAACGTTATCTCGAATAGAAGATGAGCGAGAGACCAGAGATTGAGATTGGAAATTAAAAAACGTGACTAACCTTAGCTCGCAGGTACAAGTTATCGTGTTGCAACTCCATTTCCTGCAAGGTTTATGGGAAATCTCAAAACCAAAACCAAAACCAAAAAAAAAAAAAATGATAAAAGATATGAATGTAGTTGAGTTACCCTCTTCTGCATATACTCTATCTCTGCCACTAATAGCTCAGACTGCGATATTTTCATTTAAGAGTGAGAAAACTATTTATGAGATATATATATATATATATATATATAGAGAGAGAGAGAGAGAGAGAGAGAGAGAGAGAGAGAGAGAGAGAGAGAGAGAGACGAAGGTGTAATATACCTTCTTGGATCGGACGCGACTGATTCCTTTTTCAAGCCGCCCTTCGAGGTTTTTGAGTTCCTTGAAGTTCAAGGAACCAAGTGATTCCCCAACAATATGCCTTCAATTTATGAACATCAACATTTATGTATAAACAAAACAACCTCTAAAGGAAATTACGAGCTAACTTTTGCACCGAACTTATTCAAGAGAACTAGAAGTAACCACTGAGTCGGAGTTACATGCACTTCCATATATCTCCTAACCACACTAAAATTCAAGCAATTCCAAGTAAACCAAACTAAAGAAAAAAAAAAACAGATATCTTTCCAAAGGGACTATATATTTCAATAATGGTTAGTTAATATAAGACTCATTTTTTTTTCTGTATTTGTATTTTGATTTGGTTTTGCTGAAAAAGTCCAGGCAAAATTAAAACAAACCAAAAATTATTGGAAAAGAACTGAAAGTAAAATTTATATATTTGAATCCAATTCGATTTTTTTTTGGTTCATTAACAAATTCAGATGCTCATCTTTATTATAGATCCGAGTGATCAAGAAACAGAAACCATGTCTAAACCTCATAAAGAGTTTATCAGTTACCTGTTTGAATTCTGAATGTCTCGAATCTGCCTCCGAAGCTTAGAGGCTTCTTGCTGATAATACTTTAGAATTTCATGTATATACAAACACCAAAAACGTCACCGTGTCATGAATGCATTTTAAGAACCCTCTCTTTTTGTTTGGTAATGTTAGAGACTATATATATATATACATTTTCAACATTCTTTCATCATAATGACAAAATAAAAACAAAATCAAAGAGAATAACCGATAAGAAAGGGAACCTGAGTATTAGCTTCGGTGACGGAAGGAGGGTTGACGGCATCTGAACAAGCTTTTTTGTACCTTTCAATTGTACCCCTCACACTAATTAAAAACATGACCAAGAAAGAAAACCATTAGCTTTTAGTTAACTAATCTCTTTAAATAGAGTAGTTAATGTAGGGGATTCTTGATTGGTGTTTTGAAATGTTTTTTGAAAGGCCAAAAACCTTAAAAATCGACGAGAAAGGAATGTGATGGCTTTGGAGATTGGACCAGTTTCTTACCAGTAAGGGGATTAAACATCAATTCACACACATGGCTTGACTGGATTTCTTTTCATACATAAATAGACATTTCTTTCCAACTTATTTTACATAAGTAGACATTACGTTTCCAACTTATGTTACATAACTAGACAAGATATAGCTGTTAATGTATTTAATTCAAGGAATATATATATATATATATTATTTAGATATATATTGTACAAGCTAGTACTGTAGTATTTAATTAATATTGTGGTTTCAAATTGGTAATTAGGGTTTAGAGAGTAAAACAGAAGCAGTTTCATGCATATATATATGATTCAATGTCAGCAAAATATGCTTTAAGGATCAGAAATTGTTTTAATTATAATAAATGAAATAAGTGAAGTTCAGAATGCCAGAGATTCCCATTGGCTCGTACCACTTTGATTTCCGACACTTCTCTGAGTTATCTCCCTCTCATCAATATATCAATGCAGCATATACATCCTAAAAGGGCCTATATTTCATATCATTATTTGCATTTTTTTGTTACATTTTATGAGTGATTCCAATGTTTACAAAGTCATATGTGTGTTTATTGTTTGAAGGACTTCTTCTGCTATCATCACAAATAATTTGGACAACAGATAACGTGAGACAATAATGAGAAAAGAAAAAAGAAATCCCATTATATCTCAAACCTAATTAACATTTTCCATATACTAAATTGGAACCTAATTTTGCAAGCTACCTGTACGAATTTTGGAATTCTGTTACACAATTCATAAACATTTAGTTGAACGAAAGACTCATAAATCTAAACGTACACAATAATGAATTTGTTTTATTTATTTTTGGGTTAGATGATTAAAGAGATCCCTAGCGACAGCTCCTCATTAGGCTTTGCCCCAAGTTTCACTAGACAGAGGGTTACATAACTCTTGATCATTTACATACATATACATGCTATTTTCGTGTCAAGAAACTAACCTTTTGTCACTGATGAAACCCTAATTATGATTTGAAAAAAAAGTTAATGTCTCGTCAAAATTAAAGTAATTTATAGAAGGCTGGAAGCTGACAAGCATCAGACTCTAATGATTTACAGAAAAAAAGAATGAAACTAAGGAAAAGGCTAATAAATCAGAAGATGAGAAGACAAGACAGCCTTTTTTCTTCTTCTTAATTTGCATACACACACACACACACACATATATATATATATATGGGTCGGTCAGATTAACAGCAAAAACAAGTAATTAAGGATTGTAAATTAAGGGAAAAACCCTAATCTTGGCTCTAAATTTTGACTTCCACATATTTGAACTAAGGTTTTTTGTTAGTAGCTTTAAATCAAGAGAGAAAGGTCAAAAAGGTGTAGGAGATGGTACCTGTTGTTGGCATACTCATAGAGACGGCCACGAGTGGAGAAGATAACGAGAGCAACTTCAGCATCACACAAGACAGAGAGCTCATAAGCTTTCTTAAGAAGACCATTGCGTCGTTTGCAGAAAGTTACTTGACGATTTGTTGTGTTCTCTATCCTTTTAATCTCTATCTTCCCTCTCCCTAACTTCTTGCTACTGTCTGCGTCGTGGCTACTCCCACCTTCCTCCATTGTTCCTATCATATCATCCGATGAATCAAAAACACCAACAGAAGAGGGAGAGAGAGATAGAGAGTTTGAGAGAGATGAGAGAGGCTAATTAAGGTTGATGATCATTTAATCTTTTTGAAGATCAAGAATTATCAAGAAATCTATCAAAGCCATGATGTGGTAACTTAAGAACCAATCAGATTTTTAGCTGGCAAAAAACTCACATCACACAAAACTTGGGGCTTTTAAGATTAATTAATATTATATACTGTATAATGATCGAATCTCTTTGTAGATTAACAATAAACAAGAAACATATCAAACCCACGAATTAGTAACTCAAGGATCAGAGATCGAATTGAAAAGAAAAAAAAAAACTTTGATTAAAAAATCTTGTACTTTAGGGTTAATCTATACTGTATAAAATTGATCAAAACCTTATACCTTTGTTTCAAGATAATGATAGATCAGCAAAAAGAAGAAGGTAATGAGAAACTCTTCTTGAAAGAGACTATATATATTATTAGCTATTATTGATCAGTACCACTTAACTGCTGCTTCTGCTTTTCTAATTATGTTGTTCTTGAAATATCTCTCCTCTTTTTTTTTTTTTTTATTGTTGAAATTTTCTGTTCTGGTTTATCAGTTTCTTTTGAAGTAATATTTCTTTGAAGGTATCAAGACCCTACTTGCAGAAAATAGAAGGTTGCTAGTTTTCTTTGTGCTGAAATGTATTTATACATGGAAGAAAAAAAAGAAAAAATAGACCGATTATCTAACAAATTGTCCAAAAAGCACATACTCAACAAAGCTAGAAACTCACACTTTTTTATTCTCTATACATGCATATAAATAGATATGGATATCTATAAGTGAGATGTGTATTATTTTTACAGAACAAAAAACTGAAATTGAAGGGGAAGTAATTAAATATAAAATTAATAACAGAAATAAGAAATAAGAGAGAGAGAGAGAGAGAGAGAGAGAGAGAGAGAGAGAGAGAGAGAGAGAGAGAGAGAGAGAGAGAGAGAGAGAGAGAGAGAGAGAGAGAGAGATGAGTAGTAGGTGGAAGATACATTGAAGAAGGACCATCCAATTTCTTTCATGAGAAGGGGAAAAAGGAGAGGGATGGGCTCTGTTTCTCATCAGAACCATCTTTTGGAAACTCCCTTTTTTTGGTAATCTTTCTCATCTTTTCTTTCTTCCTTTTTTTTTTCTTTTTTTTTACCCCTCTGCATTTCCATTGATTAGATGCTCCTCTCCATCTATCTATCGGTGTTCATATTTAACCGTCTTGTTTTATAACAAAAAGTCTAGAAATGAGTATTTTTGAACCTAACCTTATCAAACCAATTCGAAGTAACTGAACCATATGGTAGACAAACTGATATAGGTTCTATATAAATCCTCGGAATATCTTTTTATGACGAAATCCAAACTTGGTACACAACCATAGTTTTAGTTTAGTTTAGTTTGTATCTCTAAAGATGTTAATTAGGGCTTTAATTTTGCTACATTTTTCTTAAGCAGAACAAACTGAAAAATTAAGTACCGAAAACTGAAATGTCCATCCTCCCAAATATGTTACTACCTACTAGCTAGTATAGATTGTAGCGTTTTATGAAGTCAACTTTGCTAAAATTTGATGTTTCCTTTTTAAGTTTAAGATGTTTTCAATGAACCCTCTTTTGCAAAGAATACCTAATTTTGGATGCCGAGAAATCTATGATTTGAGAGCATCATCTAAAAAAAATCAGGTTTAGACTCAGATTTGAGAGCATCATTTAATGGGTTGGAAAGAAAGAAATGTAAAGTAATTATTTATTAACCACTTGATGACGATCCAAACATACTGTATATGGCATGCATATATATTTAATAATTATAACTTGGGAACGAACACATAGATCGGAAATGCAAATTTGTAAGGGAATAATAAAGAAAAACAAAAAATTAAAGTATTCATCAAAGGGTCGATGACAAGAATGTACACAGAGAGAGGTAGGTGCGGTAAAATATGGATATATGATGAAAGAGACTTGCATGTGAAATTGGCATCAACTTCTCCTAGTACCTGAATCCTTTATGGGAAATAGGTGATACAGAAGTTATTTATTGTGCTTTCATCCTTCATCTTTTTCTATTTTTGATTTTAGGCCCCTCTTAAACTTTCTGGATATCTACTCTTGCACCCCCGTTAATTACATGCTCTACTAAACTCCAGACCAACAATCATATCAGTCTTTTCTTTTGCGTGGGCCCTCGTTTTTTGCAGTCTCTGTGATTTGAAATACAATTAGTTAAATCCTGAGAATCTGGACAGTGCTCATCATGATTCAAAGTTGTTAAGCATAAACCGTCAAAAACGATTTGAAAGTCTCGGATCATCTTTTAATCAAAAATATATATATTTTTTTTTTTAATGTAGTAAGAATTTTGAATTTATGTACAAATATAAGTTGAGAATCAGAAACCGTATCTGAATATGCTTTTACACGTTTAAAAAATACGTTTTGCTGTTTACCATAATTTTTTTTTGTGGGTTTAAACGAACCAAAGAATTTTACAATTCTATAACTATATTTGTGAGGTAATTGAACTTATGTTGCAAAAGAAGAATATATCTACAGATCTACTAAAATACGTATCTAATTTTGAATGTATGTTTTGTCCGTATATATAAAGAATTCATTGAATCAAGATTAATTCGAGATAATATGAATTGCAAGGCTTTCCGTAAACTTGCTTCTTATCAATAAAAAGTGACATATACATGCAAAAGTTAAACGTGTGAATAAGAACTGCAGTAATCACCAAATTTGTTTGAGAACTTAAATTGAACACGTTGGACTAGGAAAATGTGACCATTGATTTTGAAATCTATCTTTAGAAAGTCCAGTTTGAGACGATGGATGGCAAAATATTATTTTTTGTGTCCATATATTGCCTCATGCATTGTCTAAACGACTAAACCTAGTCAAGTCAATATTATTAATCTAATTTATTCTCTCTCCAAATTTGTGGCAGATCCGACTAGTCCAATTTCGACTGGATTGTGGCAGAAATACATATTCGAGCATGTTTTTATTATACTATTTGGGGAGGGATATACAAACGGAGATAAATCAATAAAAGAAAAGAAATGATGAGACGACAACTTAACGAGGGAACAGAAAATTAAGGAATCCAGCAAATAGTGACTAATCATACGTATAGTCATAATCATCCACGAACATTTTTTCAACGTTCTTATTAACTATTTGCCCTCCTTTTGCCCCCATACCTCCATCACTTTCCTTGTAATTAGTAATAGCATTTACAACTCGTATACACATATATCAAATAGACATGCATTATGTCATATATACATTTATCTTAAATTTTGCCAAGTCACTTCAAGCATTTGGGAGGGCTCATGTTTTGTTTGGTCTTTGCGGGGAAAACATAGTGAACTTTGTCTTTGTTCGCATGATTCAGTTTGGAATCTTTGTTTGATTTAGTATCGATTTTTAAAATTAAAACACCACACGCGGTTACTGTTACATATGGCTTTTTGAAGTAACACATTTTCACATCTTTTCCTATAAAAAAATAGAATCATCAGATTCGAGCATGCATGAGCAAAAGAGAAAAAAAGGCTCATTAGTTATTACGCATTTAGATTTAGAGTACTCGAGATGCATGAATAACATCGGGGGAAAAAAACTGGACCATTTTAAAAATTAGTCATCATGGTCGGCGACTTTGTGGACAATCCATATACATAGTCTTTAATTAGTAAAACTATATTTTTCTAGTTGGATCGATCTAGTTTATAAACCACACGATACATCAGTATTCAGTAAACAAATATATATATATTTTTTTTTAACCTCTCAAGACTCTTAGATTAGTGTTTTTCTAATTTGCTGGCCTGCAAAGAACTCTTTCTCAGAATTTAAGCTACCTTGCATTGGAAACTTGAGGGATTTTCTGGTTCTTCACTGGATATTCCTCTACAGAAGTTAGCCGCTTAGTTGCTTTTAATTCCAACGTTTATGTAAGAGATGACTTGGACCCACAGAAGGACACTAGCTAGTTGCTCTGTGGAACGAGAGCTCTGAAAGGAACTTGGTGGTCAATGAGGCTTTGACTGTCTAGTAGAATCTGTGCAAGAGAAAGGCAATCCGAAAGATGGGTTTCTGGCATCGGGTAAGAGACCAATACCGACAATATTGCTGTAATCAGATGGAAAGGGAAGTTGTTGCTGCCCTAAACCATAATCATGGAAGCTGAGATCCTTTTCAGTCAATGGAAAACACTTGAGTGAGCCACACGGAGACAACATTGTGGGAGGAAATTCTGAATCTGGAGCAACAGCTGTTCTGGCTTGTGAAGCCAATCCGACATGTGGTTCAAAAAACCTAGGAAAGGGATCCTTTGATGTATCACACAACAAATCCCTGTTCCAATTCCTATCGATTGTTGTGTTTGAATGATTTTCTGAAACCCCAAGTATTGTCGTTCGCCATAACCAGCTGTGGTGAGTATAGCTCCCAAGAAAGGAATAGTCTATGGAAGCATCTGGTGCCATGATCCTCTCGCCCGTTCTAACCATATCTGAGTAACTTTTGCCAACAGAGACATCCTTACCAATCAGCCGCATTGTTGCTTGAGTGTTATGCATACACAAACCATCACGGTTTGCAACCATATTTCTGCTAATTAGGTTCTGATTCAGAGCATCCAGCTTGGGGAGATTGATTGTGTGGCTCATCGGATAGTCTTCAGAAACCGGGGAAAGGACAGTTTGACCGCACTCTCCAACATTAGTGTCTGAGGAGAAAAATGGTTTCTCGATAAAGTTCTCATCAACGCCTAGCCTAGCTGGAAAGTACTTATTGCGTTTCTCCTTATGCACAGGATACCTTTCTACATCTTTGGCAAGTGCTGGCTCAGTTGAATATGTCTTTCCACTGGAAAAGTCCACTAAATTCCCGAGTAAAATATCATTTCCCGCAGATGCAGATCTAGAGGAGGCAGTACTTAAACCTGACCGATCAAAACTTCTACAGCCTTCACCATTTGCTTCGACTAGCTCACCTTGTAAATTAAGAGGACACCCCGAGATAGCCTCTTCTAGATGCTTTTGTCTATATAAAGCTGATTTTTGCATCCATTCGACAAGAAATGGATCAAAAGGTGATTCGTTCAGCAATGTCCCGCATTGCATATCAGCTGATGCAGGTTGCAACGAGGAAGAGCAACTTCTGTATGGGCTCTCACTCGAAGTAGAGAGAAAAGATTGAATAGGTTGAGCCACAGGCCCCTCGTTCTGCAAATCCAGTGCATCCTTAATTCTTTCCAGAGAGAGATGTGGTCTAGGAAAACACGACAAGCCAGAATTTGTGAGAGCATGACTTAACCGTCTCTCAGAAACCACAGGCTGAAACTTGTTTTGTTGCCTGGATCCTAACTGTATACTGTCACTGGTCAGCTCATTTGATGTAACCTTCCATTTCATGTCATTCCCAGGTGATTGATCCTCAGCTGAAAAGAGACTTAACCGATTCATTTGCGAGCAGCAGCGTTCTACAGAGAACAAATTATTCTCCAGTTGAGAAATCATCTCACTCTGATCAGAGAATCTGACATGCCTCTCACACTGAGAAGCATCAATATTAAACTCATCAGGACTACTCACGGAGCAAACTTTTCTTTTTGCCTTCAAGATTCCAGGAATCTGGAACTCAGAATCCCATTCTTGTCTGACTGATTTGGGAGAATTTGGAAAGAGTTCCTCCTCTGTGTAAGATAGGCGTCGCGTTCCTCCTCCAGCCTTCTTCTTCCCACTTAGAGACATAACGCCAGATCTTTCTTTGCATCTATTAACCTGATTTCAATGTGTGACACAAACACACTCGTGTTAGTTTACACCAATGCTTACAAAGCTAAATCAACAAATATTTATCTATATAATAAATGAACCTTGTTGGTTGTTTTTTTATCATCGAAAGATTCCTTCGACTTCTTGCTTTGAATCTTCTTCTGCGCCAAAAGATCATTCGTTTGTTTCCTCTTTGAACCGATTAAGACGTCGGGATGCTCTCCTTCGTCTTCTCTGCGTTCTAATTGGATCTGTGGCGTCTCCGCAAAAATCTCAACGATGCAGCGTTTCTTACAGGGTCTAGACTTCGCCTTGGCGTTCCGCCGAAAATCCGGCTCGGAATCGTCCGGCGTCACCGGAGAATTCGCTAGCAGCGAGGCAAGCTCATGAGACCACCACCGAAACTTGGAAACAGTTATCGGAGGAAGAAGAGACCGGATAAGATCTCCGGTAAACTCACCGGAGAACGGCCAACATTTCCGCAGCTCAACACTCCTTGTTCCACGCGCGTACTCTCTGCGATTCCGATACGACATATCAACAAAATTTCATAACAACGCAAAAATCAAAAAAGCTATATAAAACAAATATCAGCACCAACCTGATGGAGAAACCTTGGTAATCAGGTTCCATGTATCATACAAAGGCGACGAGCGAATCGATGTCTTGAGAGGAGAACGAGCAAAGAAGATGAGCGAGAAAGTAGAGAAAAAGGGCGTTTCAGAGTTTCCCGCTCGGAGAGTGAGTTCTCTCTCTCTCCAATGGCGCTTGTTACATTATTTTTCGGCTTTTCTTTAACTTTACGGAGCTGAAAGCGACAGAGGAGACGACAGCAACCGAACCGAAGCGTAGAGGCAGACGATTTATTTCGGTCTCTAACCATTAGGCCGTCACGCGCTTGCCTTCTTCTGCAACTACGCCCTGCCATTAATCCAAATCTACTACAGATTTGATTTGACGTAAGACTGAACACATAACCCAAAAATATACGACTTGATTTGACCTGATCTAGTTTTTTACAACACTCCCTTGCATTTTTTTTTCTACTGTTTCTTTTTTATGGGCTCGAGGTTTTTTTTGTTTAACGTTGCTGTACTACTCTTGAATTTTGATCTATCACCTCGTTTAACTAGAACTAAATACCAACGCAAAAAAAAAAATTATTTAATCTAACATCTAAAAAAACCCATTTAGATATTTTTTAAGCTAAAAATCCTCGAATTAGATCTCATTAACAACTTATAAAAATACACACCATGTTCATACACACCACGTAAATAATAAAACAGTCATGATGCCATAAATACATTAAGCTAAATATAATATGACACTGTTTTCTTCCATTTGAGGCAAAACCAATCATCTTCGTTTTAATTTAGAGAAGAAAAAAAAGCAACCAAAGCTCTTGGAGTCATCTGGTTAATGATGAACGGCTACTACTAGGATTCACATAATCTCGCTTTGTAAAGAATCTGAATCTTGGAAGGCACCTTCCTAGCCTCACCTGTTCGAAATCCACCACTAAAGCGTCTCAGAAAATGTAATACTATACTAGACATTGATACAAAGTGTGTTTGTGTGTGTGTGTGTGAGAGAGAGAGAAAGAGAAACAACCTTCCAGATCATTTTCCTTGCAATTCGATCACTAATCAACTCCAAAGTAGTGATGATTTCTCGAAATGTTGGTCTTTTTGATGCTTCGCTGTCCCAACAATCCTGGATTAACCTGGCAATAGAGAGATCGTAAGACTCTTAAAGTAGAGTCACGAATGTTTGTTTCCCAAACAGGATACTTATTAGAAAAACTTACTCTCGTAACCCAAAAGGATATGATTTTATTGGAGCATTGAATGGTGGACGTTCATCTTCAATATATGCTTTAGGAACTTCGCTTTCTTCTTTCAGATGGAATGGTACACAGCCTTCTATCATCTGCTAAGTTTGTTAACACACATGCTCTATGAGTATAACTGAATTAACAAGTCTCACATAGCTCTCTCTCGGTTACTTTACCTCTTGTAAGATCAAAGCGAATGAAAACACATCTACTTTTGTATCATACTCTTCATTTCTGTAAACTTCTGGAGCCATGTATCGCACTGCTTAGACCCAACAAAAACAGTATCATCAGCATTACACCATCCAAAACACAGCCATTATACAATCTCAGCCCCATTAGATTAGTGAAGTACGCTAAGCTGACTTGGAAGCTCTAAGCTAGCTCAAGACAGGAACATACACAATTCGAGAGAGCATGTTCAAGGTTATAAGATAAAAAAACTTACGAGAACTGTCCAATGATGTAATAGGTCTGTCTTTTTTAACTGTCTTCTTAAATATCAGCTGCTTGCTGACTCCAAAGTCTGCAACTTTCAGATGTCCCGAATCATCCCGCAGTATGTTTCTGTTCTCTTACTCGAACAAATAAGTGCCTTTACGATTTTTTTTGGATATGCAATATAGTATAATTGAGCTTAGGTAATGAAACAATCTATACTGATATAACCAAGAGGAAAACATACGGAGGTTCTAGGTCGCAATGGATTATTGCTTCAGGTTTATGCTCGTGCAAATAATTCATTCCCCTGCCAAAATTGAAGGAATGTCATACTGATAATCAGAAGCCACAAAATCGAAATAAATGTTGCGTTGCAACCGGTTATGGATCAATATGAACCTGCATAACTACGAAGTAAAAATATAGAGAAGATAGCCACTAAACCTAGCAATTTCAAGTGCGAACTTCACTGCTTGCGCTGGCATTAGAGGCCCTTTCCTGTCTAGATATTGTCGAAGATCTCCCTACAAGTAAACACAGAAATAATTTGTTTTAAAACTTAGAAGCATAATCTTATGCAGTGTAACATCAAACATGTCATATCTAACCAACTGTCAACATGCATCAGAATGGTAAACAAAGAAATTTTGAAGGACTTGCTCAAAATGTTATCATTTGATTTTACGCTTCTAGAGATTTTCTCAGCTCAGTATTTCCAGCATGTTTATAGGATACTCCAAACTAGTTCATAAGGGATTTTGAAACTAAAATGATAATTTGTATCTAGAGAGGCCATCCATCCTCTGAACGTGGTTATCCTGATTAAGAAAGAATAGGACCTTAGGTAAATACTCTGTGACGATCATCATGGGGCTACTTTGAGTAACTGCCCCCAGAAACTGGACAACATTCGGATGGCGTATCTTTTGAAGCAGGGCAAGTTCGTCCCTAAACGCATTCCTGGATATCAGAAGGATATTAAAACCTTTGACGCAAGATTGGTTCAATAACATAAGAAATAGATGGAGTCAACCCACACTTTGTCTTCATCAGTGAACATTTCTTCTCCAAAGGTTTTAACAGCCACATCAATTCCACGCCATGAAGCCCTGTGAAAGGTTCCCTGTCAAGCAGACATACAGTAATGACAAGCGTGGATATACCATTTCTATAACTTGTTAGCAGTTGGGGAAGAAAAAGCCTTATACTTATTTTGTCAACTAAAACTCTTACTACAGATATTTGGACAGAATCCAAATGAAACAAATACCTTTGAAATTTTGACAGAGTTGGAAAAATCAAGCTCTGTAGGATGGATTTCATACTCAGGAACTTCTCTATCAGTTAGGACATGCATAGGAGCAATCTAAAATCACAAACGATTATTAAAGCAGTTAAGCAGCAAATTCATAGGAAAAGCTATAACATCCACCCACACATACCGGAGGCTTTGCACCATGTTGCTCCAAAAGTTGAATCACATCGTGATTTTTGTAATACTCTGCGTCTGCAAGAGGCTGTTAAGATCAATCACGAATTGTTAACATCGTTATCATTGCACTTGGAATGTTAAAGCAGAAGATGATTAAAAACAAAAAAAAAGCAACCGAGCTATGCTAAATCGGAGCCGTTCCACTAAAAGTCCCCCCCTATCATCCGATTCAAAAGAATTTCAGGAATTGCTAAAACATAAGCTTGTGAGGCAATTCGTCGAACACAAAACGAACTATGAGTCTATGAGAAGTCAAGTCAAACCAAAGAAGACACAATTCAGCCCAGAAAGAGTTTAAACCCGTACCGTGCTACCCCATCGATCCATGGAATTAACCTTAGCACCACGGCTAAGCAGCAACTGAACCACATCGGTTCGTCCCTGACAAGCGGCGACGTGGAGAGCAGTACGACCATCGATATCGCGGTAGTCGACATTAGTTCCTGAATCCAACATCTTCTTAATGCCTTCGATATCACCTTCGTTGGCTAGATACATTAGACGAATCGTGGGATCCACGATCCCAGCAGCCGCCGCCGCCGCCAACTCCTCGTCTTCATCTTCCGCTACCGTCTCCGTTGGGGTTCGTGAATCCGGCGCAAGCGAAGACTGCCTTCCGAGGTTGAATCTCGCCGGCGATTTTGGCTTAATCGTCATGTTTCAAAAGAGGACTTGGTTGCTTCTGCAATTGAAATGAGCTGTAAATGGAACTGTAACGGCAGCAACCGAAAAAGTGAAAAAAAAATGCGCAACCAATTGGACACGCTTTAAGGAGTTTGCCTCTTAATGTGGGTGAAGTATCATACTCGTCTCCTACTCAACGTTTTATATACTTAATTGATTAATATCACTATTCATATTTCTTTCCTTTCTTTCTGTATTAAAAAGTCTTACTACTTTCAATTTAGCGGAGGAAATGAAAAGTTGTAAACGACGTAAAAAAAGTGTGAATAGAGAGATTTAAATGCTATAATAATTAGCAAAATGAAATTAATTACTTTAGCACTTTAAATGATCAATATGTTTTGAAAAACACTTATTCAACCAATTAGATTAATGAATAATTTCTACTTTCTAAAAACAAATACATTGCCTTTGAATGTAATTGTAATTTGTAGACATAAGATTTTTTGGAATAAAAGTTAGAGAGCGTGAGGGGGGGGGGGTATAAATAAATGTTATAATAATTAGTTAAGTTCACATACTTTTGTAGTTTTGTTATTTTTAAAATTAAGGAATGCATATGAATTTGTATGTTAATGATCACGGATAGAATGTATTGCGCATATGCCGTATCACAAACAAGATTATGCGCAAAACACACAAAATCTAATAATTACTAAAGTTCACATACTTCTTCGATTATGATCAATCGGTTAAAAATCGACCAGCAGACAAAATTGACAAATTTATGGACTAAATGCTTACAACACGGTTGGGCGGCTATCTAATTTGCTAGTGAATCTTTGTACGAGCTGTACGATATAAATATCTAAACAGTAATTATAATCATGTAGAAGTCGACGAACGTTTTTAAAAGTCTAGTCCCTTTTTTTCCCAAAAAAAAAAAAAAAAAGTCTAGTCCCTTTCACATATTCTTTCCTTCGACATGAGTGACGTGAGTCATGCATGAGCAGAGGCATTTAGAACTAATGGGCCGATTAAAATTCCTCGCTTTGAGCCCAAATAAAATTGGCCCATTATCGAATAGATATTTAGCAACCCGAGGAAGCTAAAATGGACTTTTCTACTCGATCCACATAGCGTCTGAAACTCACTCGCTAGTGTTACAGGACACGTGTATCTCGATTAGAGCGAGTGATCTTCACCGTCTTGCCGCGCTAAAGTCGTTTAGAGAACGAAAGTTAAATCCCAGGATAATACTGACAGATAAGCCTCTTTGGATTTAGATTTGAAGACAAATACTATCCGTAGATCGAAGCTGAATCATCTTACCACCGTTGATCTTCGGATAACCCGGATCCAATTTCAATAATCACCCGCAGGAAATAAAAACTCAAAATTGCTGATACAAATTAGAAATTTCAGGATATAAAGCGTAGCTTACTTAACGAAACATTGTTTCTTCTTCGCTTCCTTTCTTTGATTTCTAATATTTTGTTTGTTCGACGTGAAAATGGAGATTTCGGAGAGAGTAAAAGCTCGATTAGCGGTGCTTACTGCGCACTTGGCGGTGTCTGATCCCGTCGGATTGGAACAGGTGTTGCCGGCGATCGAGCCATGGTGCACATCGAGTGCAGCACCGCATGGATCCCTGAAGGGAAGCTTGACGATCGTCGATGAGCGTACAGGAAAGAAATATCAGGTCCCAGTCTCAGAAGATGGCACAGTCAAAGCCGTTGATCTCAAGAAGGTATGTATAACGATGGGTTTTAATCCCTCAAGTGAATTGTGAAATCGAGTTTAAGTAATTGACGATCAGTTGATCTAATAGCTTGTGTTATCTGAATTTCGACCTATTTTCCCGCGAATCTGAGCACGAATTTGATTGCAGATAATTGGTGTCACTCATTAATCCTCTGTGGCCATTGATCTGTTGTAAATTGTGTGTACGTTATAAGCTTATAGAGGGATCTCTATTTTTTTTGGTATGCAGATAACGACGGGGAAGGATGACAAGGGGCTTAAATTATATGATCCAGGTTACTTGAACACGGCTCCTGTTAGGTCTTCGATTTCTTACATCGACGGAGATGAAGGAATCCTACGTTATCGGGGATACCCAATCGAAGAGTTGGCTGAGAGTAGCACTTTTATTGAAGTTGCTTATCTCCTCAGTAAGTACTTCTTGAAGCTTGTTGTTGATGCTTCTCTTCCTTTTGGGGCTTATAATCGTGAACAAGCAAATGTTCGATCATAGTTTTGCGGAGGCAAAGTTTTATTGAACACAAAATTTATCATTTTTTGGGGGGTTGGTCTTAAATTTTTCATCCGTTTGTGTTCTAATTTGTGTTTGTGGGTTACTGAACCATTTTTTTCTCTGGCAGTGTATGGGAATCTGCCTTCTCAAAGTCAGTTAGCTGATTGGGAGTTTGCAGTTTCTCAGCATTCAGCTGTGCCACAAGGAGTATTGGTAAATTTCAACTCTTTCCTCATATGGATTTTCATACCAGTGTAAATTCCAAGGTTTCTATCAAAGTGTATATTTCAAACCAAAAACGGATTGCAAAAACGATTTTTCCAGTATAAGTTGTTTGTGTTGCTTCCACCCATGGTTGTCAAGTCCGTGTGGAATACTGGATCTCTTTCAACTATTACTACAATCATACTCACCGTTGCAAATTTGATTTTTATATAATGACTGACCATTTGACAACATAACATTAATGTCGAGGACAAACATTTATCGAGAAGCAATATCTGATGATTGTTGTACTTGCCATAGTAAAAGAATCTTGATTTCGATTTTAACACCATCTTCAACCTGAAATTAGTTCTGAATATTTTCACAGGATATCATACAGTCCATGCCTCATGATGCACATCCAATGGGAGTTCTTGTGAGCGCGATGAGTGCTCTTTCCATCTTTCACCCTGATGCAAATCCTGCTCTTAGGGTATATAGAATCCTTCTTTATTGTACTTTAAATTTCTCTCTTTCCATCTTTCACCCTGATGCAAATCCTGCTCTTAGGGTATATAGAATCCTTCTTTATTGTACTTTAAATTTCTCTCTTTCTGAAGATGTGCTCCATTTTGTTGTGTTCTTGATTTCACGGAAGTTTCCATTGGGTGCAGGGCCAAGATATTTACAAGTCAAAACAAGTTCGTGATAAACAGATTGTTCGTATTCTTGGAAAGGTATTGTTGTGTCTGTTGATATAATGTATTACCGGACTGTGAATTAGTTTCGGAGCTGTAAATGTTTTTCAACTTGTATATATAATATAACGTGTTTGCAGGCACCAACTATTGCCGCAGCTGCTTATTTGAGGATGGCAGGCAGGCCCCCTGTTCTTCCTTCAGGCAACCTTTCTTATGCAGAGAATTTTCTCTATATGTTGGATTCAATGTATGCACCTCTCTATCTTCCCTCTTCATTTGGCGAGACACTTGAAATTGTAGTGAGTAGTTAGAAATTATTTCATGTTCTGTTCAATTAATTACAGGGGCAATAGGTCTTACAAGCCTAATCCTCGTCTGGCTCGAGTGCTGGACATCCTCTTCATACTGCATGCTGAACATGAGATGAACTGTTCTACTGCTGCTGCTCGGCATCTTGCCTCTAGGTACTTAACTACTTATCATTAGAGATTTTTTAATTCAGTCTGCTCTGAGATATGTTTAAATCAGTATTGTGTTTCTGCAGTGGTGTGGATGTGTACACTGCTGTTGCTGGAGCTGTTGGAGCGCTTTATGGTCCACTTCATGGTGGTGCGAACGAGGCTGTTCTTAAGATGCTATCAGAGATTGGGACTGTTGAAAATATTCCAGAGTTCATCGAAGGAGTGAAGAACAGGTAACTCAATACTCAGACGCTGCAAGCAGTGAGTTATTGAAATGATGATGAGTCATTTCATCAATGTTATATCTCTTTTCCATGTCCTCAGAAAGAGGAAGATGTCAGGTTTTGGACATCGTGTTTACAAAAACTACGACCCAAGAGCAACAGTCATCAAGAAGCTGGCGGATGAAGTGTTCTCTATTGTTGGAAGGGATCCTCTGATCGAGGTACTATAGATCCTTGTGCTCACGTATCCCTCCTAGTAGATGGTTTGTCGAATTCCTTCTTAGATGTGATGAACATTATTTAAGAGAGATATGATGAATGATGTAAATCAGGTAGCAGTTGCTCTAGAGAAGGCGGCACTCTCTGATGAATACTTTGTTAAGAGAAAGCTATACCCAAATGTTGATTTTTACTCGGGATTAATCTATAGGTAAGAGCATCTGTGCGTATAATGAGTTGTAACTATTAGGTTCTTTTTACTCGAATCTAAAGTGTCTTGGTGATGGGATTGGGGAAACACACAGGGCAATGGGATTCCCACCAGAATTCTTCACGGTCCTCTTCGCAATCCCACGTATGGCTGGATACTTGTCACACTGGCGTGAGTCGTTGGATGATCCTGACACTAAGATCATGAGACCCCAACAGGTAAGATACATACACTTCTTTGATACATTAAATGACTTTATAAAATAAAAAACTAGGTGTTTGACTCATTGCTCATTGTATTGTTTGGCTGCACAGGCCTACACTGGGGTGTGGCTAAGGCATTACGAGCCAGTGAGAGAAAGAACGTTATCAAGTGATTCGGACAAGTTGGGTCAAGTTTCCATTTCGAATGCATCAAGAAGGCGTTTATCTGGTTCTGCGCTTTAGTCTCTCAATCCTATATACCACATACCAAATAAAGACCAAAACAACAAGAGGGTCTTGTCAACAATCTGTGTTGTTATCTATCTCTTTATAATTTAAACTCTCAATAATCTACACAAACTACATCCTATATATTGTTATTGTTTGTCTATCATTTCATTATTCAATTTTATGATTTAAGAATAATGTTTTATAGGGAAAGACATATCCTTTTTGATAAAATGGCGCCATTTTCGTGAACGTTATAAAAGAAGATCTTGTTCTTATTGATATAACACACTGCTTTAGCTCTTAAGATTCATATATAACGCATTGATTTGGGAAAAGAAGCCCCAAATCATATCGTTTAAACATGATTGAATATTACTTTCCTACCGTGAAAATGTAATGTATATTCCATGTAACGAATTGATAACAACAAACTAATCTCTTATTCAACATCATATGAAAAAAAATATATTTAAACACCAAGATTAGGATAGATTTCAAATCCTTGGATCGAAATGAATAATTTGCACGCAATTTAGTAATTATAATTTGATTGAAGTTTTCCCTATCAATTTGTATTTCCATATAAAAATGAGGAAAACAGTCGTGAGAAGCGAAGAACAAAATATAAAAATGGCGGTAAAAGAAAAGCAAAGTAACTGTCACAACTTTTGTTTTTTTTTTTAACATTTAAAAGCCACAAAGTCTCTGATTCGAGGAAAAAAACACAGTAGATTCACGCCAATCGCACCCCACAAAAGTAGTAACTGATTATTTACACACTTTAAATTACCAATTTTCGCCACCAGCCTAGTGTCACACAAGTTACAACAGTCCCTTTGGTTTCTTCTTCTTCGCTTCCTCTCTTTGAAGTTTGAACTCTGTTTTTTTTTTTCCTTCTTTTCTTTTTCCGAGGTGAAAAATGGAGATTTCTGAGAGAGCAAAAGCTCGATTAACCGTTCTCTCAGCGCACTTGGCGGTGTCTGATGATCCCGTCGGATTGGAACAGGTGTTGCCGGCGATCGAACCATGGTGCACATCGAATGCAGCACCGCATGGATCCCTGAAAGGAAGCTTGACGATCATCGATGAGCGTACGGGAAAGAAATATCAAGTCCCAGTCTCAGAAGATGGCACAGTCAAATGCGTTGATCTCAAGAAGGTATGTAAAGGAATGACAATGAATCTGATGATGATGTCAGATGATTGGTTTTCTTTCCTTGATATATTTCTTAGACATGGCTTTGTTTTTGCAGATAAAGACAGGGAAGGATGATAAGGGGCTTACGTTATACGATCCAGGTTACTTGAACACAGCTCCTGTTCGGTCTTCGATTTCTTACACCGACGGTGATGAAGGAATCCTCCGGTATCGAGGATATCCGATCGAAGAGTTGGCTGAGAGCAGCACTTTTCTTGAGGTTGCTTATCTCCTCTGTAAGTACTCTTCTTGAATTATCACATCTTATTTCAAATCTTGAGGCACAAGCAAATGTTTGATCATAGTCTTGAGCTATTGAAACAGAGATGGGTTTTTTTTTTTCTTTTTCTAAATTCCAGTATATGGGAATCTACCTTCTCAAAGTCAGCTAGCTGATTGGGAGTTTGCAATTTCTCAGCATTCAGCTGTCCCACAAGGAGTATTGGTATGTTTCTACTCTTTGGATTTTCAAACTGTAACTAAATCCTCGAAAATGATTTTTTTTTTTTATGTATAAGTTGTTCATCTTGCTTGTAAACCATGCTTGTCATGTCCATGAAGGAGGATACTGAATCTCTTTCAACGATTACTGTGCATTATGTCTTACTTATATCTGAAATGTCTTTGGCAGGATATCATACAGTCCATGCCTCATGATGCACATCCATTGGGTGCTCATGTCAGTGCAATGAGTACACTTTCCCTCTTCCATCCTGATGCAAATCCTTCCATTATGGTAAGCTTTTATAATCCTGTTTTTTTTTTTTTTTTTTTTTTTTGCCCTTCTTTTCATTTGTCTGTGTTCTTGACTTCACGGAAAATTCGATGCAGGGCCAAGATATTTACAAGTCAAAACAAGTTCGTGATGAACAGATATTTCGTATTCTTGGACAGGTCTTGTTGTGTCTGATTGATTTATTGCCATAATGTTATTACTGGACTATGAAAAAAGGTCTTCATCGTGTTTATATAATATTGTGTCTACAGGCACCGACAATTGCAGTGGCTGCTTGTTTGAAGACGGCAGGCAAGCCTCCTGTTCTTCCTTCAGGAAAACTTTCTTATGCAGAAAATTCCCTCTACATGTTGCATTCAATGTATGCCACCTCTATGTCTTCCCTCTTTGATTGAGTAAACACTTGCATTTAGATCTGTTTCTAGCTCTCAAACATGTCTGTCCATTGCTTACAGGGGCAATAGGTCTTACAAGCCTGATCCTCGGCTAGCTCGAGTGTTGGACATCATCTTCATACTGCATGCTGAACATGAAATGAACTGCTCTACTGCTGCTGCTAGGCATCTTGCCTCTACGTACTTATCACCTGGTTTAAGATTTTTCCATTGAAACTGCTATGAGATATGTTTTTGATCAGTATTTTGGATTTTATATATGCAGTGGTGTTGATGTGTACACTGCTGTTGGGGGAGCTCTTGGAGCCATTTGTGGCCCTCTTCATGGTGGCGCAGTCGAGGCTGTTACTAAGATGTTATCGGAGATTGGGACTGTTGAGAATATTCCAAAGTTCATCGAAAGCGTGAAGAACAAGTAACTGATCAATACTTAACAGACAAAAAGTAACTGGATTGTGATGAAGTCATTCCATATCTCTTTTCCATGTACGCAGAAAGAGAAGGATGTCAGGTTTTGGACACCGCATTTACAAAAACTACGATCCACGAGCTAAAATCATTAAAAAGCTTGCGGAGGAAGTGTTCTCCATTGTTGGAAAGGATCCTCTTGTTGAGGTAATTTAGATTCTTGTGCTCACGTAACGTATCTCTCTCCTATTTGATTGTTTGTTTACTAAAGATTTTGGTGTATTATGATGATGATGATGTTTTCAGATAGCAGCTGCTCTAGAGAAGACGGCACTCTCAGATGAATATTTTATCAAAAGAAAGCTTTACCCGAATGTTGATTTCTACTCTGGATTAATCTGTAGGTAGGAGTCATCGATGAGCCATCTAACAAAATTCATGCTAATTAATGAGTTGTTGTAAAAAAAATTGTTTTTTACCTTTAACTTTTGTGTTGGTAATTGAAATTGGTTAACTCACAGGGCAATGGGAATCTCACACACATTGATCACAGTCCCGCGTATGGCTGGATACTTGTCACACTGGCTTGAGTCGTTAGATGATCCTGACACTAAGATCATGAGACCCCAACAGGTAAAATTCATACACTTCTTTGATACATCGAATGACTTAAAAACAAGGTGGTTTATTTTCCTGGCGCGTGGTAACATTATACATTATACATAGATACATTCACTTCTTTAATAGATCAAAATATTTTGTTTATATATTTTTTTTGTTGCTCATGGCTCATTGTATTGTGTTGCTACACAGGCCTATAATGGAGTGTGGCTAAGGCATTACGAGCCAGTGAAAGAAAGAACTATCCAGTCAATGAGTGATTTGGATCGGATCAGTTTGGTCAAGTTTCCATTTCGTATGCATCAACAAGGCGTTAATTAGCTGCATCTGCGCTTTAGTCTCAATCCTACTACCAATTATATATATGTAAATATAGTTGTGAAAAAATCCTCGTGCCATACCATGTTTTAAGAATATGATGTTTTCTTTATACCGTCAAGAATATGATGTTTAACAATAATCATATATAAGATAAAACAGTTCAAATCTAAATAAAACCAAACGAAACCAGTAAGATAGTAGACCACGAACTAAAAAGAGATTCATAGTATTTTGTTGACAAATAAAAGAGATTCATAGTATTTTGTTGACAAATAAAAGAGATTCGTAATTCAACAAGGACATGCAAGTACTAATTTAGACGAAAACATTGGGATGCCTGTTATGCTAAACAAGAGGGTCTTGTCAACAATCTGTGTTCTTTACTTTCTCTTATAATTTATACACTCAATAATCTACACAGATTACACCCTATTGTGCTTGTTTTTGTCTGTTATATTTAAAATTATTTGATTTAGAATAGATTTTGTTGCGGTTCCATCTAATAATAATGTTGTTATAGGGAACGACATATACTTTGATTTTCATAGATTCCGCCTTTATGAGGAATGTTCAAAAAGAAGATCCTATTCTTATTCATTATAACACATTTTTTGCTAAAAATTGATGGCGGTAATTAGTGCTCATATAACACATTGCCAAAGTTCAAAAGTTTTATATTCTCAAATCATATCCTTTAGAAAGTGACAGAATATTATTATTCCTAGTGTGGATATGTTAACAAACTCATCTCTCAGTCAACATCATATGACATTTTTCACCTCAACCATTTGGAATTTCGCACCAAAAAAATTAGCATTGACTATCATCACTGCATCTTCGAAATAATCATCTTATTCAAGATGGAAATGGTTAAAAAAAAAAATGGTTTATTTGACCGCTAATTGTAATGTTAACCTCGATGACTACTCATTAGTCATTATTAAGTTTTGCCTGAGTTTTTGTCCGTAGTGTAGCACTTAGAACGTGGGATGAGTTCACCGTCTAAATAAGAAGATGGAGCCCACAATGGGTCCAGATTTAGCCACGAACGCAGGCCCCACCATACGCGATGAGCTGTGTAATTTATTTTATGTTTCTGTAGCAAAATAAGCCCTTCATGTTTACGATTAATTACTAAACAACCCCTTTATTTCATCCACGATCAGCGACGAGGTCGAAATACGATCGCTCTCTCTTCTTCTTATGCCTCTGTCGACAGTTCTTAAAGACAGATTTCAATTTCTCCGAGCTCTCTCTCTCTCTCTCTCTGTCTTCTTTCAATCTATTTCACTGATTTACTTGCGAAGAAGTCTCTTCTTCTAGTCTCTCGAGAGGCCCAGGTATGTCGTCTCCAATCTTACTCTTCCCTCTCATTTATCTCTCTGTTAAATTTCTCATTGAATCTGGGATATATTTATGGATTTCACCGTTGATATTGGCGATGCATCGATAAACCCGGCTGATAAATTCTGAGTCGCAATCAATCTTTCGGTTCTGTATTCGTGTAGTTTTTGACTCTTTGATCCCGATTTTGCCTTCTGGGGATCTGGAAAACTATATTATCCTAAACCACTATCTGTTAGGAAATTCTAAAAACAAAAATTCCGTAGGAGCTGGTTCGAATTGGAAAAATTGTCTAACTTTGATTCAATCTGGTAACCAATAATGCAAAATCTGATGGATCTCCGTATGGATCGTTCGAGATGAAGATTAGGTGCTTGGTTGATTAGCCTTAGATTTTCGTAGTCAAATTTAAGAATTCGCAATATTGTTCAGTTCTGATAAACTAAACCAGAATTTACTAGATTTTAGAGGTCGATCTCTGTCGCCAATGATTCAAGTATTGTTTCTCTGCATAGGAAATCATCTTTTGTTGTTATTCATCTTCTCCCTATCTAGAGGAGTCTTTTAAAAAGTTGTTTTTTTTTCTGTTGTTTTAATGGCAGAAAGTAATCACATCTCCTTTATTTGCAGTAGTTTTGAAACATGGCTGGCCAAAACGCGCGTTTGAATGTGGTTCCCACTGTTACTATGCTCGGTGTGATGAAAGCCCGTCTTGTTGGAGCTACAAGAGGCCATGCTCTTCTCAAGAAGAAGAGTGATGCTTTAACTGTTCAGTTCAGGGCACTTCTCAAGAAAATCGTTACTGCTAAGGAATCCATGGGGGATATGATGAAGACATCGTCTTTTGCTCTTACCGAAGTAAAGTATGTTGCTGGTGAGAATGTTAAACATGTTGTCCTCGAGAACGTTAAAGAAGCTACACTGAAAGTCCGTTCCAGGCAAGAGAATATCGCAGGAGTGAAGCTTCCCAAGTTTGATCACTTCTCTGAAGGCGAGACCAAGAATGACTTAACCGGTTTAGCTAGAGGTGGTCAACAGGTGCAAGCTTGTCGTGTGGCTTATGTGAAAGCCATTGAAGTCCTAGTTGAGCTTGCTTCTCTCCAGACTTCGTTCTTGACGCTTGATGAAGCGATCAAGACGACTAACCGGAGGGTGAACGCTCTGGAGAATGTTGTGAAACCGAAGCTGGAGAATACAATCAGTTACATCAAGGGAGAGCTTGATGAGCTTGAGAGGGAAGATTTCTTCAGGCTGAAGAAGATTCAGGGATACAAGAGGAGGGAAGTAGAGAGACAAGCAGCTAACGCCAAGGCGTTTGCTGAGGAAATGGTTCTTGAAGGAATCTCTATGCAGAGAGGGATTTCGATAAACGCTGCTCGTAATTTGCTCGTTGGTGGTGGAGAGAAGGATGCAGACATTATTTTCTGAGGTGTGAGCTCTGTCGCTGTCTTTCGTGATTGCTTTGTTTCTATTTTTCACTGTCGCGCCGTTATTACTCTCTTCTCATCAGACTTATGTTTCTTCAAATAAAATGGATTTGTTGTAGATGAAATATTGTATCATCTTGGATTGTGCTTTCCTATGATTTTCCTTGAGAGATTTGTGATTGTTACTGTTATGGGTAATGATTAATTTAATTCACTGTTTCGGACCAAAGCAATTAGATCTATGAGATTGTTCTTACGCTTTCTCAGTTTCTCGAGTAAAGTGATTCAACTATATTGGTGTGGGAACATATGATAATAAGGAACATTATGAGTTATCTCAGAAAGTTGGAAGATTTATTACTACAAATAAGATCATTAACTTGATGTTCGTTTCCGGTTTGGCATTTTGTAGTTGTGAATGTCTCAACATCTGAGTTCATTGTGGTAACTACATTAAGACATGTATACGTGGTCAAGGCGTTGACTTTTCTGGTATAGATTCTCCCCTCTACGTCACATCCACTTTAACGAGTTAGGTCATGATGTGTATGTGTGTTCATGAATTGATACTCACACACTAGGACAGATTCCTTGCTTAATTTATCAGCTTTAAGGGAATCAATATAAGAATAACTCAAAGCAAAGAAAAGGAATAAAAAACTGCATTACAATACAAAAACTTGTCATATCCCTTACTTGTAACAAGAAATCCATTAAGTTCAACCATGGACAACTCCAGAAATGGCTATTCTTCCTCTGTTCCGAGACAACCCGATAGATATGACTCGGGTACACGATCCTCGGGTTGGCGAGTCCCTGCTTTCTCTTCACGGAACGCTTGGTCCAGGAGTCATTCGGTGAATAGACTTTTCCTTTGATCATATATCTTAAAAAGTTCTGGCCTTCTGTATTCGTTTTTTATCATGTTTTGGTGTGTTCTCTTTCAGATAGTTAACAGGCGTTTGCTCGATGATCCTCCAGCCACTTACTCAAGATCAGCGATTTCATCAGTCATGTACTTAATCATCATCATCATCTGATTATTCCTGCTTTTGATTTTGTTTCAAAAAGTTTAGTTTACTTGCTATTCAAGAACTTGAAAAACCGTTGTTCTTGACAGAGACTCACATACTCCACAACATATTCCAATCCGTACCAGCAACAACCTGCGAAGGCAGCACCTCGAGGCACTAAGGCAAGCGGTTCACAACCAACCCGCTAGACCCGAGAGCAACTCAAGACCAGCATCATCATCATCACAAGCCAGAGAAGAAGACCATGTTCTGAAACATCTAACAAAAGAAACATATAACCCTGTCCCAAAGAGCCTGCTTCTCAGAAACCTCAGCTTATACTACAGAAACAAAAACCCGGGAAGTAACGGTCGAGATCACTCCGGTGAAGAAGAGGACAAGAGATGCAGTGTGTGTTTAGAAGACTTTGAGCCCAAGGAAACAGTGATGCTCACTCCTTGCCAACATATGTTTCATGAGGAATGTATAGTTCCATGGTTAAAGAGCAAAGGACAGTGTCCTCTCTGTAGATCCGTCATACTCAAGCCAGAAAAACCAGATTCTTCGCCGGCTGTTACCTCAGATCTCGCCGGAGACATAACAATGAACGATCTCTTCACATTAGAGCTAATCTCTGTGGTAAGAGCAATGGAGGAAACTTTCCTTTTTGGTTATCCTCGTCGCATGTAGAAATCATACATAATACATAATCGTATCTTCTCTCAAATGATATTTGATTTATTATTTTGGGATTTATAATGAATCATGTGAATCCACATTGATACACCTTTACAGTGGAAGAAAAAGAAAAAAAAATTGTTTTTCCTTTCTTGAGGTTTTTGGCTACACACACACAAAAACACACTCATCTAGAACTATCACAGAAGGGAATGGCGCCAAAATCGCATCTCCGATGTTGCTCCTCCGTAGCCACCGTTCCACGGCGGAACACGGAGGCGCAATCAGGCAAATCGCCGAGATCGCTGAACAGTGATTCATCTTCTTCTTCGCCTACTGAAAAACCTCTCTCCAAGGTTACGTCGAGGAAATTTCCAGAACAAGATGATGATGAGATGGACGCGTCGTAGAACCACCCGAACTCGCCGGCGATTTCGCTGTAACAGCCACCTAATAGCAACGGAGAGTCCACGTGGCTTAGATCTAATCCCACTGGCTCCTCGGCGGCGACGGTAACTTCCTCCTCCTCGTCTTCTTCTTCGTGATTCTCCTCTTTCTTGGCGGTTTTGAGGACGACGGTGCTGGTACGGTGGTGGTGGGATTTGTTGTTACCGGAGGAGGAGGGAAAAGGGTGGTTGTGGTCGCAGGCGTACGTTATCATGAGCTTTGAGGGGTCCACACGGCTTCTCTCCACCTGCTTCCTCGCCGGACATCCTTTTGAGCTGCTGCATCTGTAATATCCCCTGAGATATATATCCACACACACAATAGTGATTGATTAACTTTAACATTTTTAATCGAAAGAGAAACCAAATTTTCTGGATGATACAAAATTAATCAGTTAAATACCGATTATTATGACATTTAATATCGTTCCAAGTTTTTATTAACATCATTGAAACGTTAATTTTGGTTGAAACGTTAATTTTGGTAATAATTTTATAAAATAACAACACCATTCCTCGAATGGATTTTTTTTTTTTTTTAAAAAAAAATTCCCCTTAAAGTCACCCCAAAATATTAATAAATCAATTTTAAAAGAATATAATATTGGCACGTTAATCACGTAGATGTATGTAAAATACTTTTCCTTTTTGTGCGCATTACCCTTTGTGGCTTTTGTCTTGATTAGAATCCAGATCTACAGCTACTTGTAATAGTTCATATTTCATGTTCCCCGAGATTAATTATTATTACACAAAAGTAAAAGCAAAAGTTTTTAGATAATCTACTTAATGACGCAGCCAATGGTTCCATCCTAACTAAAATTACAAACATTAAACCAAAAAAAAAAACAAGGATTAAGGAGCTGGCGCGTGAAAAACCACGTGATATCAAACGCGACTGTTTTCGTTATCAAAAACGCCACGAGGTGCGTATGTTAGCCCAACCACCGTCTGGGCTAGCGTACGCTATCCCTTCCGATTATACGCCGCCACTGACAAAAAAAGAGGGACATAAGGGTAAATTTACCTGGGGTAAGGCGAGCCTTTGATCGGTTTTTGTCCGTACTTTCTCCAGGCCCAAGAATCGGACGGTGGATATACCTCTCCTCTACTCTTAGATCCTTCCACGTCAGCAATCGGAACGGAGACAACTCTCTTCTCTACGTTCCTCCTACTACACAATTATTACATTTTCAGACCACATAGCTTTTGGTTTGATCCCAAAAAAAAAAAACATGGTTTTGGGATAAAAATTATAACAATTCATAGGCAAGTAGAACTTTTTTTTTTCAAAAAACCTTTTCTTGGGAGTTGGTTTTGAGATCTTGGAATCTTCGCAAGAAGAAGGAGATTCTGGAACGACGTCGTTATAGGTCTCATCCTCTTCGTCGTCCGATTCTTGAATTCCTCTACGGTGCATGATTGATCTCGACCGCCCGATTTCGCCGGAACAGACAAGTGAATGACGTTTTTTTGCCTCTGTTGGGGGGTTTGATTAAGAAGGTGATTAGTGAGAGGGTTTTAATCAATCTGATGTGATTATTACTCTGTACTTGTTTTTGGGACGTGCAGGCAAATATCAAAGGGACTTTATTGTTATTATAATGGTATTGGTATTTTATTTGAATAAAATACGACTAGTTGTTTTGTAGTCATTAGTTTATTTATTTTTGAAAGGTTCTCTCGTGGAATTATATTTTATTACACAACAAGTTTTGCTAATCAAATGATTTCTTTAATTAGCTGGACATTTTGATTAAGTCCATGCATACTTGTGAAATTCTATATTATAATTTATCCGCATCTGATCTATATAGACTGTGATCTTTTAATTTTGCTGTTCATGTAATTATATATATACACACACACATATGCTCGTTTTTTGTGATATCCAAAATGAAGTTAACTACAACCCATCTAACTCTAACTAATCAAAAGATGTCTGAATCAAAGATGTTATAAACTTATAATGCAGTTACTAGTCAGTGTTGTAATGATAGCGTGAAACTATCAATTCAGAGGTTAGATCTCAAGCCTGTCTAGTGAATCCGATTAGTGCGTTTTTGACACCTTAAACTATGAGTTGATTTGGTCCGTTTCAATCTCCCAAAATGCATCATGTTTAGAATTTGACATAATATTCTTGTATATATAAATTACATATTTAATAACTATTTTTTATAGATCTATGATTTATCTAATTAGACTAGTCTCTAATCTAGTGAAAACTAATCTGTTGATCAATCCTATTGTAAGATCGTTTTCATTCAAAAATTCTTTTTTTTTTTTTTTTTCATTCATTCAAAAATTCTGATCATTCAAAACTGTTTGTACGATGTTCTCTTTTAGATAACATATCAACTAAACATGGGACAATCCACCCTTTGTCAAGTAATTAGTTAGAAGTTTTGTATTCATGAACTAGACAAAATCAACTAATTTTCATCACTTTTATGCAATGATTTGCTTGCTTTTACGTTTTGGCTCGTACTATCCAACGGAAAGAGGTTATGAGATCTTGACGAAAAAGTTTGTAGAGAGAGACATCGGCCCTTTCTGTGACAAATAGATATAGTTTTAGATTGACACATTTGTTGATGTTTGTGGAGGAAATAAAAGCTGCAACTTATTTTTGATAAAGAGAAAAAGATAACGAAAACCATGGAGCCTAGACACTCTCTCTAGACAAATAACTTAATATTTTTCTATTTCTTTTGTTCACATTTTAATCTTATAAATGTGTAAAGAAATTGGGCTGGAAATGGCTATTATAAATCTGTGTGGGATCAAGTCAAGATTCCTCCAGTCAGTTATTAAACTGTAAATTAGATAAAACTATAAATGCCTGTGTCATAATTATTAGTTTAATTCTCCATTATTGTTTCCAACCTCTGTCAGAATGCATCCAAAAAAATCATTTTCTGGTTGTATAGGTTTTTGATTAATTTATATATGTAACGCGGCACATACATATGTTTGATTTGGTCATTTCTGTTCATGATAGTTAATGTTGAACCAATCAATAATTCGCTCGAATCTGATGCAATAGAGAATTGACAATGAAACATAGTTGGATAATGTTTTTGATGTTTTTTTTTTCTATATAATAATGATGTACAAGTACAACGTAATTTATAATTGACACGTCTTGTTAATATTTAATATACGCATAGTCAAAGATTCTCTAAGAAAATAATGTAAAAATTCATTTCCGCGTTTGTTCAATAATTTTCACATAGTATTTTTTTTTTATGAGTTAAACATAGATCAACTCGGATCAGGATAAATCTGAAAATTCAGTACAAAAAATGAAAACCAACTCTAATCCAGTTAAACTGAATTTTGCCATTAATCTTATATCAGAAACACCGGAATGCCCTGCGATCTAACTCAATCGAAAAGAGAGAAAAACCTTAAACTAAATTTTCTTTGAAAGTTTTGAAGATTTACATTATACGAAAACCTTTTTCAACCTAGAATAAAACAGTATTAAAATAGATTCAAGATATATTTACTTCGATTATTATTTGCCAAAAAAAGAAGAAGCTAGAAACAAAACGAATTCAAAAATCATAGTGAACAACTCTATCCAACAGTAAACTCGAAAAAGACAATGACGTCAGAAAAGAAGAAGGGAAATGACGACAGAAAACCCGAAAAGAGAACGCAATGTGAATGTAGATTTTTCTATAAGAAACATTCCTTCGAGGTGTCGTCTTCGATAATTCGTGAGTTATGAGACTCTTGTTGTAAATAAACATTCTTCAGGGTTCACTTAATTAGACCTTAAGAATGCTAATTACCTACTCTCTGTCGGAGTAATTAACATCCATATATCTCAAGAGAAATTATATTTGTTGATGGCAATTATTGTAGATAGGCAATATATCTATAAAGAAAATTCAAATGTCTGAAGATCAGAGAAACAAAAACAAAACTGATAAAATACGTTTGAAACGGGAAAAAAAGAACAGATAATAAAATAGATCTCTGTTTGAGACATTTTTTTAGCCAGTAATGTTCTGAGACTTGTTGAGAATGACTCCTTCGTATTTCACTTGGAACCATTTCATGGCATCATCTTTCGTCACTCTGTGCTGGATTCCAACACGAGCCTTGCATCTTCTGCGACGTGCCACACGGTAACCCGGACGCTCAAGAACAACGTAGAAGTCCATACCGTAGATTCCGGTCGACGGGTCATACCTAAGATTTCGAATCAATCAAAACCCATTCAGTGATTGATTACACAAAGCCACCACTTTACATTGTTCGTTCTTTATCTGTGTTAGAAAGATTGAGACTTACTTGATACCCAAATCGATATGCTCTTGAATACCAAAACCGAAGCAACCAGTGTCGCTAAAGTTCCTTCTCAAGAGTTCGTATTCTTTAACTTTCAGTCCACTCTCCAGGAGTTGCATTGCCTTATCTCCCCTGACAGTCACGTAGCAAGCAATCTTCTCGTTACGCCTGATACCAAAAGAACGAACAGTGTATCGTGCTGCAAAACGGACACAAGCGTTTAAATTATGTCGGAAACAAAGTATTCTACCAGAGGCTGAGGATGATTATAAAGATTTTCCAAAACAATCGTTATTCAAAACAGAGACGACAATTGATGATAGCTACAGATTCCCACTACGATTATCTGAGAATCCAGGACAGTAACAACTAAAATCATATATATTTTGGAGAATGGCTAATCTTAGCCCAGAAAATAAGAGCTAGTAAGTAGTAATCTAAAAACACAGTTTTTTGTACTAATTTCTCATCCAAGAACTTGTTTACCATGATTTCCCAGATAATCAAACAATGAACTAAACTTACCCTTGGAGAAAACAGGAGTCTGGCCACTCAATTGTTCCAACACCTACAAATTGTCGACAAACTTACTCGTTTAAAAACTGAGTACTCACAGTAGGAAATGAAACCAGAGAAATGAAATAAAAAGAAAACCTTGGAGGCTCTGGTGAGACGATCTCCACTCTCACCGACGGAGATGTTGAGAACAAGCTTCTGCACTTTAATGTCCCTCATTGGGTTCGATAGCTTCTTCTCCGACGCCTGATTCAACCCAACAAAATTATCATCACTACTTTACTTCATATATCAAAATCGCAAAATGAACGAGTAAAAAAACAACGGCGACGGACCATTTGGGATTCGGGTTGCGATAAAACTCCGGCCGACGGGAAAGCACGAATCAACAGAGAAAACGGTGAAGCCGCAGCAAAAAATATATAAACCCTAGATCTAATAAAGCGTCTAGGGTTCTAAGCAAATGAACGAGTGCAAATGACGGCTTTACCCTCCTCCCTCCAACAAACACACGTTCCCCGCACGTGACGAATCTACGATTAATCTCGGTTAAATAAAATTTTGATTTCGGTTTAATCACCCGGTTTGAGTAGAATACAATAATAGTGAGGTTGGACTTGTGCCCAAGATAAGGCCATTAGATCATCAAATGTAAGAGATTTCTATGTATTTTAGATTAGAAAATTGTTTGATGATATATGTCCCATGATTGATCACTCAAAAGTGTTACATCAAACTATGTTTTAACAAATCCCGGAGTACATACAAACTAAAGAGCCTCACATTTTATTTTCTCTGATTTATTGAGAACCAACACTTGCTTTGCCCGGTGAGTTAGGAGAACGAGCCAAGCTAAAGCTACTAGAGCAGCCACTAAGCTTTGAAGCTGACCTACGGCTTCTCACTAATGGAACCAATGACTGCACCACATCTGCCATCAATGGTCTGTAATCAGCTTCTGCTTGAACACACATTGCTGCTATTGCTGCAACTTGAACAACCTCTTTCGTCGAGTACTGTCCTTCCAGTGTTGGATCCATTATGTCTACTACTTTGTCTCTGTCAGCCAATTGAGGCAAAGCCTGGAGAGAAGAGGCAAAAGAAGATATTACAGCAAAGAAAGAAACAATATATATGTTGAACTCGATTTGTGAAAGGAAGCGCACCCAAGATACAAGAACTCCTTCTCCATTAGCTCTCTTCATATCTACTGGAACCCTGCCGGTTAGTAACTCTAACAGGACAATTCCGTAGCTATAGACATCTGATTTTGTTGTCAAGTGACCGGTTAAAGCATACCTGTTGAAGAAAATGAAGAACATTAGTATTTAGAGCTCTTCAAACTATAACGGATGGAAGACCAATGATTGAGCGAAAAACATACTCAGGAGCAACATATCCTTGTGTGCCTAACACGCGGGTGGAAACGTGTCCACCAGCTTTATCTGATCCTACTTTAGCCAATCCGAAATCTGAAACTTTAGCGTGGAAGTTTCTGTCCAGAAGAATGTTGCTGCTCTTAAAGTCTCTGTGAATCACTGGAGGTGATACGTTTTCATGGAGATATTCCAAGCCTTTTGCAGCTTCCAGAGCTATTCTCATCCGAATTTCCCAATCTAATCTCGGTGGGACAGAACCAGATCCTATATCCCAACCAAAAGAAGAAAAAAAGAAGAAGACAAGGCTCTATATCAAATCCAACAAGAACTCAACACGGTATGTTCACCAACTTAGTAATTATTGTCAGACAAACTCAATACACTATCTAGGATTCATTGTTCACAATGCTATTACCCAGAGCAAATGTAGAGTAAGAAAAAGTATTCAGTTTCTAACATTACTGAAAAAAGGGAACTTACTGCTATTAGGATACAGGTGTTCTTGTAGACCGCCATTTGCCATGAACTCATACACAAGCAGTTTGTGATTATTGTCTGAGCAATAACCAAGAAGTGCCAACAAGTACGGAGAACGCAGACGGCTCAGTAACTCAACCTATCACAAATTGGTCAATCGTTTCAAGTCATCAAAACCTCTGCAAACAGCTAGCAAGATGTCCAGAAGCTTGAAAAAGCAAAGATCAACGAGCTAAACAAAAGTAAGGTTAAATTAAGAACAACCTCAATCTTGAATTCGTCTTCTCCTTGCTTTCCTGTATTATCCATAAACTTGATAGCAACTTTTCTCCCATCGTTAAGCACACCACGGTAAACCAATCCAAAGCCACCATGCCCAACCACATTAGACTTGCTAAACCCACCAGTTGCTGAATGCAGCTGCTTGAAATTGAAAATCTGCAGTCCGTTTTCAGTAACATCTTCTACAATTTGACAATCGCCTTTCTCCTCGCAATTAAATCCTAAATCGAAAGGTGAATCCAGAACGAATCCAATCAGGAAAGCATGAATTGAACCCTAATTTGAAATCATACTCCAAAAATTTCTATAAAAAAAATATCCGGATTTGCATTATTTAGTAACCAATTTCAGTATCCAGCTAAAGCAGAGGGCGAAAGAAAAGAAATGTATGTAAAGATAAGAAGAACATCGTTCTATTTACAGAAGGATAAGGAGCGAAATAGAGAAAGAAACTTACTCTTGCTAATTCTGTGACGCTTAGAAACTTTGTTACGAATATAGCAGTAGTAGCTGAAGGCGACGAACAAAGAAGAAAGAGCAAGACAAGCAAGAACGACAATTGCTACAAGTGCAGCACGCTCTTTCCTTTGGTACGCTTCATCTGTCTCCATTTTTTGTTTTGTTTCCCCTAAAGAAGAACGCTTTTTACCAGTATCCAGAAATGGAAAAGACGAGAAAATGTGGAAACCCTAGAAATTGTCACCCAGGAGGAGGAGGAGACGAAATTTGACACAGTAGAGGAATAACTTTAAAGCTTCGAGTTTTGTGAAATTAGTTATTGATTTTTGTGCTTGTGTGTAGTGTGAATGTCAGCTTCACTGACTCACTGTACTGCCTTGTTTCGTGGCGCGGAGAATAGTTGTTTTCACGCAAACTTTGCAAATTAGTCCCCTATAGTTTCCATTTGTACAACTAAGTTCCTGAGAATTATATGGAACGCAAACAAGGCCCAAAATTGGATATTATTCGGTCCAGAAAAACAAAAAAGTACAGAATTCAGGATTTTTTTCCGGTAGTTTATTTGGCTTGCTTTTCTTCAAATACGAGTTGAATCCAGATGTTCAATTCGGTTTCAGAATTTGTTTTTCGGTTGTGATATGATGATGATGCAAAGAGAACAACGGATTATTTATAGTGACAAAAGGTTCCAAATAGCTTTTCTGTTTTTCACACCATAAAAGATTCATTGCAGAACTCTACTATTAAACCAGGCATATATGCATAGATAGTTTCTCTAACCGGAGCACCCACGATTAATACCTTAACGAGCTTTCTTGTTATTACTTCTTTCCACGGAGTTTAGCTCCAAGTGCTCTCTCCAGCTTAGAAAGGATCTGCTGATTCGGAATCGCTTTCCCAGACTCGTATTCTTGAATCACTTGTGGCTTCTCGTTGATCAACTACAGAGGCAAAACATATATAAGTATAAATTCAGTTAACATACAATAGGAAACAAGATAGAGAAAGAGAGACAGAGTGAAGAGAAAAGTACTTGAGCGAGTTGGGACTGGGTTAGCTTCTTCTCCCCTCGCGCTTGCATGATGGCTTTCTTCAACTCAGTAGGCACACGTTCATCTGATTTTAGAACCATACACATGAAACAAGTTGTTAAAAATAACCAAGATACTAATCAATCTAACTGAGAAATGGGAAGCACGGTGATTTTTGGCAAACAATATATAAAGCTTCAGCTCTTGCCATCCACTCACCTATCTATGAATAAAGACTTCCTCTCACTAAACAGGAGAAAATATTAACAATCAAAGAAGACAGGCTCTAGGAATTGCCCTTATTGGAATGAGAGAAACAAGTTCACCCACTAGAATCAATGTGGTTCAAGAATAGAGAGGAAAGATACTCACGAGTTAGGTTCTCAGTGTCATCATCAAGCTTCTTTGTGTTCAAGGAGGTGCCGCTTGAAGCCGCCTTGTTGGTTCCAGCATTGACTAAATGCAGCAAATACAAAAGAGAGAAACCACATGTTAGATCACAACCATATCGAATACATGTGGAACAAGAAAGTTTCAGTAAAAGATATCAACGCAATATCCAAGCCCAGAAGTGAAAACAAAAATATCATCCTAATATCAACAAATATCAATTTGCAACATCAGACGAATCGTTAGTGCTGCAAACGGAATTGAAATCACAAGAAACGAAAATCTTAACACAAATACCTTCAAGGAAATAACAATAATCCAGTGGCGGCGAAGGCGAATATCCCTAATCATGGAAATTAAATACAACGGAACAAAACTCATCTAGATTCAATCGGAAAACCTAAGCTAAACCAGTGTAATCTTATCGCACAGCTTGAGATACAAAGGCGGATCAGACGATATCTAAGATAAACGGAGGTTGAAAAGAAGAAACGAACATTTTCTGACGGTCTCAATATCGGCGCCGCTTCGACGAGCGGCGTTGACAGTCTTCTCGTCGCGCTTGGCGGCTGAGTTGGGAGCTTTCTTACGGATCACCACCGGTTCCCAATCCTGAGTCATCGGTCCAACTCCTGCCATGGCTTTCTCTCGAGATTTTCTTCTTCGTGGATAAAAGGAAATGAAAGATAGAGACAAGATAAAATAGACCAAGCCGTGATCGTTTTTCCCTTTTATATTTCTGATATTTCATAGGGATAGTTTAGTAAATAGCCCAAACATTATGGGTCCCAGAGAAATAATTTAGTGACTTCCGAGCAACATATCATGCCGGAGGACTGATATACAAATAAAATATTAGAGCTGGTCGTATTTATTATTTTTAAATCTTTTTTTTTTTCACAATTCGGATTTAATTCGATTCTAAACTAATGAAGAAAAACAGATAAAGGAATGGGAAAATAAAAAAACATAAAAGTAAGGGACCAACGCAAAGTCAGATAAAATAGGCCGAGAAAACCCGTTTGGTAGGAGAAGAATCGTCGAATCCAAATAAAATGGACTGTATAGCTCTCTTTATCTTTATATCTCAGATTCAACTCCTGCCATTGTGGGCTTACGAGAGTCTTAAAGTCCACTAATCGTAACCATAAAAGAATGGACAAAAGAGAAAACAGCACTTATTGGTCTGTAGTCGAACATATTGTGGTACTTATTCAACACTATTAAAATCAAATCAGAATTTCGTGCTTTTAATGATTGTTTAACAGAAACAGGTTCAGCTTTTATACTACTAGTTAAATAGAGGAATTGTGGTACAAAAAATCAAGGCATTTTCATGCTAAATAGATGTCAAATATAGAAAAATTGATACATTTTAGAATAAAAATCTCTTCTTTCCTCATATTCCACCAACAATGAAAGTTGTACAAAGGATCTAAACAACCATCTTAAAGTTGAAAAGACACAAAAAAAAATCTCAAGTATGAAATCAATATTCAAAATTCAGATGATGAAAATATTTAAAAACTGTTTTTTACTGTTGAATTTCGAGTGACAAGAAAAAAAAGAATTTAGTTGAATCTTGAATTATGAAACTCCTACACAAACACAGATACATTTGTTACTCGTTTACCATAATTTTGAAAGTATTGAATAGTACGAGATTATGATTGATCTATTTTGCATATAGCAAATCCAGTCAATGCCATTAAAAGCTATCATTACAACTCGTAAGGGAATGTATCAACTTCTATTTGTAAGTTGTAACTGTTGACTAGCACCCAAAAAAAAAAGAAAGAAATGTAATTGTTGTGGCCTGGTCTTGTCTCCTCGTCCAAGAAGGCAGTGGAATTGATTCGAGCTAAAAAGCAGGGGTTCGAATTGACTGTTTCGAAAAGTGAGGGTGAAGAAAGTGAGCCTTGACGTTTTTTAATGACCTACAAAGCAAAAGAGACCCAAAAAGATCAAATTCTGATTCCTCCGACTAACCCATTTCCATCAGGATCGTTTTCCTCCGTTTCCTTCTTCCTCGCCGTTCTTCGGATTTTCACTCTTCTGCTCGAAAGGTCTCTTTCTCGTCTTTAATATATTGACACTGAAATTGAAATCGGAATTGAATTGTCTTCTTAATATGTCTCATACTTCTACTTTAACTGTTCCTCTTCTCCGTCTCGCTGAAACTTCTCCAAATCTTCCATTTCTCTCTGTGGTGTATGTTTTCTCTAACGGAGGTTTTATTTTCTCGTTGTAATATTCTCGATGAAATTCATTGCCTCATTGGGTACTTTAGAGTTCAATTCGGGTCGATTTAAGATTCAGTTAAAGCAATATAACTGACCTAAATTCTATTCCTGGCGATACTTTTTCTTCGTGTGTAGTGTGTTTTGAATTTCATGTGTAAAGAAAAAGGTTAATCAATCACTTGTTATAAAATTTTCATCAATTACACCACTTTGCTTTGCCAGAGAGCCAGAGCTCTGAATTTGTTAGTATCTGTTTTCAGATGTGTATATACTTTCTATATCAAGTCAAATTTGTTGTTTTTGTTCTCTTATCTCAGGGCAGTGCTTGAGAATCATTGAAGAAGGTGATCTCTGTTGCTTTTTGACACAACAGATCAGTAACTGGAAACAGACACTGTCCATTTTACCAACTCCAAACTTGATTAGAGCCGCTTTGCCGCAAATAGAGTAGCACAAGTTAGGAGCTCAAGAATTTGGAGTTGTCATCTCTTTGTATCATGCCGTATTTTATTCAGAGGCTTTTTAATACTTGCAAGGCATCTCTGTCGCCTAATGGACCTGTGTCTGAGGAGGCCTTAGACAAGGTTCGCACTGTGTTGGGTAGGACTACGTTTTTGAGTTTCTTCCATTCTTTTATCTCAGACTCTTAACTTGCTCCTTCACCTTCGTTAGCCACACTGTTTTCCTCATGAATTGCAGTGCTAATTTGGTTTTTTTTTTTTTTTGTCACTCTCTTATGTTGTTAGACTAGTGTTGTTTATTTGGTCTAGTACTTGCAAGCCGTACATGATACTTATAATTTTCCATTTCAGAGAAAATCAAGCCGTCTGATGTTGGGCTCGACCAGGAAGCTCAACTGGTGCGTAACTGGTCTGGTCCTGGGGATGAGCGTAATGGAACCCATCATTCTCTGCCAGCAATAAAATACCTTCATTTACATGAGTGTGACAGCTTCTCGGTGAGCAAACTCTTTTCTTTCAGATTGATTTTGAGTTTGCCTTAATCAATGTGTGCATAATTCGTGGCTATAAAATCTTGAGAGAATTCGTATATGCATAGAAATATATATTACGTAATAGTATTAAGTTAGAAATGCATCTGCTAGGCTTCTCATGTTGTAACCAGAACGAATAGTGATGATGAGGATTGTGAATTTTAAATCTCCCAACACTTGATGAAATTCCTCGTTTCAGCGGTCATTTGGTATGATTTCTTACTAATCTTGCCTGCTTATGCTTTGATCATTGTTTTTGTCAGATTGGAATTTTCTGCATGCCACCTTCGTCTATCATACCACTTCATAATCATCCAGGCATGACAGTGCTAAGCAAGCTCGTTTACGGTTCAATGCACGTCAAGTCATATGATTGGGCTGACCCTGAGCCATCTGAGCTAGACGATCCATTACAAGGTAATCTCGACTTGTAACCTGCCCAATGTAACTTCCGTGCCCTGCGAATAATTTCAATAACCCTTATCTGAGTAATCTAGTATTATTCCCATTTTATTCATAGCAAGACCCGCAAAGCTGGTCAAGGACACTGAAATGACGGCCCCTTGCGCAACAACCACACTATATCCAACAACCGGTGGCAACATTCATTGTTTCAAAGCCATTACTCATTGTGCAATCTTCGATATCTTATCTCCTCCATACTCTTCTACTCATGGAAGACACTGCAATTACTTCCGGAAATCCCCAATACGAGACTTACCTGGTAAAGAACTCAAACTTAACTAAGACACTACCTTATGACTTGAAAAAAGCTACTATTTTTCCTAGTGTTACTACTTTTGTAACATTGTTGAGGAATCATGAGTTAAACCAATAGGTTCTTGATTAAATAAGAGTCTAACCGCAGATTTCATGGCACACGCGCATTAGATCTATAGCCTACAATATTTGGTCCACGATTATCATTTGTTACTATGGCAATGTTATTGATGATGATGGTCTTCTGTGAAACTAGGTGAGATAGAAGTGATGAATGGAGAAGTGATCTCAAATGTGACATGGCTTGAAGAGTATCAACCTCCAGACAACTTTGTGATATGGAGAGTTCCGTACAGAGGCCCTGTGATTAGAAAATGATATATTAATAAAAAGGTGTAAGCATATAAGAAAAGAGCAGGAAGAGGAAGGAGCTTATCATCAGGAGAGAATAATTGGTAAACCACTCAGAGGCGTGCTGCTTTGTGGTCAAAAGATTCATACATATTTGTGACCCAATTGAGTTTCAACCTATTTCATTATACTATAAGATTGTTTACTACATACATCTTTACGTTTACTTTACTAGTTTAATAGTATAGTTATTTTTTTTGTTTACATAGACAATTGCTCACGAACGATGTCATAACTAGTTTTCATAATTTGTATTTCCATTGATCATTTGCCTTTCCTTGTTTTATGTTTGTATATATTAAAATCAACATAGCAACTTAAAGAAGTTCTTATCACTAAAAGTTTACCATGGGAGACCTTCTCGATGCTTTGTATCTAGAGGGTTAACTTTGTGCGGGCCACTTACTAAAAGACCAAAGATCAAGATCTTGCAAGTACATCATCACTCTCGTTGTGTATAACGAAGGTTATATAAGAAAATGAAATACTCAAAAACGGTAACAGTTGTATGATTCCTCCAAAAAACCATTAAACCACATTCACCAGTTCGATGTTTCAGAGAAGCAGTACAAGGTAACGTAATCAGAACTACGATAAAACATAAAATCAGACTCAAAATCACTCAATTCAAAAGAAAAGTAACACTCAAAAAGGTTATAACTCCTGGTCTTTCGAGTGCCTCAATTTCTAAGCACACTCTTCTTCCTCTTCGGTTTCAAACCACCACCAGACACTTCTTTTGTCTTTTTCGGCTTTAGCACATCCTTACTCTTCTCTTTCAGCTTCCCCTTGGCCGTTTTCTTCATCGGCTTCTCGCTCTCTGCAACCTCACTTATCTCCTTCTTCCTCTTCTTCTTCTTCTTCTTCTCCTTATCACCGGACTCGACAATCTCATTGTTAACCTCCACATCACCGATCTCATCTTCATCAAGCACCTCAGATACATTACTATCCATATACCTAACCTCATGAATCCTACCTTTCTTCTTCTTTCCCTTCACCGCAACACTCTTCTCACTACTCTCGCTACCATCAACAACAACAGCATCACTTTTACCTTTCTTCTTCACTTCCTTAACAACACTCTTCTCGGTATCAAAAGCATCGATTTTGAGCTTCAAGTCAGGCACGGACTGATATATAGGCAATGCTACACTCTCAGAAAGCTTCAAATGCAAAGACCTAACGTATTTCCACTTGTTAGGCAAGAACTCAACTACTCCGTTCAATGTCTCCATCACATTCTCAGCGATTTCTTCGCTTTCCATAGATAACTTCCCAACTTTGATGACACTACACGTCCCTGTCCTCATGAAGAACATAGCAGACCCACAAGCCTTCTCCATCTGCTCTTTCCAGTTCTTGTGCTTCAAATCTACAGGCACGGGAATCTTCTTCCTCGCGAAGAATTTCTTCCCGATCAACCTCGGAAGCAGAGGAATCACCCTCCGATCCGCGAAAAACATGTCGTACGAGTCGCAGAGTTTTCGCTTCGCTTCGAAAGGCCTGTAATCCGTCTTCAGCTTCGAGAGCTTAAGAACTTTAGTGACTGGAATGTTCTCAGATTTGATCTTCTTCATCGCATCATCCTTTGTGAGACCACTCTTAGGTCTGTCGTCGATAATGAGGCAGAGCTCAGGAGAATCTTCGGCAGGGTTGATAAGAGGATGAGGTAAAAGGACACGATAAGCATTCGTACGGCTCGTCTGTGGGATCTTCTTCAATGTTACGATTAGGTAGACGAATTCGTCTTGCTCGAGAAGCTGAGGCTTCTCCGTCTTTGATTTTTCGCTTCTCCATTTGAGCAGAGCGTTGACTGCGCCATCCACCGTCTTGGGACTCACTCTTGAAGTCTGCAAAGTGGGAACAAGTTGCTCTGGCTGCTGCGGCGGCGATACTGCGACGGTGGTCATTGAGAGAAGTGGAGAGGAAAGAAATTAGGGTTTAAGGAGAAGGAGGAAGACAGAAAGAAGAGGCTCTGGTTTAGGATTTATCACTCATCTGAAGAAGGAACTAATGGGCCTATCTTCTCTCGGCCCTTAAAAATATGTGGGCTAAACTTTCTTCCGGTATATTTTTGGATTTTTTTGTTATCGAAGATCTTTTTCAGGTTTTTTTTCAAATGTTGAATAATCAATCTCATAAAACTTCACCAACTATGATACACTGACGATTCCACTAATTTTTTCACCAAAATGTGATTATGCTATTATAACTAGAATATTGGCATAATCTACACAAACTTTTGAATGTAATAAACAAGAAGACAAGAGGAGCAGATATTACTGGTTCACCGCTCAAGTTCATGTAAGTTTGTGGCTTTGCCAGAATAACAGGTAGATTACCAACGAAACCTGATAAGACACAACACAAAATTTCAACATCGCATATAAAAAACCCTGAGTTTTTAGTAATCTAATTTGGTTTTTGTTTTCGTTTTAAGTGTATGTTTTGTTTGATATGAAAAGAGCACTATGTGTGGGTGAAAAAATTATTTATTAACAATGCGTGGAACATTAACTTTCAAGTGATTATAGAATGCTAGATAAGATAAGCAAATAAGCATACTACACAACATTCAAAGGGATTCAAATTATACGAAAGTGGAGCCCGGAAATCCATTGTGTTTCCCAAAATTAATTACAGTAATGTCCAATAAATCAAAAAGATTATCAGAATGGCATATATATCACTATATTACTGTTACATACGGCACTGTTTACTATAAAGTTGTTGGCTTGTTGCCTTTATTTTTTCTTCAACTGAAAATTGAAACGTTATGACCTTATTTAAATTGTGTTTCTTTGTCCCCTAACCAGTTCAAAATCTTTTATGTTTGAACTTTGAAACTAGAAAGTAGAAATTGAAACGTGTACATATTTAGCCGTGTAAACAATTCGACTTCATCGGATGCTATATGTATCAAAGCAAATGGGAGCCAAATACTGTAGTTAAAGACTTATAGTGTAAAAGATTTCCTTTTTGTATATAGAAAAAAGCGACACTTTTAATTTCCCAAAGGAGGGAGCTTTCAGTTTCCTTAATTCAAAACTCTCTCTGTCTTCTCTCTCTTCATCTAATCTTTGCAACGGCTCTCTCTGTCGTCATTTCAATTCAAACTCAGGTTATCTCTTTTTTAACATCTCTTGCTGCTTCTACACTTCTCTTAGCTCTCTACCTAAATCGCTTATCTCAAATGCCCAGATTCCCCAATCTCGAAACTATATGAACTTTCCTGATCTTGACCCATTTCGCCAAAATCCCAAATCCTGTATCTTGCTTTTCCTGATTTGATTCATCTCTCTCTGTGTTCATATTCACCCGTCGTTGTTGTTTGGAGAAACGTCGAGATTACACAGTGCGACTACGAGCGAGAGCGGTAAAGTGGAGATCCAATTAGGGCTAGATCTTACGACGACCCAATTGCTGAAATCGAAAATCTTCCACAATGGATGGATCCATAAGTAAAAGGCGAGGACTTTAGCTTCCGAAGAAACTGAGAGGTAAAAAAAAATTCATTCCTGATCTAACTTCCTTTGATCCTCTGTTATAATGAGCTCAGATTCTCTATCTCCTTTCAGCTAAAAATTGGGTGATTTATTATTAATTACTTCGCAAATTGTGGTCCCTTTCTTCGGTCTGATGTTAATTTGATGGGATCCAGTGTCTTGTAATTGCATTCCACCGAAATTGATTCAACTTTTGTTATCCACATAGGTGAAATAAAATGGAGATTGTTGAGAGAAAGCGACCTAGAGGAGCGTTTCTAAATCTGTTTGATTGGCCTGGAAAATCAAGGAAGAAGCTTTTCTCATCCAATATCTCCCAACTCTCTGGTATGTCTTCATACTTTTGTTTTCAATATATATACATTAGGCAAATGCAGTTTCGATAATCTAGAGTTACCTCTTTTAAACAGATGAATCAAAGCAAGCAAAAGAGAATGTTCAAAACCCCTCAATTACGCCGCATTCTGTTGTAAGCCTTTTGCTCTCAATACCATTTTCCATGTTTTATGCAATGTTTTCTGTTTTGTGTCAGTTTAGTGAAGAAAAGGAACTGATTGTATGTGATATGTTTTAACAGTTTGAGGTTGATCAGACTGTGAAGAACTCAACTTACAACCCGAGAAGTGACTCGAGCTGTTGTGCTTCCTCTGTAACTAGCGATGATGGAAATGTGGTTAGAGCACCGAGTGTGGTAGCGAGGCTCATGGGATTAGAAGGTTTACCTCTGCCAAACGTTATGGAACCACGGGTTAATCCTAATCTTGATCCATACTTTCTCAGATCTTCGCGCCAGGCAAACACTTGGGATGCTAATGCTGATCATCAGAGTGACTTTGATGGCGTTTCTTGGGATCATCTGGATTCAAGAACGAGTAAAGGGCCACGTAAGCGGATGATTGAGCGGTTTCAGACTGAAACTTTGCCTCCAAGATCTGCTAAACCGATCTCTGTCACTCACAATAAGCTCTTGTCTCCTATAAGGAATCCTGGATTTGTTCCATCTAGAAACCCTGCTTATGTAATGGAAGCTGCTTCGAGAATGATCGAGCAAAGTCCACGGATGATGGCAAGAACACGGGTGGTTTCATCATCTGATTCTTCTTCTCCAGTTCCATTGAGGATTAGAGATTTGAAAGGGAAACTAGAAGCTGCACAGAAAGCTTCAAATCCAAGCCTTCAAGTCTCTAATGATAATACTCGTAACAGTAAATACCTAAGAGGAGATCACAACGAGAAGAAAACTACAGCATTGGGGAAAAACAGTTGTGATGGGCTAAAGGGTGAAGTGAAGCCGCCTTCTTTCTCTGCGCAAGCAAAGGCCAGCAGTAATCAGAAGCAAGGCAGCTTAACAACGTCCTCAAGTGTAAACAAAAGGACATCTTCAGGCCAAAAGGAGAAAGCGGAAGCTAAGAACCGTGCAGTGAAAAGCCAGAATGGTCTCAAAGGATCTTCCTTGAGCGCGGGAAAGAATGTGCTTAAGCAGAACTACCAGAAGCAGAACTGCAGAGACCATCAGCAAAGCAGAAAAGTAATGAACAAAGTTGTAAACAAGGTCCTTGTGGAAAGTGGGTCTTCATCGAAGAGCCCAGGTTTTACTATGACATCGGCAGAAAAAGAAAAACCCACTTCTTTATCTATGTCTCGCAACAAGAAGAGTCTTCCTCGAAACAAAAAACCGCGGAATGGGGTGCAAGAACCGGGAATCTACGAAGACAAACGGATCAAAAGGGGTGAAAAGTCGATAAAATGTAACATTAGCATTGATGGTGACACGAGCACAAGTAAAGATGATCAGAAGGACATGGATGTAATTTCTTTCACTTTCTCATCTTCGATCAAAGGTTTATCATCTCACTCACAAGGAACCAAACAAGATGCAGACTCTGCTGTTAGGTTCAATGTGATAGGCGGTGATTCTTTAAATGCGCTTTTGGAGCAAAAGCTCAGGGAACTGACCTCGAAGATTGAATCTTCTAGTTCCAGCTTGATCCAAGGAGAGTCTTTGAGTTCCATTTCAAAAGAAGGAGCGAGCGGGATGATTTCATCGATATCAAAGAGTGACAAATCAATTCAAAACACTCTTGAGAGTGAATCTGTTTCTGACTGCACTTCATTCTATAACAACCAGACATTCCAGGTCAGTTTCCGATAAAAACAACTTCACTGATCTCTTATGTTGAAAGTTTTTCTGGCTTACCGGTCTCTGAGAATTTTTATTTTTTTCCTTAAAGAAGAAGAACATTATCCAAGGAGAAGAACATGAAGTTAGCAGCATCAGCACTCTTACAGATGCCACTGATTTTTCACTCTCCTATAGCAATGGTTACTCAGATTTCAGACACGATGGAGAATATGGTATGCCTTCGTCGATTTATGTCTTTCTTTCTTCCTTTCTATGTGGCTCACGTTGTAAATATTAGAAACCAAATAGTCCAACTTGACTTTCATAAAATCTCGGATCTTTAGGATGCAGGATGCAAATCTAATGTCTTTGTAGGGAATTGGTTGGATTATGCAGCTAAATACGCTTAGTGTTGCTGTTTTTTTCAGGCATGAAACAGAGTTCATCAGATCAAGAAGTCACTTTGGTTTCATCAAACGAGTCCCACCAAGCCTACGATGAAACTGATTCAGCAACACTTGATTGGGAGCTTGAGTACATAACGGAGATCCTAAACTCTGGCCAGCTCATGTTTCGAGACTTTGCTTTAGGAATGACCACTGAGGAATTATTATTACCCTCGAGCCTCTTTGATGAAATGGAACGCTCTCGAGGAGCTGCAACATCGATGAAGATGGAAAGAAAGACGCTTTTCGACTGTGTGAATCAATGCTTAGCGGTGAAATGCGAAAGGATGTTAACTGGAAGCTGCAAAGGGATGATGATGTCAGGTGGGATTTTGTTGGAACGTAGAGATTTGTTGGCTGAAGAATTGAACAGAGAAGTTAAAGGGTTGAAGAAGATGAGAGAGATGATGATCGACGAGCTTGTGGATCATGACATGAGCTGTTCCGAAGGGAGATGGATTGGTTACGAGAGAGAGATGTTTGAGGAAGGCATTGATATAGAAGGAGAGATAGTTTCTACGTTGGTTGATGATTTAGTTTGTGATCTTTTTCTCTCTTGCCGTTCTTAAACGGTCGTTTAGAAAGCTTCGGGTTCTGTTTCTTAGAAGCTTCAAATGACACGAGCACGAGCACGAGCACTTTGGTTTTTTTCCTTCTCGTTTTTGGCTTAAATTGTTTTGATGATACAAATTCCCCATTAATTGCCAAACAGAATCATTACCACTGATAAATTGTAGATCTTGTTCCTTCTTGTCGACGAAAAGATTACATCTTCAGTTTCACCTAGAGTGTCGTTATGACACTTTTTTACTTTTCAAAAAGAATGTCGTTTTAGAATTTTAATGTAAATTTTGACATAAAATATCATTTTTAACCTCAAAAATAAATTTAGAAAACTAGTTATAAATATAATTCTAAAAGTTATTTTCTACAAATTAATAAGGATATAAGAAATCTTTTATCTTACTTCTTAATTTGTTTGAAAAATGTCAAAACGACACTTTTTGTGAAACGGAGGAAGTATAATTTTATATATATATATATATATATATATTAAACCAAAAGGTTAACACCAACAAATAGCTTTAAAATATTAGTGTACATATAAAATATAGGTTAGTTTGGTAAGGTAATAGTTGAGTTTTGGTTCAAAGAAAAAAATATTTAATTGTATCATGTTTGATTTTATTTTATTTCATTAGTTAGTGATTATACTTGGGCCTTTGGCCAAACAAAAAACATTATTACCGGGGAAAAGGGAATAGATTCCATGATAATAATACTCCACGTGCAATTTTTTTTTGTTTTCTTATGTTATTTCCTTCCAAATCCTATTGACCTTGACGTGATCCACCTTTTCTTAATTTTCTCTAGATGTGTTATTAACTTGTAAAGAATTTGTCTTTGTTTCCTCTCAATAAAGAAATCAACAGTTTTTGGATTAATTTTTGAGGAGTTAACTATTTTAGGAGGTCTTTTTTTGGGGTTTAAAGTTTACTTTCAACACGAAGCAATAGTTTTGATATTCAGATATTCTTTTGCGAGAAGGTCTTAAGTAGATTCATGAACTGATGACAAAAAAAAAGAGTAGATTCATGAACTAATTAATTAAGGTCCATTCCATTTACCCAACAAAGAACATCTCAGTTTTAATTAGATTAAATGGATATGTGTCATGTAACTAATAATAATTACGCTACTTATTATAAGTCAATCTTTGTATTTAACTAGAAAATAAAAAACTACTTTTTCAAAAAAATTGAATCAGATTACCACCACCAATCGAAAAAAAGAAAAGCGACGGTGGTGATTCACGAGGGGATGACGTGTGATACCAGGTGTCGATCGAAGAGAGGTGCATCTGCTTTTTTTGACACGTGACTCATCAGCTCGCATGTGATTTTCGCCATCGTCACTTCGTCAGTCGTCTCCCTCTTCCTCTCCTTTCCCTCGTCTTCATCACTTTCCTAAAATCCCATCACTCTTTTCTTTTGGTCCCTCAACAACAACAAAAAAAAACATCAAAATCAAAACTATATAAAATCCCAATTTCGCTCTTCTTTAAAAGCATATACATACTTATGCTCTCTGATTGTTTGTGTGAGTGTGTGTACGTAACGCATATAGCTCTTTGTTGTCTTTGATCGGGATTTCTACTGCATCTGTCTTCGCAGTGGGATCGAGTTTCTTGGTTTATGCAGTTTGATTTCGTATTTTCGTCAATCGGGAGTTCGATCGGAAATTGAATGCGTGGATCTGATTGCGGTGATTTTACTAAAAACCCTTATTGAACTTTTTTTACTTTGCTTTCCTTTTCTGTTCTCTGGAATTGTGATTCATTTGGTTGATGACACTTGGTGCTGCGTACTTTGTGTATTGGATCGATCTTAGGGGGTTTCTAGATCGTCTTTTTTTTTTTCTTTTCATATCGGAGTTTGGTGGGTTTTGCGTTAGGCTTGGTTTCGCTTTGAAACTGACTTTCTGGGTAGTTTGAATGCGATCGCACTTTCGAACTGGAGGAAATTTATGTAGAATTGTGGTATTTAGTACCCAAATGTTTTTCATGGGATTGAAGTTGGCTGGCTTTATTCAGTTAGGATCCTTTCAAGATTTTGGGTTGACCTAAGAGTGAGATTGGATTGTGAGAGTGAATTCTATTTTTCTTTTGGAATTTTGATGATTCCTTTCTCTCTTGATTTGTAATTTTTGGCTGTAAATGAAACCATTTTATGCACCCAGTGAGATATTTTCTGGTAAAGGTTTAATCCTTTAGTCTTTCTTTTCCTTAGAGTTTAAACAGAACGAATAGCTTTGATCATTTGAGACAGACGCAGCTGTTACAGCCATCGTTGGAGTGTAGAAAGCTTGAAAGTGTCCTTTGTTTGGCATTGCACTAGTTAGGTTGTGATAAGGAAAAACAAGTTCAACTAGTTTGTTTCTTTACCGTGCTGCCATTCCTTAAGTTTCTGAGTAAATTAAAAACTGCGCCATTTCTGTTTCCACTTTTTGTATTACCATGGTTTTTTTAATATACCGTTTTCGTTTCTGTGTACGCAGATCGAATGACCTCCAACTTAAGGGCTACAGGTTCGCTTCTCAATATATTGGTGTCTAACTGTTCCTTTTATGGGATAAGGAGGAGCTGATATAATTTTAGACCTTAAGGAAGTAGGCAATGGGAGAGACACGAGATGATGCTGGGACATCAGAGCAAGGACCTTCTAATCAATCCTGGTGGCCTTCAGAATTTGTTGAGAGATTTGGCTCTGTTCATCTGGGATCGCAAGAAGAGACCTCCATTACTAAAGACTCACCCAGAAATCTTGCGCAAGATGGGCTACCATCTAATAGTGCGTCAAATATTCTTTGGAGCACTGGTTCGCTTTCTGAGCCGATCCCGAATGGCTTTTATTCTGTGATCCCGGTAAGCTTCTCTTAGGTTGATATTAGCTCTGTTTAAGTAACGTTTCAGTGAGATTTAGTCGAACTCGATTATTCGGCGTAACCTGTCAAGAATCCATACCTCCAAGTCTAGAATCTTTTTCTTTTATTGCTTTTTCATTATGTTGATATTTAACTTTTTTACAGGATAATAGATTGAAGCAGCTATTTAATAGCATTCCTACATTGGAAGATCTTCATGCTCTGGGTGACGAAGGTCTAAAGGCTGATGTGATTCTTGTAGATTTTCAGAAAGATAAAAAGCTTTTCAGGCAAAAGCAGTTGATTACCAAACTTGTCAGTGGGTTGAACTCAAAACCAGCTACTATTATCAAGAAAATTGCTGGTCTGGTAAGAGTTATTGAGATACTTTGTTTAAATGGTCAATGTATCATTGAATATTTCTTGATGCATTGCATGCTTCATCATCTCATTCGCTAGTAAAACCTAACTGCGATGTGAACTATATTTGTTTCCTGTAAAAAATCACTGAAATGACCATTTTGTTTCTCAATTCTAAAGCAGCATGCAATGATATTGATCGTTTATGGATAAAATTGAGTCGTCTGTCTTACGAAAAGTGATGCTGAGAGTGTCCGTTATAATACTAAGAAAGAGGCCATGTGATCATAGCTTCTTCTTTATTTTCTAAATTGTGAAACTATCAAAGTTTCTGCTATGCTTCAAGATAAACTTCCCCAGACTATTAGTGTATTTCCCTTAATCTTCCTCTAATGTCACTTGTGCATTGTGCTTACTTGGAAAAAGTGTTAATTAGGACATGTGTATCTTTGTTTGCTTGCACTTTTCCCATGTATCTCATTTTATTAGTCGTTACAAGGAACATCAAAATATTCATAGATGGTACGAGCAAGCGTTTCATAATTCTTGTTTAGTCCTTTTAGATATCAAGAAACCTTTGTTGAAATTGTCTGGCAGGTGGCAGATGTTTATAAGCAATCTACTCTGCAAAGCCCGGCAAAAACTACGCAATCTTTTGAAAACTGTGGTATTCAACTGCTAGGACAGATCAAGCATGGTTCTTGTCGTCCTCGAGCAATCCTGTTTAAAGTTTTGGCTGATACCGTTGGTCTTCAAAGCAGGCTTGTAGTGGTAAGTATTAAAATGTGATCAGTGATCTTAAGTATCACTCCATTTTCCGCGTGTGATTGATTAGCTTTAATAGAGGGTTATTCTCGAGGAAAATAATTGATCATGGTTTAAATGCCGAATAGTCTGACCAGATTAAAACTTACAATGCAATTTGGTTTATATGTTTGATCAGGGTTTGTCAAGTGATGGAGCTGTTGAGAGTGTGGACTCATACAATCATATTTCCGTTACGGTTCATCTTAATTCTGTGGAAATGCTGGTTGATCTAATGCGGTTTCCTGGTCAGCTTATTCCTCTGTCAACAAAGGCAATATATATGAGTCATATCTCAGCGGCAGGGGAAAGTGATTCTGCAGAGAATGACTCTTGCGATTCACCTTTGGAGCCAAACAGTCCCATGTTTGGATATCCAGACCGAATTGACCATGAAAAGTAAGTGGGTATTGAAAAATTTAAACTGTTAAATCTAACTGCAGTAACATGCATTAATCTTATAAGTATAGCGTGACATTACTCCACGTTTTGTTCAATACTCAGTGTTTTAGTGAGCAGAGTTTCTAAATATTGTTGTTGTACAGTGCAGAAAAAGATGAAAACCTTCTGTTGAATAGGAAACTGGATGGGTCTCCGAATATATCTGGTCCACCATCAAGGAATATGCTGTTACGATCTGCCTCCACACTAGAGAGAAAATTAAGGTGATAAGCCTAATTGTTTTTATTATGTTTTTATGGTAACCAACCCAAGGTTTGAAGATAGCTTTTGTTCTATTTAAACCAAGGATTTGAATGGATGACCGTATGTCAATAGTATTATCTTTTATTCTCCAGTTTCTCACAGAGCGAGTCAAACATTGCTCATGAGTTTTGGCGGCAGAACCGGAGAAAGGTCATTGCCGATCAGAGGACTGCTGGTTCCAGGTTACTCTCGAATTGTATATGTTTATGCATTCTGAAACCAAGCTTTCGATATGTTTATTCATTCTGAAACCAAGGGCTTTCGATGTCTCAATTTCCCCATCATTCATAATTCCACTTATCTAATTACTTAGATGCTTTATTTATATGGCTTTGCAGTCCCGAGCATCTTTCTTTCCGAACACGTACAAGGTCAATGCTAAGTGGCGACACGAACTTGGCACGAGATTTCACCGGTGATGTTGCCACATCAAGGTTGGTTATGGTTTGTTTCCTTTGCAACTTAGATATGTTATAGAGGTTCTTGCAGATTATGATTTGAGCTTTCAGTTAGAAAGGATCCAAATTTATTACTGTAAGAGGTCATGGTGTTTGGTTTAGTGCTTACCCGAGTTCTTTTGTCTAATTTCTGCTTTAATAACATGGTGTCACAGATTTTATTTATTGTACCATAAGTTTGTTAAAATGTGCTTAAGTATTCTGTTTTCATGTGCAGCTGCAAATCTGTTGGAGGAGCGAAATTGGAAACTAAGAGAATAAGGAGGAGAAGCATTAGTATAACTCCCGAGATTGGCGATGATATTGTCAGGTGGGTGTTTAGTTTCTGGCTCATTAAACCCTGTGCATGGCAGAGCTAGTATGATGGGTTTTGATACATCTCCATTCTGGTTACATATATCGTTCCCACCATAACAACCTCCTCTGGTTTCAGTATATCCAAAGCTATCATTATTTTCCAGTGACATAGGTTTCAGTAGTTTCAAATTATCTTTTTCCTCAGTTGTGAATTCATATATATAACGATTCTGATAAAATTAGTCGTACTATCTTATGGATAATACTAAAAGAATGCAAATAGACGGCATTCTTTTTCTAGTTGGGATCACATATTCTTATAAATTTTTATATATTTGGAACGAGAAGTTTAAGCAGTTGCAATGATCGTTACCTCATTGCATAAGTGCATTGACAATCAGACCATTAACCATTTGGAACACGGAGCTTCTGTATTTTGTGTTAATAAGTTTTGCTTAAAAGTTATTTGCTAATTATTTTCAGGGCGGTAAGAGCGATGAATGAAGCCTTGAAGCAGAATCGCCTCTCAAAAGAGCAATGTGATGATGGTTCGTCTCCTAACTCCCCAAATGACAGAACCGAGAGCTCTCACATCCAGAAAAATGTACGTAAAGATTTCATGGTATATATGAAGCTTATCCATACATACATTGAAATATTTGGCTGCTGTACTGCTAGCTTTTAATCATAGAAGTTAAAATACTGAACACAAAGAAACTTTGGCTGCATTACATATCTTTTTTCTCGATGTGAAGACTATGAATTTGATCATCTGAAAGACAAATACGAGAAGAATTCTGTGTCGTGATCCTTAGATAATCAAAGTACAACATCCATTTTCTGTTTTAATAACTCACAATAACCAATTTCAAGTGGTTGTTTATTTCATATTCCAACATGCGTAAAATTATGGTTTTTGGAATCGTTTTCTCTAGCGATTTATGACTTTATTTTGTCTTAACTAGACTTTTCTGCTTCTAGGTCTCTGGTTTCCATCTTGACGCCCATGACCAAGTGTCTGGTGGAAGGTCGACGCTTTCCAGAGAACCACTAGATCCGCAGAAGGCAATATCTCTGCCATCTTCTCCCCAGAACTACAGAGGCCAATCATATGAACGGAGCGGAACGTCACATCGTAATATAAGCCACATCTGGGATAAAGTATTGGGATCTCCAATGTTCCAGAATAAGCCATTGTTACCATATGAAGAATGGAACATAGACTTCTCCGAGTTGACGGTTGGGACTCGTGTTGGAATTGGTGAGGATTTTTAGCTTATGTTTTTGAATTGGGTTTATGCGTTCTTGTAAAATTATTGGCCATGTCTTTCCTTCAACAAATTTGACTTTGGCTTACAGCTTGTATTTCTTGATTATCACTTTACGTTCCTTACCCTTTTACTCATTTTTATGTTGTTATCAAAACTTTACCTTTGTGTTAGCAATCTAACTAAAACTTCTTTGTTGATTTTTTGTTCCAGGATTTTTCGGAGAAGTCTTCCGTGGGATCTGGAATGGAACAGACGTCGCGATCAAAGTGTTCCTTGAGCAAGACCTTACAGCTGAGAACATGGAAGATTTCTGCAACGAGATATCGATTCTTAGGTATCTCTTTAGAATTTCTCTGTTTAATTCAAATTTAGCCATAACATTCTGGACTTATCTTCTGACTTTCTTTCCTGCCTTCTCTTTCTGCATCCAAATAACTACCAGTCGACTTAGACATCCCAACGGTACTCATCTGTTTCTTTGAATTTTTATTTTTTAAGAATTTTAGTATCAGTTTTCATTAACAGGCACCTTGGGCTACTTGTAGTTATACTGTTCCTTGGAGCATGCACAAAGCCTCCACGGTTATCACTGATCACTGAGTACATGGAAATGGGATCTTTGTATTACTTGCTCCACATGAGTGGACAAAAGAAGAAGTTAAGCTGGCGGAGGAAGCTAAAGATGCTGCGTGACATTTGCAGGTACTTTCCTTATTTCTCTTAAAATTGTTTAGGCTTCCCTTCCCAAGTTGATACAGTATATAGTTTTTAACATGGTAAATATCGTCTTGGCGATAAGGTAAAATAAATTCCAAATAGGAACTGGAAGTATTTCCCAGTGAGAAAGTTTTAAATTCTTTTTTAGTAACAAAACCTTTAAAAATGTTGCAGGGGGTTGATGTGTATACATCGGATGGGGATAGTACACCGTGATATAAAGAGCGCAAACTGTCTTTTAAGCAACAAATGGACAGTCAAGATCTGTGATTTTGGGCTCTCAAGAATAATGACAGGCACGACAATGAGAGACACAGTCTCTGCAGGAACTCCAGAGTGGATGGCTCCTGAGCTTATCCGCAATGAGCCCTTCTCAGAAAAGTGTGATATCTTCAGCTTAGGTGTAATAATGTGGGAACTATGCACTTTAACCAGGCCCTGGGAAGGAGTACCGCCTGAACGGGTATGTAACTGAGCAAGAAAAAGGCTCCGTAATGACTTTTATGTACATATATATATATATATATAAACCAGTTTCTGCATATTTCTCAGGTTGTTTATGCTATTGCTTACGAGGGAGCTCGGCTTGAGATCCCTGAAGGGCCGTTGGGAAAGCTTATTGCAGGTCATTGTGACTTCTCAAAGAGTTGCTTTTCTTTGGTCCTGGATCTTTGTTTTTCTGATGTGTTGTATATTGTCTGCAGATTGTTGGACAGAACCGGAACAAAGACCGAGCTGCAATGAGATACTTTCTCGTTTGCTGGATTGCGAGTATTCGCTTTGCTAACTTCTTTCAACTCTTTTTCCTTCTGTGAATAGAAGAAACTTTGCAGCAAGAAGAGGTTTTCGTTTTTTTTGAATATTGTGGGCTTTCTTCTTCGAGTTTGTACAAAAATTGGCGTTTTCATATCCACAAAAAGCTTTGTGAAACTCTTTTCCATTTTATCATTGCTATATTAATGAAATCAAAAACCTTTTTTAAAAACAAAAGTAGACTTTTCAAGTTACAAGAAGTGAGTGCTCACTGTTTTAGTATTGCAGGTTTGACTGTTTGAGAAATGATCAAACTTTCTCTGTTCTTTTAAGTATCATAATTGGGCCTCGTGGTACTGGCTTTGGTTTATTAAATAACCGAGTCTAATTAAGAAGAATGTAAGCCCATAAGGTTAGTACCATGCATTGCGTTTGCTATGAAAATGTTTACACAACACAATGAAACCATATTTATTTCTAAAAAATATGCATATTTTCGATATATCTCATTGCCGCAGATAAAAAATACAAAGGTGAAAAAGTGCTTCGATTGACAAGGAAAAAATAGCATAATTTTTTTGTTGTAGATTAGTAGGGATTAAGGTTTCTATTTAAAATCAGATACCCTTTAAAATTAAGACAAACAAAAAAAAAATATTTTGGATGAAAAAATAAAGGCATAAACACCCACAAAGAAGAATAAGAAGATGTTTTTAGATCTTAAGACAATTACCATTCAAGTCCATCATTTAAATCACAAAATAAGTTAAACGTAACCATAATCTATCCTAATATAGCAATTAGCAAAAAAAGATAGTTTGATAGAAATATACTTAATATCACTAGTGTTGTTTTGTATTGTATGAACACTAAAAGATAATTGATTTGAAACCAAATATCCAACAAATCCTACCCTGATGAGTAACTTTGATTTTCCTGAAAATTTCACCATGGTAGATAATAATCCATTTACATACTATTTAGGCCCGATAACAATTCATTTCTTACCATTCAAACCATATCTGATCTTCTAATTAAAGTTAGTTAAAAATGGAAAGTACTTACCAGAATAATCATACGTTTTGAAACAATACTGTATGTAAGAAAGAGAAGGCTTAATTAATATTTCGTCCATTTTTTGGCTATTTCAATAATATAACGAATAAACTTCCACATAGTATAAGAAAATCAACAAAAGCTGTAAAATATGTTGTGTGAGATAAAAAAAAAAAAACCCAAAATGGCCAAACCTAAGAAACCATAACTTTAGATAAACATGCTAATACATTGAAAATAGAAGAGACAACATAATCAAATTTGATTAGCACTACCTCACTTATTTCTAATTAAACACGATATTAGTCTCTACAAATATTTACACGTTATCTCCATAAAATACTAAAATGAATATTTCAAATGGATGCACACAAAAAAATATCTAAAATTTACTTAAGAAGTCAACAACATTCACAATTTGTTTTAAAAAGTTGATTTAGTTTAAAAAAAAAAACTATAAAGGAACAGTATATATAAATTAGCTGTGGCTGGCTCGTTAAGCTTGCTCACGGCTTAGTACATGCACACAAGGCAAAACACACTGGTTTGTTTTTAAAATCCTCCGTCCTCCTCAATTCCGTTACCGTCAGCGTCAACCTCCGTTTCTCTCATCTTCACCGTTCATCTCCTCCGATCTAACTCGCCGTCGACAACGGTATGATTGACGCCGGCAACGATTCCTTTTCGCCGGGATCTTCCCGTCCTTCGCCTTCGACGCTTTCTCGGGAGGATTGCTGGAGCGAGGAAGCGACCTTCACGCTAATCCAAGCCTGGGGCAGCCGCTACGTCGACCTTAGCCGCGGTAATCTCCGTCAGAAACACTGGCAAGAGGTGGCTAACGCCGTTAACGACCGTCACTTCAACACCGGCCGAAACGTTTCCGCCGCCAAATCGCAGCCGTACCGCACCGACGTTCAGTGTAAAAACCGGATCGACACCTTGAAGAAGAAGTACAAAGTCGAGAAGGCTAGGGTTTCGGAATCGAATCCCGGTGCCGCCTACATCAGCCCATGGCCTTTCTTCTCCGCTCTCGATGAACTTCTCCGGGAAAGCTTTCCGACGTCTAGTACTCCTGATTCGACTGATAACCAGAGGCTTTCACTGCCGATGTCGATTATACCAATTCCGGTCGCTCCACGATCGGCGATTCCCAGGCGTCCGGCGCCGGCGCCGGCGATTATGCCTCCCGGAGGTGACAATTTGCTCGGATTTCGCGGAAATCTCAACGCATTCGCGGCAGCTGCAGCGGCCGCCGCTTGCCCGGCGTATGAAGATGATTCGGATGGGTCAAGGTCCAGATCGAGCGGAGGTAACAGGAAGCGCGAAAGGGAAATTGAGCGGAATCAAGGTTACAAGGAAGTTGCAGACGCAATTGAGAGGCTTGGGCAGATATACGAGAGGGTGGAGGAGAGGAAGCGAAAGGAAATGGTGGAGTTGGAGAAGCAGAGGATGCGATTCGCCAAGGAATTGGAGTGCCATAGGATGCAGCTGTTCACTGAGATGCAGGTTCGTCTTCACAAGCTCAGGCGTACCTCTGGATCCAAAGGCCCGACTTCTTCAGCCTCCGCCGGTGAGACCTGAAACTCTTCTCTCGCCGCACTTTACCTTCTCCATTGTTTCTGTTGTGTATCCCTCGCATTCACTCATGGCTTCTTCTTTTGATTTTGAGGACATTCTTAACCAATAGGACTGATTAGAAGTAAATTATTCAACAACTGGAATGATCCAATTTCAAACATTTAAGACTGGGAATAGAATTTACATTTTTACTTGTGAGTCTCTGTGCCAACGCCAGACTTATGCACAACGGATTGTTCTAGTATTATCTGTTGAAGACTTGAATAAAAATCAAAATAAAATGGTTTTGCTTCCTGCAGCGATAAGCTACATGAAATTCATTTATCTTTTTTAGAGGGTTGGGATAATTCAGCAGCCTTGGTAGGTTATGCAGTATAATTGACTACCAAAGCAAGTGATGTGGTAACCGATTATACTGCTATGAACGCAATACATAGATGAGGAATTAGTAGCAAGTGTTGTTCTGGTTACATCTGTCTTCTATTTTGTTGCAATGTTACATCTGTGTATTATTATTATAGCTTCTGAATGGAAGTGTTCTTACAACGACTAACATGAGCACTAGTTGGGCAGCTATTCATGAGCTAGAAAGTTGAATCTGCTTCTGTTTTTTTGCTGTAGCTTTAAGCATTGAGTGCTTTGTTTGGTTTCCTCTGTTTGGTATTCTATTTAAGTGTGACGATCAAGAAGTTTGTTCAAAAAAGAATTAGCATGAAAAGAGTAGCCTTAAGCCTTTAATATATTGCTGGGATTTTGTTGATTGAGAAGATTGTGAGTTTACATACCAATTGCTTCGAAAGTTAGGAAATAATGGTATCTACATATGTCTGTAAAGCGTTTGAGAATGCTTTAGATACTGCTAAAGAATGACACTGAGAAAACAAACTGGCATGAAATGTGCAAGGTCATAAACACCAAGAGTCGAAATTTGCTTTTGTGAATCATCAAATTTTGCATGCAACTTAGCTATGGGCATTACACAATAGACCTTGTTTCTTTTGCTTTTGCTTGGCTTTCATTCTCAACTCGTTATTCTCACTTTGTTGACCTGTTGAAATTTGATATTTTCCTCTTTGCATCACATTTTTTTTTTATCAAGTAGAATACTAATGAGCAGTTCAGTACCTTTGTAATAATAATTGAATATTTATGTGTTTATGCAGCTCTTGATTATGGGATGATGGATTTCCCTAGTTACTTCTAAGGGTATGCTCCACTTATTTGCTTTGAGCTACTACAACTCTCTCACTCTCTCTCTCTCTCTCAACATAATTTGGTCTCGTCTAAAGAGGCTATGTAAAATCCCATAATTTACTTTGTTGGGCTAACATGATGTTTTTTCTCTTGTGCTTGTGATTTGCAGCAGGATGTGATTGTAGGCCATTGATGAAGAAGGAAGAGTCAGCATTAAATAGGTTATTCCACCAGCCAATAGAAGGAGGATATGGTAAACAAAGAAAAAAGAGTTTGTCTTTCTTTTTGTAAATTTTTGCTCCCTTTCCGATTCCATCCCATGAAACCCAAAAATAGACATTTTTTGGTTACGACTTTGGTGATGTTTATTTTGGTATATTTACACAATGAATTAGTACAAGAAATGGGTTTTAACGCAAAATTATTGGTTTTTATTCTTGATTTTTTTTTGGCATCCCAAAGTTTCTGAACGTTCCCGTAAACCCTTAAACAGAAAAGTCGAAAAATGTAATTTTTAAAAGTAGTTGATTCAAAAATCAAAACTTGACGCTTTGGCTCCAATACTTGCTCTGCTTTAGCAAAAAAATAAGTTGCTCCTCCCAAAATTCTCTTCTTTTCTCCGGCGACCTCATTACCGCTCTAAACGACGCCGTTGCATAAACCCTCGCATAATCTCCCAACCTGCGTTTCTCAGCTCTCTCAAAATCTTCCCTGTTCCGGTCAACCGATGGAACCCTTCCCAAGTGATGTCAGTCGCGAGATATTCTCGAGATTGCCGGTCAAGTCAGTTGCTAGGTTTCGTAGCTTGTCGAAGCTGTGGGGTTCCACACTTTGCAGTCCAGATTTCACAGAGTTGTTCCAGACTAGGTCTCGCGCTCGTCCCCGACTCTTATTCGCGGTCGAACGGTACTGTAAGTGGAGCTTCTTCTCGTCGCCTCAGCCTCAGTATCCATATGACAAGTCCTCTTCTTCCTCCGCCGATTTCCATAGCAAGTTCTCTGGAGACATAAGCCGATACATGTGTAGCTATGCATCTGGTCTTGTCTACTTCCCTGATATGTGGATTCCAAAAGAGGATAGTGATGGTGGTGGATATTCACCGCAGCCTGTGATATGTAACCCTATCACGGGTAAGTATCAGAGCTTACCTGCGCCTGTGGACAGGTACAGGAAGACGAGAGACTTCTTAGGGTTTGATCCCATTGACAAGCAATTCAAGGCATTGTCCGAGGCTTATCCAAGTTTTGATGATAGCGATCATCATCAGATTCTGACACTGGGAAGAACCGGAGATGTTCTGAGCTGGACAAGGAACAAGCATTGTCCTTTATACGGCAGGTCTTTGTCTCAAGGGATATGCATCAATGGGGTTATCTATTACTTAGCTTATAACATTGGGGGTTTGCCTCGTGTTATAGTTTGCTTTGATGTTAGGTCTGAGGAATTCAAGCTCATCGAGGCAGATTGCTTCTCTGGTGAAGACACTATCAAACTGATAAGCTACAATGGCAAATTAGGTGGGGTTAACTGGAACTATGATATAGCTGATGGTGGAAGACGCATCCTTGAGCTGTGTGTGTGGGTTCTTGAGGATGTTGAGAAACCAGAGTGGTTGAAATCTGTCTACACTTTGTCTGAGGATAAGATCGTTGATACCTGTAACTTCTCCGTCGCTGGAATGACCGGAACAGGTGAGATTGTTTTGTGTATGGACTACACATCCAAACCGTTCTATGTCTTCTACTTCCATCCGGAGAAGAACACTCTCAGATGTGTTGAAATCCGAGGCTTTGGAGCTGACCTTGAAGCGATTGAGAAACGTGGTAGAGTTCATGTCTTTGTAGATCATATAGAGGATCTGAATATTAACGATGCAAAGCAGTTCAAGACTTGATGACAAGCAAGTGGGATGGGTGAATGAAGCTTCCTTTGATCTTCTTCTGAGAGAATTAGTATTCTGCTGTAGTGTCTGTCCATTTAGCTAAGGCTACTTCTGCATTTCAACAACAACTTTGCTGAGTTCATCTCATCTTCTGGAAATATTAGTTACACTCTGTAATTCCAGGCTTCTCTAATCTCACTTCTTTTGTCTCTCTGTTAAGCCAAGCGGTATCTGTTATTATATCTCAATAATTCTGTGTCATTTCTTCAGTATATCATCTATTAGGATCTTGGTATAATGGCGTTTTCTTTTAGTACCCTTCTTAGGATCTTTTAGTAGGATTCTCGCTTACAAAGAACGCTAATTCCTTCAGGATGATTCAGTCGAAAGAGTATCGGAAATTCCTCGATGATCACACACACAGAGATTACTTTCCCAAATATGCATGATGTCTCTATCTACGACTATCATTCATTCAGGTAATGTTTCAGTTATCACTTATCTATCAAAAGTAGACCATTTTCTTTTGGAATCAATATTTTCGCCAAAAAAAAAGGAATAATAAATGTGGGCGATGTATTGTACACTAATCTCACTACTTGAGCCATAAGTAATAACGTTCATTAAAGGTTTTTTTTTCGAGAAAAAGTTTTCAATCAAAAAGGCTTGAATAAAAAAAGTAAACACAAGCCCAGCTAAAGCCTTAGTGTTTTTGGGTCTAACCCATAATAATGATAAACCAGCTAGTTATACATTTAAGGATCAATTTTTTTTTTTTTTTAGTCGAACATCTAAGGATCAATTTAAACTACTCTTTTAACAGCACTAGTCGATGGAGATGGGGAAATGAAGATGAACAATCACTGAGTTCTGACCTCCAGAGAGAAGATGAGGCACCTAAGTGATCAGAAGGCATGTGTTAAAACTTATATTAGAGACTTTTTACTTTACCTGATGTACAACATCAAATATATTTTTCTATACAAGGTTGTACATACATATCTACATGTTTACATAAATATAATTTTATTTTTTTCTATACAAATCAGTATATCTCAACTTCGTAGCATGTTAACTAAACAAATATTATCTTTAGTAAAATGGTTTTTTTCTCTTTTTTAAAATTAAATTACTGTAAGGGATCTTAATATCAAAATTGAATATCATTATTATATATATGTCTTTGAAGTTTTATCCTTCGATTTGCCATTATTCAAATTATATATATTTGATGTAGCAAGTTTCTAAATGAGTTGTTAATGACTAATGCTGATTGCTGACTCTATTGACGTATCTTGCTCCTTTTCTACCATATGATGAAAGAAAAAATAAATTCGGGAAATTTCTTCTTTTCTTCCATTTTTAAGTTTAAACTTACACGACATTCATTGGCTTAAACGCTTCAAAAGAATAAGCACATTAATAAGCTAATGGTACAATAATCCAAAAGAATAGGCACACGAATAAATTAATTAGCTTATTTAGTTAAAAGTTAAAACCATGTGGTTATCCCTTTTAATTTTAGTGTACATGAAAAATTAACTTATAATTTCAAAAAATAATTTCCATTTTTTCTTATGTTTTAGTTATGTTTTGCTTATATTTTGCTTTTTTTTACCAATTAAGGATTTCAAATTAGATTTTAGGAAGGTAGTTATTATGATAGTTATCGCATGTTTGGAACTCGGTTGCAATAATGATGAAGTTGTCGAGGAGAATTTTACTTGTATGCGTCACATCGACGGTCAGAAATCGGTCAATGGCTTCATAAGCCAACACCTTACCTTCTTGACGTGCCCCACATCGACAATGATCGTATACCATTTATCACATCTAACAATTTGAAAAACAAAATAAAGAAGAAAGGTAAAGGTATAAGCCAAGAAATGTTTAGAAACAAATTAAAGAAGGTAATTGATTAGGCAATCCAATTCATACGAAATATTTGAAAACAAAGAAGATTAGAAATACCATGGTATCACTCCTGTCTCAATTTGGCCTGTGCGTCTTGTATAAGCTTAGTCTGCGCCTTGGTAAGACTCATACGATCTCTACTTGACGAACTCATTCTGATGACTTTTTTTTTTTTCTTTTTGTTTTGTGCATGACTTTATTTGAGCCCCATGCATTCCTATTTATATTGTTAAATTAAATATTCTTTTTCAAAGAAAAAGATAAAAAAATAATTTCATCGTCATATTTACGAAGAGATTAGCCAGAATACCCATTAAATTAAATATTTACGAAGTTTTGAGGAGAGATTAGCTAGACATACTGTTTGGTATGTATACAATAGTTTGTGTTATATATTGTTAGATTAGAGAATCTTTGAAGAGGTTCTTAAAAATATTAAATTTTTATTTTTATGAACAGTGATGACAATTTATTAAATTCATGGAGAGAGAATCAGTTTTAGTTTTTTATATTTGTTAAATGGATAGAGAGAGAAAATAGTGGACAATTTATATGGTTCTTGTTTGGAAAGAGAATCAGTCTTAATTTTTTTTAACCGAACACCAATGAGTGCCTTACATCTGTCCGGAAAAACTCTTTAAGGATCGTTCTTTAAAATTCTTTTGCAAAGATTGTTTCTTACATTTTGGCATTTTTCTTTATTTTTTAACTAATAATTGTTAAAAAATCTAATCCTAAGACCATGATTATCGAGGTCTTCTTCAAAAAATTTTATATTTATTTTGTATTAAATTTAATCAGAAGAGTAATTTTTTATTAAAAAAACATTTCTTATTTGAGGATTTTAAGAAACGTCTCTTAAAATTAAGTGTCTTTTTGGTGAGTGGAGAAAAGATTTAGGAAAATTTTTTGTCTCTTCCTCTCTCTTCTTTATTTCTTCCTTTTTCTTTTTTTTTCCAATTTAATAATAAAAAATAGGTAAAAAACTCATTAGAGTCTTTTGCATTAATCAGGATCTGGTCTTACCTCAATTGAAAAGAATAAAATCATTTTCAGTATAGTTTATTTGTTAATGGGTATTCTACTGAAATCCAGCCCACTAGGCCCAGCTTGTATCATATTTTTTTTATAACGGCCCAACTTGTGTTGAGAGTTTCTTAACCAACAGAAATAAGGAAATCAATTGAAATGAACCATTTAACAGGGGCGTTAAACCGGTTACCAACCCACTTAACTAGTCGATGACGCCGACGGCGAGACCAAGCCTCTTCAGTCTTCACAATTGATTGCTAGGAGAAGCATTTTCCCTCAGATTAATACAATCAGAGCGCAGATTTCAATACAGTGAAAACACAGAAAAAGAATGGAAATTTCAATTAAAAAATGGCTCTTTGAATCAATTTACGTTCGTGAAGGCTTAAAGATTTCGGAAAGAAAAGAAAAATGAGTGATATTTATACGAGGAAATGCGTAACCGAGTCTTCAAGTAACTTGTGACTAGGACACACCATTTCCTTCACTTTCTCTCCCTTGTTATAGATCTTAAAGGTTGGAACTTTCTTGATACCCTCTGCTTTCGCCAATGCCAAACTCTCCTCTACGTCCACCTGTACACAAACCCCAATACCTCTGTTAAATCACAAACCGAGACCCTTTTTGCACTAAATGCTACTTCGAATGCAAAGGATAGATTGAACATAAGAGAGCATCTGTCTTGCCTTGAAGAAGTGTACTAATGGATACCGCAAGCATAAGGTGTTGACGAATGGAGAGATTGCTTCGCTTTGTCGGTTTGATGATGATTTGAAGTGAAACACTGTGATTCCTGAATGAAAAAACAAAAAAGAAGTTGCAATTTTTAAGCATTTGAAAACAGAGGAGTCTTGTAAACTAATAAAGTCGCGTAAAGTGCGTTAATTAGTTTTTTACCGGGAAGTGATGTCGCGGTCTTGAACTTATCCAAAGCCGAAACCTCTTCAACTTCGTTATTGAATCCCAAGTATTCAGATTTATTCGATATAGCAGTTTTAGCTCTCTGTAAAGACTCAGCAACCTCGCTGTCTCCTGGAAGTTCCTTTCTCAATACTTCATAATCTCTAACCGAATCATTCCATCGACCAAGCTGCATTTATAACAGAACAACAATAATCATCAATTCTAAACTCCGATTGAAACCAAAATATCAAAATGTCTTGAATCTAACCTTTCCAAACGAAGCAGCTCTTCGTAGAAGAGCCTTGGTGTAATTAGGCTGGATTCTTAGTGCTTGGTTACAATCATCAACAGATTGATCCCACATACCGAGTTTAAACCAACACGCTGCTCTGTTACAATACAGAACCGAGTTGAAAGCATCGAGCTTGAGTCCGTCTCCATAAGCCACACTCGCTTCTGAATATCTCCCGTTACTAAAAAGCTCGTTTCCACGGGTACGAGCTTTCGCAACATTCTTCACCATGTTTAACACCGATACAACCTCGGGGTTATTGCTATGATCAATCGTCATAGCTCTCTCTGCCTTTACAACCGCGTTCTCAAATCTGCAACAAACCTATCATCTCTACTCACTCACTTAAGAACCAAACAACACTACTCTAAAAGAATGAATTCAAACACCTTTTGAGTCTTAAGCATTTCGAAGCTCACCTTCCTAACGCCATATCAACTTGAGCTTGAACACAGAGCACATAAGCATCACGTATCATACCAAAGAGTTTAGCTTGTGGTAGAGTATGATGATGATGATGATCCAATCTCTGAATGTTGGATAGACATAAATCCGACTCCTTTATCTGATGAAGCCGCAAAAAGGCCTCTGCTTTACAAGCTATAAGCTGCAAAATCCGAAATCAAACCTCATTGTTTAAAAAAGTCCAAGTCTTTTCGGCATTTTAGCTGATTAAAGTAAAGAACACAAAGAGGCAATGCGTATTGATCTCTGACCTGAGGAGAAGAATCAGCTCCATTTGCAATGGCTGCATCGATTTCGACAATTACAGCTTTCCAGTCACCGATCTTTCGAGCCTCAGTACATAGCCTTAGATGCTTCTCAAGTGTCTGCAGCCGCTGCAAATCAGCTTGATCGGAACATTGCCCGGAAAAACAAAGATGACGTCTCGCATTCTCAGCTTCTCCCAATCTAAACCAAACACCAATAAAAGGTTATTACTTTATTACCAATCAATTACAAGAAGTGGAACAACATTATACCTGAGATAGAGAGAAGCAAGCCTCTGGTGAGCTCTAGCGTAAGAAGGTTCGAATCTTACAGCTTCAAGGCATTCTTTAACAGCTTCCTCTAACCTCCCCGAAGCAGCCAACGCCGCCGCTCGGTTGCTTCTGTAAGCTGGATTTTCCGGCGACATTGATATAGCTCTATCGTAAAGCACCAATGCCTCAGCGAAATTCCCTTTCCTATACATTTCGTTACCTGCCTTCTTCACCTCCTCTGAGTCACCGTATTCCGCCATCGCCGCCGCTCTGTTCGTTTGATTCGCCTTGCCGTTATTTCCGCCACCGCTTCGTACGATGTTTCCGTGGCCGTAATTGGCCGTGCCTGTGAACAGCGTCTCGGGTCTAACGGAGGCGGCTCGTGTGGCCATTCCGGTTTTCAAGATCCTTCCCGAAGGACAAATGTTTCCGGTGGGCGAAACGACGGGATTAGGCGACGTCGCGCCGCTTCCTCCGCCGCGAGAATTGTGATTAGTCACCGGTGAGAAACCCAAACCGGAATAAATCAGCGGCGTTCCAGCGGAAGCGGATCTTCTGTGACCAGGTTTCGGATTCCGGTTCTTGGTTCCGGATCCGGGTGTAGCCGAGCTGACCTCGGTTAAACCGGAGAGCTCGCCGGAGTGACTCCGTTTAGCTAGCTGAGACGTGACGGCGGGTTTGCCGGAAGCAGAGCCGGAGGAGCTTGAGCTGCTGCCACTAGCGGCAGGAGTTGCGGCGGCGGAGGAGGATCCACGTGGCCTTAACGGAGAAATCGGAGAGCCTAAATCGAGTTCTCGGAAATCGGGTTTGTTGATGACGTCATCATTTCTCTGGAAACTCAAAGAATCTCGGAATTTACCGGTAATGGAGTCAATGGAAGGTTCAAGTGAGTGTCTTCTGTAATGTGACATCTTCAAAACAAAATCTAATGGCCTCAAGGGAGTAAACTCAGAAACTTAAAGAAGAATGAAGAAGACGAAGAACAGTTCGTGATGGAGAGAGAGAGAAGAGAGGTCTTGTGAAGAAAGGAAGCGAAGAAGAATGAAGGGAAGGGTAAAATGAAAAGAGAAAAATCAAAACTTCATTTTTAAAAATTAAGATTAGATTGCGCTAATTTCTTTTATTAATTAACTACAGCGACTAATTCTGTTTTTTTTTTTTTTTTTGGGGGTCAGATAGATTAAGACATTGATCTTCTCCTTCTTCTTCTGTTCATCACGAGTCTCTCTCTTATCCTCCCTGACTGACTTCCGTGTCTTTCACGGCTGCTTGTCGCTAAAATACGGTAATTTAAAATTTTCATTTTTATTAGTATGTACACTATAGAGTATAGAGACTGTATGGTTGACTTTTAAGTTTATTTATGTTTGAACAGAATATAGATGAAGATAGTATTTGCCGACCACACCCAAAAAAATATAATGAAATTCGTAATTTGTTCGCAATATTTTTTTTGGAGTAAATAAGTGAGTTTGCATGCTTCTGGAGGTCAGTAAATTATTCGTTCGCTATATTTTTTTTGTTGTAGTTAGGTCTAAGGTTCTGACCAAAAATAAAAGACGCATTCGAATTTGTTTCATCCAAACGTACTAATACAAATTGCTATGAAACTGTAGAATATTATTGGTGTAACATGACATAGGGACAATTTCTATTCAGAAAATCAAATTAAGGATAAACTGGTGTAATGTTCCAAGTCCGGTAAGGAAAATGTATCCCAACTGTTGTGGTTTGTAACGATAGATGAATTCTTCAATAATTTATCATAATACATTATTATAGTCTGTCTGCTTCAAGAGTTTAAGATATATCCTGCGTCAATATATAGTTTAAAACATTTAATTCGCCCCGTTATTTTCTCTGTGTAACACTGCAACCACCAGGCCTAAATTATGTTGACCAAACTCGAACTATACAGTCTATGTAGAGAGTATATAAAAAGCCTCTATTATATAAACTGCAAAACTGCAATTATATATATCTTGAGTTTTGGTATAATAATCGTCGTGTTATATCAAAATGGATTGAATAATTTATGGTTTCTTCTCCGAAATCACAAGCCACGCATATACGCATTCACTCTCGAATTCTGTTACAACTTTTTTGTTTGAACTTCATATGATCATATCAAATTATCAATTATAAGTCAATGTAATACAATAGGCTCTCTGCTGTCATGAAATGAAAATGAGGCGACTACTTCTACAGTTTCACTTCTGAGTAATAATCAATTTGAAAAAATGTCTAATCTATGTTAAAGTTAGTAACCAGTCTTTTTTCTTCTTCGTGTTCTTTATTTTTTTTGTCAAGAGCTAGTAACCAGTCATCTCCAACAGATTACCACTGCCTTTTCCTTTTTTTTTTTCTTACAACATTTACTGACTTTTACTTGAAAAATTTTAGCAGTTTATTAAATCGAAGATGCTCCTTCCGATTATGAACCATCTCGTTTCAGAGTGAGACAAATGTGTTTAGCAAGATTTTGAAAATTTTAACTTTATATGGATAATAATTAATGTAAACAAAGTGCTTTTGGTGAAATAATTCTATCCCAAACAGTAATATTCTTGTGAAAGAACAGTGAGTTAAAATTATATTCTTCTATACACTCACACGAAATGAAAAAGAAAATAAGCATATTTTTATAAGTAGAAGAGAGCAAATGAACCAAAAAAAAAAACAGAAAAATAGGGAAAGTAAAGCAAAAGAGAAGCGAAGGCTCATTTACTGATGCATAGCTGGTATTTCTTTTAAGGCATCCTTAGAAAAAGCCTGCTAATTATTTTTTTAGTTTTTTCTTTCATAACAAATGTTTGCTTATTAGCTAACTTTAATCGGTGTTCGAATATATTTACTATTTATATATATACACACTTCTATAGTTCGTCGAACAAACAGACTTTCTATAGTTATAGGCTAATTAGCTGAATAATAAATGGAGCTGTAGAACAAATAAAAACAGAAATATTTGGAAGTCGTGAATAATGGCAAAAACGGTAAATTCCGTGCGATGCTGGCCACGTGCAGAGTGACCATGCCAGCTGTTTCTCATCCTCTTCGCTATAGTTGCCAGCTAAGCACGCCGAATACAATAACGCCGTCTAATTAAACATAACGGAGCATTCTCCGCTAAACCGGACGGAAAAATTAGAAAGCGGTCCCCCAATTCCGCCAAACCAATATGGGCGATTGACATTTCCACATACCGGACGGTCCGTGACATGAGTGCCTCCAAAATTTCGGATCAATTAAACCGGCTTTTTTTTCTTTCATCTTGACCAGAAATAGCAAGTCTAATAAGTAGAAACATCAAGTACACATATTCATAACAAAAAGAAAAAAAATTGGTCCCAACTAAAAATAATCACTGACCGAGAGGTTCCTTTCACATACTAATAATAATGAATATTTGAACTCAATTATTGATTTATTCATTGCCAAACACATATCCTTTTGTACAATTATAATTTTTAAAATCCATGAATGTGTTAACATAAAGATGAGTTTGGAATTACAGAAAATGTATCTGTCGAAGCTAACAGCCTAAAACCTCTCAATATCATTTTTAATTTATACCATTTAGGTACTACATTACAATCGAAATAATTAACAATAGAAAAATAGAACTACAACTATTGATTATGGGTATCTTGCAGTTACTAAAAATAGAAAATAGCCATGTGAAATGTAAAAACAAAGAGAAAGTTAATCCATGTGGCCAAATCATTTTTTTTTTTTCAGAAACGGATTAAACGAAATATTAATTAGTATTGATGTCGGCCGCAATTTATGACCCAATCAAAATCGACAAAAGAGGAAATGTTGGGTAAAATTGTAGATAGTTAGCTGGTAATTATGATGCTTTACATCTTTAAATAATCGTCGGGGCATTACACTCGGTAATTTAGAATTACAAAGATTTGGGATAAAAGGAAACGAATGAGAAATAAGACGAAAAAAACAAGGAAAAAGGAGAAAATCTTCTTTCCTCCCTTTGGGGAACATACTTTATAGATAATTAATATTATTTATAAGAAAATTAATCAAGATGATGCTCGTATTATCTCAAGGCATGGCCTTAATAATAGTTGGTGGTGTGCTGGAGGAACATGGACCCACCACCTATATAGGAGTTATAGAACCGAACAAGATGTGTGCGAAATTGTTATACACTTATACTATCAAATTTTACTAAAGAAAATGTCCCAAGAAAATGTATAACCAAACTAATCTAATAAAAAGTAAAAAAAAAAAGTAAAAACCCACAAATTTCGTCAAAAATTATGAATACACCAACACTTAAAGAAAAAAAAGCATAAGTCTCTCTCTATGCACGCCAAGAAAAATCATATGAATGAAGACTGTTTTCTTCAGACAAAAAAAGTTGTTATTTGTTCGTATTAAATCAATTTCATAATATTTTTCTACCCTCTGGGTAACTACTAAAAAATTAGAAAAAATACAAACTAACTAGGTATGCTTTATATGATTATACCTCTAGAATATATGTATTGACATAAACCATATGGATTTTTTTTTTACATAGAAAATATTGACACTGGGTCATGTTTTTATTAAATTAGGGAGAAACTACTAATACTTCGATCTACTAATTTATTTAAGTTGTATTGGAGTTTATTATTATTATTATTGAAATGACCTACTCGCTTACGGAATAATTAGACGTCAAAACGATCTAGACACCTAAAAATAATATAAAACCATAAAGTTCTAGCAATTATTTTGTTAGCATATCAGATTTGTGTATTCTGATTTGGTCTAATGGTGAATGCAATTAATAGAGTAAATAAACATAATGATTCCTGATAGTATGTACAACGACAAATAAACCACATATGGGTATAATCTGGTTTTCTAATTATTTGATTAATAATTTTAATTAACGACAAACGACGCTTAGCTATATGGACATTAAGGGTATCCAATGTTTCATCATTCATATTTTAGTTTCATAACGAAATGATGTCAGTGCAAAAACACTAAGCAAGAATATTTGTAGATCGCATTACCGTCCAACTCGCATTTTATATATAAATAAAATTCTTCCACGTTTAAGCGAGACTGCTAGACAGAACTAATTAACTTATAGTATCTGATTCAAATAAACATTATTTTTTGATGCACAGTACAAGTATGCAAAAACAAAATACGTATTTTAGAGTTGTTGTAAATACGCTGTTCAAATTGAAAGTATTCAGTTAGATTATGTTCAATTAATTGAATGTATGTTCTTTTAGGCTTTTAGTATTATCGCGTCATGGTTGATCGAAGACAACGATAAACTGTGCTTTTTCTATAACTCAGACCGAAGATCGATTTGTACTTTGGCTCTTAATTAATATAGCGGCTATTGATATTTAATTTGGTATTTCGATGTATATATGTTGAAACTATAACAACTCTTTTCTAATAAAAAAAGTTGTTTAACGGCATTTGGATCCTGTTCTAATGATGATAAACCATTTGATATAGAAGTATATCAGCTGGTGGTCTAAATTAAATACAGAAAATATCAGTAACTAGTATTCTGTATTCATATCCTTTAATTTTGTGGTATGGTGTTAACAAGGCCATAAATGAATCGCGCTTTTTATCAAAAAACGTAGAGCAAAATGTAACTAGTAATTTAGTAATACTGGAAATGAGAAGGACGAGATGGCAAGTAGGTTTACTAATAGAAAGAAATCCAAAATTATATAGTTATAGAATTATATTAGTAATTAAAACCATTAAGAAAACTAACAATGATACTAATATTTTACAAAAAAAAATGATACTTATTGGTTGCCACCTGAGGTTATATGGCGAAGCATGTGAGCATATGCTCAACTGTGAATTTCTCTCCTTTATCATCATCAATAAACATATTAATAAAGGAGTTTCTTAAAATGAATCTTTTATTTTTGTTTCTTAATTATAATCACGAACGAGAAAAAGTTGAAGAGCTTTTCGTATACTATGCACGATATCATATATGTGTGCTGTTTATTTAACGTTTCGCATGCCGGTGTATCAAATTT